CATGTTTGCCGTCCGTATCGTCACCGCTGACTACTACCTTGCAAGTCCTCTCAAAGACTTGGACGTCATTTATAACGAATTCAGAGAAAGTGACGTGAAGAAAGTACCAGTGGTTCGGATTTTCGGGGCAACTCCAATAGGTATGTTCATATGGTTTTTAATCAATGACAATGGTCATCCTCTGCAGCCTGGTACAGTACCGCCACGCGGTGCATGGATGTAACACACATTTGCAACATCACAAAACCAACCCTATTCAAACATGAGTTGTTATAAGAAGACAGACGCTGCCTTATGAAATATGTTTAGTGAGGTGACACAGTAAAAACCATGTACCACCCGCAGCTGTTTGCAGTATGCACGCGATACATGGTTGCTTTGTTTTCTATCTCGTGCTCCACAGGGCGGTGGACAGACAGACCTCTACATCATCAGCATTCGGCACATAACCCACTTTACTATACCATTAATAAAATATATTATGCAGTCCTTTCTGTGTCCAACAACCTGTGGAGTGGTGCCAGAGCAACGTTGGAATCACAGCATGACAAAGTTGCTACAATGGAGGTGTGACTGTCTGATTTAACTGGCTGCAGTCATGTCTAGAAGGGATACAGCTTTTGGCAAATCGACGCCAAAAGTTGCTTTTTTTGTTGTATTTTAGCTAACCCTTTCCTAACCTTAAACTAATTATCTTAACCTGCTAGGTTAATTCTCCTAACCTGCTGCACAAATTCTAAACCTGCTACGAAAAGTCAATTTTGACAACCTGCATTACTTCTAGAGAAAATAGTGCCGTTTTGAAGAAAAGCTTGCTGCAAATCTACACATTTTTCCATGGGGCAGAGCGAAATGTTAGCGTTTTTAAAAAATATGTTAGCGTTTTTTTTTATATGATATCTGAGTGACTAACAAAATCAATGGGGGGGGACCCCTGTCAGTAATTAGACCATGATTGCTACAAGTTTTGATAGCTGGCTGCTAGACTAATTTACCAATCTAAAGAATGTTAGATGGCATGGGCTAATTGATTGACTGTCAGTGACTGACTTAAGAGAGAAACTGTCTTTGGAAATTGATCTGCAGCCCTACAAAAGGGGGGCCCCGGGCCGCATGCCCATCCCTGTTCTAGACAAAACTACTGGCTGCGGCACTTATACTGTGGTTGTGATTTCGAGGCGAATATGGAGGACTGACATGCCAACCCGCTTTTGCTTTCTAGTCTGGGTTGTGTATTGTAATCGCAGACCACACAAGGAAATATTTTCAGTAATAATTCGCTGCACAGCAACATAACCTACTGTTCTCTCTGTCCTTACTTTTGCATTTACTGTAGACTGTGTGGATATTCACAACAGGCTTTTATGTAGGACTGGCATCTGAGAGAATAAATGGGATTGTGGGTCAGGGTGTCAATCTAATTTAGTCTGCTAGCCCCACACCTTTGGATGTGGTCACATCTGCATTGTAAAGGCGGCAGCTCTAACATTTTATCACACACTTATCATATCATCTCTCAGACAATGTCCCTGTCCCCCTCACTGACCAGTTTCATCACAGCTCTGTAGGGTAAAAAGTGGCAGTAGGTTTTGGTTCACCAATGCCATGTAGACTGCTGTTGCCACTGATTCCTTTGTCAGTGATTTATGTTTAGTGTTTCATAATCTGTTGAATAATGTTGTTTTTGACCCTCCAGACAATTAGTCAACATTAGGTCACACTCAGTGGCAAGCACAGACAGCCTTCATTTCACACACAATATTGTAGCTTTGTATTCTTCTGCAATGTGCTTGAGGTATTGTTACCTCCAGGTATTGTGAGGCTATGGGTTTTAATAACAATACAACAAGGCATCTGTTTCTGGATTAGTGTATGTATGGTTGGTGTTTTGGCAGAGTGCATTGTTTTACAGTAACTCTCCTGCAGCTACACTCAGTTGATACTGCTTGTGTGGCAAGCCTAAATCGGTGTTGGCTCTGTATTTTCCATGTGAAATTGCATCACCATCTGGAATACATTGACTTAAAGCACAACTCCTTTTTATTTCTCAATTTTGAATGTCTTTGCTGAAACGCAGCTTTAAAAAGAAAAGCTGGGAAATGGGTCACACAGACACCCACAAAGAGAATACATTCTTTAGTCTCTTATATACATGAGTCAGGCTTGAACTATAATAAGTTGGCATTCTCTTAACATTTCTACCTACACCCATTCCCATTATGTGGGAGTTGCTGGACTAAAAAGGAAGAATTGGCTAATCAGCTCGGTGTGTGTGTGTATGACACACCCCTCCCTGTCCTCTCCTGACCTGACCATTGGAAGCCGGGAGGGAGACACACCAGTCTTCCCTCAGTCACTGGACACCCCACTTCCTGCTTTCACCTAGCCTGGTTACTCTTCATTGGCCAGCCCCTGAGGCCCAGGCCCTGCCCTGATACAGTGTGGCGTGCTCCTCGATCAGTCTAGCTACCTGTCTACGTCCATGAGGGACCAACATCTATGATGGAACGCTAGAGACACTGATGATGTTCTTTCATGGTTTCAGTTGTTTTTCCCAATGCGTGCCATCTTTGCTCATTCAGGCCAAATGATAGTGCGTGTGCACAATGTGCAGTGGTAATCAGTAATTCATTGCATATGTAATAGGCCAGCAGCAGCCGGCTTGATTGTGAACGAGCAGCACTGGCAGGCTTGATTGAAGTATCCATGCATGGTAAATACTGAGTGTCTCCCACACTGCTGAAAGTTGCAGTTTGCTGCAGTCTTTGAGCTCTGACAGCATTGATCCTGCTTGATGTCTAGCAAGGCTAGATTCACTAGATTTAGCAGGCATTCCTCACTGCCTGGGAGAGGCAGCCAGGCAGGCACTCTGTTTTTGTTTTTCTCTGCCCTATGTGTGGTGCACACGTTGGTGTGTGTGTGCAGGGGAAACCTGCATGATCAATTGACCTGAATGAGTGGTCAAGCAGCGAACCGCAGAGTGGGATAAAACAGAGGGCCTCTCTCCAACCCTCTCCCCCCTGCCCTTCCTTCCTCCCCCTCCCCTTTGCCTCTCATCAGGGGAACTCTAATGCCATCTAAAGGAAGTCCTCCCGGATCCATTGAGGATAATGGGGGAATCAAAGACTTGCGGCTCATTAGTCAAAGGTCATTGTCTCCTGAATGGTTTACCTCCCTTTTCTGTTTATTGGATTATTTAGAATTCTGAAGATGTAGCCTAGTAGGTCTATGTTTCTTATTAGACTACTTTAACATTGATACGACTAGCTACTTATTTCTCATGTTTTGTAGGCTAATGGTTGTCTTTTATGGGCTTAGTCCCTTTACCATCACTTGAATCCATTCCCTTCCAGGCTCATTCAAATGTCATCTCGTTTTGATGCCAAAGATAGCTGCCAGAGAGGAATGCATTGACCTGTGAGAAAGGAGTTTGCTGTGAATGCAGAGACAGAGAGCAGAATGAACCCTGGCCTCTGATAATCCTGAGGCTTGTAATGTTAAGGAACTGGAGCCCTGGATCTTTAAAGTGGGGCTCCAGCCCAGTGAAGAGACACACACATGCATGTCCAGGTCTCATTAATTATTAATAAAGGCCTGTCGTTCCTTTTTGTTTGTCATCTATACCTTTTCTTTTGGCCTTCCCTCCATAGTACGTCAAGGTGGTCCAATCAGTGGCCCTCTGACTCTGATCTATAGGAGACCGTAATGGCACCTCGTTGTGTTTCTTTATGTGGGTGTGAAGAAGCGTCTCCATGCTGTGTCTGTCGTAGGGGCCTCACATCAACCCAGGAATTCCATGAGCGCTAGATCTGGTTTCAAAGGGTTCCGCAGGCACAATAATGCACTGCAGCATTGAGAGCTTAGAAAACAAATATATCCCTCCTCCTTGCAACAGGGATCAATCAAATGTAAATCAGGGAGGTTGTTTTTGTTAGGTGAATGCCTTAATACCACATGTGGCCTCTATAGAGGATTACTGTGTATTAAAGCTGAAGAATGGGCCCCACCCCTTTCTCTGGGTGGTGATAATGACCTACTGCTGCTAGCCTGTGGCTGAATGGTTACTGGAGAGGTTGGTCTATGTCACAATCAGCTTGCAGTCTATATCTGTACTGTAGCCTATAGTTTTAGCCTTTATCTCATAGCTGAGTTAGACATATAGCCTCTAACGTGAAGCTGAATGGAATACATTTAGCATGCAGCTGAACTGTTATACATTTAGTCTGCACTGTAGCCAAGGCTATGTACCTTTTAGGCTAACCCATAGCTGAGCTATAGGCTACGTGTTTACTCTTTAGCCTCGAACCTGCAGCTGAACTGTTATAGGCCTACCTTTTAGTCTGGCCTGTGGCTGAACTGTGTGAGGTGTGTCTTTGTCCTGTCTGAGGGGAGGTTTTTCTGAGCTGTCTCCCTCTGGCGCACTCTCCGGCTCCCCCTCCCCTCTCTCTCTCCTGAGGTTTCTCTGTACTGTACACTGATGCCCTTGCTGCAGCACCGGGGCCTGGGTGATTGATGGCTTTAATAGCTCCCTCCGGTTCTACGGTGGCTATTTGAATGCGTCGCCTCACCCTCCTTCGAGGGCAGGAATGTGCTGCTGCTGGTTGAGTTAGGTGACACCCTGTTTTTTTTTTTACTGTAGTGCTGTACCCACCAAGCCCTTCAGACTTTTCCTCAGACATGTCTTTTCTCCCCACTGAACCCTATCTCAGCCTCACAGCGTAGCCCATATTTCAGATTTAACCTTACAATCAATTGACCAATGGATTACAGGGGGATTAGTCATGTAACACAGCCAGGTGATTTATTTTGCATTATTCATGATAGAATGTTGTGGATCTGGTAAAAGAAGGTGAAAATATCTGCAATGCCTGAGTGAGCTGGAACTTTGGTGTGGTGGCCACATTTCTATTTTTAGCGGCTAACAATAAAAGCGGCAGAATTGCAGGCCGTATATCTGCGTGATGGATGGCAGATTCATTAGCACGGGGGAATTGAATGTGATGACACAGCCAGTGACAGTCAGCCACTGCCTGGTCTGCTCTGTGGGCTGGCTCGCCTCAAGGTGGGCTGGGTTGGGCTAAACCTTGTGACTTTGCTGCAGACAGACGTGTATGTGTGTGTGCAGGACTATTATGTGCTGTCAGGTTGATTTGTGTAGCATTTTTTTTGTGACGCTCTGCTCTCCCTCAGGCCATGTCAAGGTCACTCCACCAGAGGGAGGACAGGATCTACCTGTCCCTATGATATCTGGCCCCCATGGCTGGGGAATGTGTGTCCCAAATGGCACCCTGTTCCCTTTATAGTGCACTACTTTTGACCAGGGAACCTTTATAGAGAATAGGGTGTAATTTGGGACGCAGAAACAAGCCACCTCTTCTCTCTGGTACAGGCACCGGTTTGAGGATCTCTAGGCTGGTGAAACACACTAGCACATGATAGGCATCCACTTCACAAAATCCATTACCAAGGCATCTGGAGATGGAACATCTATTACATTTACTTTGAGTACCAGTCCTAATGGCTTTGCTAGGTGTATCAGTTCAGTTAAAAGCAGCAGCCGCAACATGCCTTGATGATTCACCCGGCCATCTCTCATCTGTGTTAGTCTCCCACCTTCTGAGAGACCACCGCTGGATGGCTAATTGTCTGACTTAGCAGCTCTTTTCTGCACTGTTTGATTTGGCTGGATCTAATCAATAGGAGACCTGCTGTGTTAATAACACACAGAGGAGGTGGAGGTGGCCAGCCGGCTTTACCGCTCGCTGGTGGTCAATACGTCTGCTGTCTGCTGGCTGCAAATCACTGACTGACTGGGCCCAGACAGACCTCCAGTTTGGAGTTTGAAGTAAGACAGCCCAGACAACAGACGGACTGACAGACGGGCTATACTTGCAGTCTGAGGGGAAGTAACCATAGAAATAGAATGATATATATATATATATATATAATCATTCTAATTCTATGGAGGAAACAGACAGTAGAGACCGAGGCTTGGCTATCAGTAGTCCAGCACATGGTATATAGCAGACAGGGGACTCTGTCCTTAAACGCCTGCCCCAACCACATTAAAGGCAGTACTAGGGCATGTGGGGATATCAGTGGGCTGCTGCTGTTGTTGCTGTCAGCCAGGCCTGTAGCTGTATCCTGTCACTGCTGCCTGTCAGTGAGGTAATGCAATTAGGCTAGTCCTTGAGTGAAGCTGGACTGGACTTGCGTTGGTCGCCAGTGTTAGGCCAGGAAATGCTTCCTTTTTGATGTACTGTATGAAAGAACATCTGTGTTCTTCTCGTTTGATGTGGAGTGCTCAGCAGTGGAGGTGCTGCCTACCTGCCAACGGTTGTTTTGGCATAGTAGCCTAAGTGGATTTGTGTTCTTTGAATGCAGGAAGTCCCTAAAAAGTAGGTATGAACTGTGTGGTCCCACTCTGGTCCAGGGAGCCCAGTGTTGGCACATGGAGTTGGGTTGCTGCTGAGGGTTTCAACCTTTCCCCTCTCATCCTGGCTCTTTGTCCCTACAGTAGATAACTGGAGGTGAGAGGCCCTGCCAATTCAGGCTGTTTTAGGACTTTCTATCTTTCTTTTCCTAAGGCCACTCTCACTGTTTTTAGAACTTATTTAAAAGAATGAAGGAATTTGGCAGAGCGAGCGCCTGAACTGGAACAAGGGAATGTTTTGAACCTGTCAGGCACATCATTTCATTCAATCTGGATGTTAATAAAGCAGACGCACACGGACACACACCTGTAGGCCTTAGGTATCTTTCTATGGGTAATCTCTCGTTGACAGATTCTCGTGAACAGATGAAACTACGAGAATCTGTCAAGGCTCACATAGAATTATGTGATTACGAGCAGCAGTAGTTCCAGAGGAGCGTTTAGTTCGCTTGAATGTTTTCTATGTTGCAGAACAGTTTGTACTGAACAACACGTTTCCCCAAAACGTTCTTGAACAGACTTTGAGGTATGTTTGGTGGGTGTGGCTTGAACCAATGAGTGACGTATTTAAAGGGCAGTGGCCATGCTGACAGCGTTCCCCAACTCACAACCCAACCCCGCCCCGTTTTTCAACTGGTCGTTCAGTACAGCACCGTATCCGTTCAATTGAACGTTCCAGAACGTAAAAACGTGCTGAACGCAGCCTTGGTTTTGGCTATTTGTTATTGATTATTTAGAAGAATCAGGATTGGGCGAAGGCGGTGCTTAATAAACGGTTGCAGTGATTTTCAAGCCGTGTGCGGATCATAAACGGCTTCCACTAGATTCCACAGCCACAAAGTCAAAATTGGCTATATCGTAAAAATTAATAACTTCCTTTTTTAGAGCATGATCAACACGGGTGAAATTAGCGGAAGGGAGGGGTTTGGCCGAGAGTTTCCGTTTGCGAGGGAGGAGACTTCGCTTCCTTCCTTTGCACAAAGGTAATCACAATTGTTAACGGCACCCCCCCCCCCAGAATTAAAACCAGGAAATTACAAACTTTCACGAGATAATTTTACTTCTGGGTAACAGAGATTAGTCAATGGGGAAAGAAGAGTATGCCTACAGTGTTCTGTTTTTAAACTCCAGCTATGACCAGAAAGCCCTGGGTTTTGAACACTCCATTCTACACTCCTCCTTGTAAGGACCTGCCTCTCAATCTGCCCCTGAAGACCAAACAGAATGTCTTGATACATTTATTCCACAGTTCCACTGTGCAGTGTGTATGAAAGCAGGCTTATTCAAGGGGGAGGGGGAATTCTGGCTGGCTCTAAAAATAGCCCAGCTTGTTTTTTAAATGCAACCAAGCTTGCTGTTTTCTCTTCTGTTGTGTCAGTGCTGGAGGAGAAGAGTGAGGGGTCCTACATAACACACAGACTCTGGGGTCGACCAGAACATACTAGTCTTCTGCTGCCTGTCCTCATTTTGGTAGCATTTCATGCCTCCCCTCTTATAAGAAGCATCAGTTTTTTTTCTTGAAGGGAAATGTCTAAACCTGTTCCCCATTAACCCTTTGTTTTCCTAGCTACTTTATTTTCCCTCACCGCAATATTTCAGCTGCAATTTGGTTTGTCTGTGCTGCCTTTGTGTGTGTGTCACTTGTCTAGTGCACCAATCGTGCCTCCCCTACGCTGCGTGATGTATGGCAGGGAGGGAGACATGCCATGAATATCACATTTCGACGGGCAGACCTGTTAAGGGAAAATCTCCTGTTGTCTGGCAGTGTTTTGTCTTGATCAGGCCGTTTGGACGCAGTCACTGCTTTCCTGGAGTGTAAAACAACAGAGGCTGTGGAAACCAGAACTCTGACGGTCTGCCTGCCCGGCTCCATCCAGACTCCTCTGATTTGATTTTGATGGCTGCTGTCGACTGTTTGATTACTCACATTATTTTTTTTCTGAGTACTCGGATGGGGGGAATCTATTTTTAGAACAAGGCTGGAAAAAAGTATCTATAGGCCTATGCCAACAGTGCACAACAATGCCTAATGTATTATAACCATTACAGAGAACAAATCATAATTGCTAAATTGCCCCATTTATATATTGTCAATAAAAAAGCAAGTGCCATTTTAAGATTAATTTATTGAAACCGTAATATCAACTGGTTATGTTATATTGTGGAACACAATCATCAAAAAGGAGTAACCTCAGCAGTGGCGCTTGCTTGAATAGAAGCCTAAGGCTGTGCAATGGCATAGCCTTATTTTGTTAATTTTGCAGACAATACTTATTTCCCAAACCCTTATCACAGTCAAGACACCTATTTTATAGTAAAAAAAAGAAAAAGTGATGTAATATAACAGAATAAAATAAAACAGAATATTTTTCAAAATGAAAAGAGTTGCCACTGCGAAGTGATGCGCATCTCGCGTCTGTAACAGTTATTCTCAGAGTGATCATTTGAAACGGGGCTCAATTTAGTGAGTTGAAAGACAATTTCTCAGGGTTACAAACCAAAATATCTCTTTTCGATATACAGACATTTGATTTAGTTTATTTATCCTTTTCTTTGGAATTTTCTAAATGGATGAACAATTCCACATTGTACACTGCATGGTGATGAATTACAGCCACGACATCTGTTTGGTGAGTAGGCCTATGCTTAATGATTCTGATGAAAATATGTTCTTTGTCTATAGCACGCTTGGTCTAGCTAGCGCTTTACGCTGGAGACACAATAGCATTATTTTATTCCATCTCTCATTTTAAAGTTAGAATCAATGAAATGACGTTGCCACAAGCAGCACCACAGGTATTGCGATGAGCGAGATGCAAGACTTCACTCTCAGACTGTCACACAGTATCTGCACATGTGCATGGGTTTTCTTCACACTGTTACAGCATGGTAGCAACGGTACTTAAACAATGGAGAAGTTTAGCCTCGCAGTTCAATGGCCTTAGTTGTTGCGTAAATTGACCCACTATCTGTTTACTTTGTGCATCTTCGTCATATCGCTGAGTCTACCTTTAATATCTTAAGGTAATATATTAATAATATATTATTTCATAGCACAGTTCAATTTAAGATTCAGATGCATCAATCTCCCTTTGTTCTGTGGACTGTTGTTAAACAAGCTTATCCATTTCTCATTTATTTAGCGTTTCAGTCACTCCAGTCCAGACTTCTTGGCAGTTTCTGACTAAATTAAAATTTACATCTCCAATCCAAACACTAACTGTGACTCTGTCCATAATTGACTGGATTGGAATATTTGGCTGCCTGTTAGTGCAGAAGCGTACAGTGTACTAGTGCGAAAGGAAACCTCCTGTGTCCATGTCGGCTGGCTATTTCTTACAGTATGCTGTGTCCTTTTTCACCTGCAGCACAGTGTCGTGGCCATGCATACTGCATGATTTTACCTCCACTGTGTGTTGTCAGGCTTCTCTACACACTGCTGTCGGACTGGGAACAGCAGACACCGAGGATTCCTCACCCGCTGGTCACAGTCTAGTGGCTTTCTCTCGCTCGCTCTTCCACTCTCTCTTCTCTCTGTGCTCTTCCTCTCCCTACGCTCCCTCTCTTCTGTTCCTTTGTTCTCCTCTACCTATAGTTCTTGCAGATCCAATTTCTCTCAATTCAAATTCATGATTTATTCACTTTTTTTTCTTCTCACCTTTCTCTCATCCCTTCTTCCTGTGTCAGAGGCGACCTGTCCCTGCAGGTGTCATGTCACACTGTGTTCCTTCCCGTGTCCTGTTTAGTTGGGGACCTGACCCCAGTCAAAATGTGACTTCTTCAGTGATGCGTGAGGGACAGAAGCTATCCTCCCTGGCCTCTGCTCTCTCTGACCCTGACACACCTCCCTCATCACCCTGAGCCAATCACATACCTGAGCTCCAACACAGTGGCAAACATTAGAGAAGACTCAGAGAGAAATTAGTGCTTCTAACCTGACTGGACAGGTCCTTTTATGTTTGACCTCTGCCTCAGTGTTGGCATAGTAGCATAATGCACTTCACTGGATTAAGGGTTTACTATTCAGGGTCCAAGGTCTGTGTGTGTGTGTGTGACCATTTAGTGATGTGGGAGAGCTCTGTGCTTAGGGGCCCTGCTTTAATTAGGCTCTTATTGAGTTAAAGCCCCCTTCTCTTCCCCTCCCTCTTCACCAACTCCTCCTTTTTCCTCTACCTCCTTCTGCTCCACGTCCTCCTTTCCCCCCTCCACCACGACCTACTTATGCCTTTTCTCCTCCTTCGACTCCTGCTTTTCCTCCCTCTCTCCACCCACTCCTCCACCTCCTGTTCCCCTCCTCCTTCTCCCCTGTTATGTAGAGGCCTCCTCTAGTTGCAGTCATCTGTCCGGTGGGTTCTGTCCTGCCCTCAGGCTGCTCTGCTCTGGTCTGGTCTCCTCTGATGCTCCTCATTATTAAGTGTGCTCGGGTCTCTGGTCAAACAGACGTGGCTTTGTGTCTGGACTATGTGGGAAGAAAGCAGCTCTGGTCGGTCCACTTCAGCCTGCTAATTATACTCCCTCTACTGTAGCAAGAGGCAGGGAGGAAGGCTCTAAGGGGCACTGAGGTATTAGTGCCTGGGCCACATATTAACACAGTCTCCTCTGAACAGTTGATGTTGAGATGTCTATTACTTGAACTCTGTGAAGCCTTTATTTGGGCTGCAATTTCTGAGGCTGGTAACTCTAATGAACTTAAGCTCTGCAGCAGAGGGAACTCTTGGTCTTCCATTCCTGTTTCATCATAGCGCTTGATGGTTTTTGCGACTGCACTTGAAGAAACTTTCAAAGTTCTTGACATTTTCCGTATTGACTGACCTTCATGTCTTAAATTTAATGATGGACTGTCATTTCCAATTTGTAAGTCGCTCTGGATAAGAGCGTCTGCTAAATGACGTAAATGTAAATTTCTCTTTGCTTATTTGAGCTGTTCTTGCCATAATATGGACTTGGTCTTTTACCAAATTGGGCTATCTTCTGTATTACCCCCCTACCTTGTCACAAAACAACTGATTGGCTCAAACACATTAAGACGGGAATAAATTCCACAAATTAACTTAAGAAGGCACACCTGTTAATTGAAATGCATTCCAGGTGACTACCTCATGAAGCTGGTTGAGAGAATGCCATGGGTGGCTATTTTGAAGAATCTCAAATATAAAATATATTGTGATTTGTTTAACACTTTTTTTGGTTACTACATGATTCCATATGTGTTATTTCATAGTTTTGATGTCTTCACTATTCTACAATGTAAAACATTTTTTAAATAAAGAAAAACCCTTGAATGAGTAGGTGTGTCCAAACTTTTGGCTCGTTGTGTGTGTGTATATATATATCTCGCTGACAAATGCACAGTGTTGTACAGCTACTGCTTGCTCTGGTCCTATACTACACTCTCCATGGAATGTTAGTCTGGAAAACCCAACCTGAAACCGTGTCTAGGGTCTGGTTTCAATGATGGACTCTTTTGGCAACTTCGATTAAATACAATTTGGGGTTGGTCCTCTTCAGACAGACAACTCTCCCAACAAATCACGAGGCAAACATGCCAGAACGTTGCGATTCAAGTTTACAGACAAAACCGTGGCAGTGGTTTTAGTGAAGGTAGTTGATGCAAACTTGCCACTTGCGATATGTGCTCGGTAAAAATAACCTCCCGTGATCTCCATCTTGCTAGCTACTATTTTGTATTTTATTCAAGCGGATAAAGTAGTGACATAGACAGTGAAGTAGTTCCTATATTCCTATAAGAGTCCTCCATTGAAACCAGAACCTATTCTCACTGTTGCCTCAGTCATTTGTCCTCCTCACCTCATCTTCTCAGTGTGTTTTCTATTGTATGGCTCACTTGCTGCTGTTACTTCTTGAGGTGGTTGGACATGCAGACTTTGATTTTAGCATGTTTGTGTGTCTGTGGGTGTGAGCACAGCTAGAGCTGGCAGGGCATCGATCGACAGGCTGCCGTCGCACTAATCGTGCAGGTCTGGCATGATACACACACACACGTCTCACATGCACACACACCTTGACACTGTGCAGCTGTGCAGCGATGACTCACCCTGGATAAATATCAGCAATACAGGCCTGTTGCTGTAGTTACAGTAATAAGGTGGTCTTAGGACCCTGCTTTTTCCCAGTCATAAAATTCCCTTCCTGCTGTGTGACATCTAACTGCTCATCCTTATCATCCTGTCCCCCCAGGGGGTTGAGCCTGTGTATGTATGTGAGTGTGCCCCTGCTGTGACACTCCAGAGGGAATGGAGGCCCGCCCGTGCCGTTAATCAGCCGTACCGGAATCGTTAGTGCCGCCACACACCGTCACTGGATGAATGAAATGGGGCCTGTCATCTCCACTCATATCCCACACCAGAGATGGATGGGCGCAGAGGGGGGTCCCTGCTGCCTGCCCAGCCGCCCACAGTACACGTTCAGCTGGGATGGATTCTCACAACATAGGCCTATACCCATGAGCCCTGGAGAAGGATGGGTTCTTGTGACATAGTGCTTAGTCGTCATTCAGAAAGAAAAGAAGAAACACACACAAAAAACAACAAAGATGCTTTTGTATTCTGCAAGTTTCCTTGCTGTGTGTTGGCGTGAGGCTGTGTGGCTGCCAGACCATCTGTTGAGTCTCCTGCCTGCTCAAATATCTGGCACTGGTTGGCAGGACGGGCTGGTCTGTTTGTGCCTCACCACACAGAGAAGTGCCAGGGATGTCTTTAGTGAACCCAGCAGGAGACCGCTTGGTCCAGTCTGGAGCTTCACAAATACTTTTGAGGTGTTTTATGCTTCAGTCAGGACTGTAGGTTAGGGCTGTCTGGGTCTGATTTAGTGTCAGGAAGCCCCTTGCAGAACGTTTATAAAGACTTTTGGGGTATTGTCTGTTTACCTCAGGACTGTACTGTAAGGACTGTCTGGGAGGACAGTACATAGGAAGGATGTGCTCAGGAGGGGGGGGGGGCAATCTAGAACAAAAAGTTGGCTGGTATGATGCATTGTTTTGACCTTTTTATGGTTTTGTTTTTACATGGCACAGCCAGTCCACAAGGTGTCGCAGCGCCCGTCTTACGTTCTTTGGGGAGAACCCTGGTGATTTCATGTTTCAGACTCTGGCTTATTTGCTCCAGTCTGTGCTCAGGAGTCAGGCGGTCTGCCAGGACAGGCCTTGGCTGTGGAGAAGGAGAGGGGCTGCCCAGCTAAGACAGTAGCACAGTCACTGGGAGGACTCTCTTGTCTGCTACAGGTTTGGCCCAGGGACCACCACTATCTCTCCACCAGCATAAAGTCAGCCAGGAAGGCCTCTGGCTCCTAGCTATGACACAATGGAACCTGTGATACACTGGTGGTGGAAGGGAATGAAAGCATTTCTGTGCAATCAGCCTCTCGTGATACTTTATATTGGAAGCCTGGAGACACACTGCTGAAGACACTGGCATGTGTTCAGAATCAGATCTGGATACAGTCAGCGCTGAAATAAGCCTGGTTAAACCACAGTAGAGGAGCTGTTCAGGAAGGAATTACAGAACGGAGTGGTCAGTGAGTGTACAGCCTTTCCTGGACATGCTGGTTCTACCACTGTGTAATTTCAGACAGGACTGGAGATGTTTCTGTGTTCGTCAGAGTCAGATCTGGAGACGTGGCCAACAGTGGAAAACAGAACAGGGGAGAGAGCAGACCAGACCAGGCAGCTGCAGCCGTGTACTACTCTGCCAGAGAGGGAGGGAGAGAGAGCTCTCCTCTGGTGCCCATAAAGAAACAGGCCTCCTCTCACGCCTTTTTTTTGTGTTCTAGCAACAGAAAATAACCTTCTTGCATATGCACTTTGAAGGATTGGTGATTGAGGGGACGTGGGTGCATTTTCACTGTGGCCAAATTGCAGTTTTAGTGTTTGTGTGTGTGATGGAGGTGGTGTGAGGAGTATGGGGAAGAGGGGTGGCAGAGGGAGGTTAAATTAGTAGCACCCTACCACACCCTTTAGCAGCTCACCCCTAACACACACACACACACACCGTCACAACACACACCGTCACAAACACAGTACAGGGTATATGGTGGTGTATGAATTGAGCACAGGGGATCGATAGAGCTGTAAATAGATCAACATGCTTTGCAGTCCCTGTCTCTGTCCGCTCTGCTCTACAGTCCCTGTCTCTGTCCTCTCCTGCTCTGCAGTCCCTGTCTCTGTCCTCTCCTGCTCTGCTCTGCAGTCCCTGTCTCTGTCCTCTCCTGCTCTGCTCTGCAGTCCCTGTCTCTGTCCTCTCCTGCTCTGCTCTACAGTCCCTGTCTCTGTCCTCTCCTGCTCTGCTCTGCAGTCCCTGTCTCTGTCCTCTCCTGCTCTGCTCTGCAGTCCCTGTCTCTGTCCTCTCCTGCTCTGCTCTGCAGTCCCTGTCTCTGTCCTCTCCTGCTCTGCTCTGCAGTCCCTGTCTCTGGCCTCTCCTGCTCTGCTCTGCAGTCCCTGTCTCTGTCCTCTCCTGCTCTGCTCTGCAGTCTCTGTCCTCTCCTGCTCTGCTCTGCAGTCCCAGTCTCTGTCCTCTCCTGCTCTGCTCTACAGTCTCTGTCCTCTCCTGCTCTGCTCTACAGTCTCTGTCCTCTCCTGCTCTGCAGTCTCTGTCCTCTCCTGCTCTGCTCTGCAGTCCCAGTCTCTGTCCTCTCCTGCTCTGCTCTGCAGTCCCAGTCTCTGTCCTCTCCTGCTCTGCTCTGCAGTCTCTGTCCTCTCCTGCTCTGCTCTGCAGTCTCTGTCCTCTCCTGCTCTGCTCTGCAGTCCCTGTCTCTGTCCTCTCCTGCTCTGCTCTGCAGTCCCTGTCTCTGGCCTCTCCTGCTCTGCTCTGCAGTCCCTGTCTCTGGCCTCTCCTGCTCTGCTCTGCAGTCCCTGTCTCTGTCCTCTCCTGCTCTGCTCTGCAGTCCCAGTCTCTGTCCTCTCCTGCTCTGCTCTACAGTCTCTGTCCTCTCCTGCTCTGCTCTACAGTCTCTGTCCTCTCCTGCTCTGCAGTCTCTGTCCTCTCCTGCTCTGCTCTGCAGTCCCAGTCTCTGTCCTCTCCTGCTCTGCTCTACAGTCTCTGTCCTCTCCTGCTCTGCAGTCTCTGTCCTCTCCTGCTCTGCTCTGCAGTCCCTGTCTCTGTCCTCTCCTGCTCTGCTCTGCAGTCCCTGTCTCTGTCCTCTCCTGCTCTGCACAGCTCATCAACAGACTCCATGCAGCCAGTCAAGGCCAAAAATAGTAGCACCCCGCCTTGAGGTCTGTGCCTCTCTCTCTTTTTTATTTATGTATTTATTTTTGTATATATGCAGGCAGGCACAGTGCAATCAGTCTCTCCACAGAATGGTAGACACATTGTTTTCCCCTCGACAGGGTGGTCATGCCCCCAAACAACACCACTTCATAAATTGCTGTCCTGGCAGCATTTCAACAGTCACACCCAGGACTAGCATTAAGTAGGGACTGCTAGAAGACAGAGCGCTCTATACCATGCTGCTTAATTACTTTATAAAGCAGGGGCATACATTTCTTTCTTTCTCCCTCCCTCCCCCTTTTTGTTTAGTCTAATCACTCTTTAATTTAGGGAGCAGGTGACTTGAGTAAATCCATTAGAGATATTCACTCTTCTTTTCTCTTTTCCTCTCCTCCCTTCACTGCAGTCTCTCTGTTTTCTCCCTTCACTGCGGTCTCTCTGTTTTCTCCCTTCACTGCAGTCTCTCTGTTTTCTGCCTCCTCTCAGACGAGGGTTTTCCTCTCTGTGTGTAGTGGTGCAGGATGGCGTCTGTGAAGTAAACCCACAGAACTGAACCATCACGTGAGATGGGTAACACACACACACCCACCCCCTCCCTCTCCAAGGGATAATATGCATGATGTAGACTAGATGCAGGTACAGCACACGGATATTCTTCCTCAACATATTGCCATTTTATAATTATAAGCCTGAGAAGTCTACTGTAAAGAGACATTTTCCTCCGACATTTTACTGTTATATGTTTAGAATGGCCATGTGTCTACACGAGGAATTATGACGCACCCGTCCACAATTAAACTCATTAGAAGGGTGGGGGAAGGAAGGTAAATGATGGTGCAGATATTGCTAAGCAATCAGAAGCTTTTATTGATCGACTCTTCATGCAGCAGCGGCACACCATTAGTTTGTTCCTGCCATCCATCCCTTCTGTCATACCGTACTGGGCTATGGACAGATGTCTGGATAAGCCAGGCTGTTCAGTCAGTCGTTCAGGCCACTGATGGGTTGGGCTGTGGTGGTCTCTCTTCTGCAGGTGCTCTGGCAGGGATGGAGCTGTGACTATGAAGCATCATAATGGGTAGGGGGTAGATGTTTATGATGCCAGGTGCTCTGCCATCCCTGGTCTCTCTCTCTTTTCCTCCTCCAGGCCCACTCTAGGTCTCATCTGTTTGGCTCTGTGCCAGCCTGCTCACTGAGGGGCTGCTCTGTGTGTGAGAGACTGTCTTAAGCCCTCTGTGCGTGTTAGCTGTGTATGTGTGCATCACCTCACCCCTGTGTGTTGCTTACTGCTTTGTATGAGGACCCTTCTCTCTCCTGTGTAAGGTGCACTGCCCTGCCCCCAGTGCCCTGGCATTGAGACAGACCATGCTGGAGGCTCTTTACAGGTGTTGTAGTACCAGTGTTAGGTTTCATTAACCTCTCGTCACCCTCCTATCCTCCCTACAGTGTTAGGGATTGGGTTCATGACCAGGCAGGTATCATGTCCTCAGCATGGATTCAGGCTGTGTTAATTAGCCTCTCCTCCACTGTGCTCAGTTCTGTTCTCTTAAAGAGCTGTCTGGTTGGAGTGATCCACAGGTCTGTCTGTGCACAATAGCAGCTAGCAGGCAGCAACATGCCACTTTGACTGTAACACTTCAGTACAGTTCTGAGACTAGAGCTGCTGCCCTGCTGCATATCTGGAGGAGAGGGAGGGGGAGGACTATGGGCTGGGAGGGGGAGGACTATGGGCTGAGAGGGGGAGGACTATGGGCTGAGAGGGGGAGGACTATGGGCTGAGAGGGGGAGGACTATGGGCTGAGAGGGGGAGGACTATGGGCTGAGAGGGGGAGGCGTATGGGCTGAGAGGGGGAGGCGTATGGGCTGAGAGGGGGAGGCGTATGGGCTGAGAGGGGGAGGCGTATGGGCTGAGAGGGGGAGGCGTATGGGCTGAGAGGGGGAGGGAGATGGATGAGTGGAGAAAGGGGGATAGGGAATAGATGGATGGATGGATGGAGGGAGGGAGGGAGTAGTTTGACAGTGTGATTTTCCTGTTCCTTGCTGTATTATCGCCACAGTCCCTGGTCTGGTCCTCCCTCCCGTTCACAAGTCAGTGAGCCCTGCTTGATTGGTTAGGAACTGATGAGTGGCTGGGGACTACTTTCTACTCGGACAGGAAGAGAGAGAGAGAGAACAGGAGGGAGAGAACGGCCCTAGGGCCTAGACCTCAGCCAGTCATAACTCCCTCTCTCATTTCCTCCATCTATCCCTATATCTTTATCCCTCTCCCTTTCTCTCTCGTTCTCTTTTCTCTCTATCCCTCCCTAGACCTCAGTCACTACTCTCTCCTCTCCTCTCTCTCCTCTCACTCTCTCTCCCTAGCTCTGCACTGGCCAGCTGGGTGGAAAGAATCACTTGTTTATATCTTCCCGCTGTCTGTCAGGGGCTTGTGCTGTTCACCGGCCTCCGTTACCTAGCAACTGCAGTAGCAGCCTCACAAACAGCGCTGTCTGTGTGTGTGTGTCTCGACTGTGTTAGCTAGCAAGGCACATGCATCCCTCTGAGAGCTCTCTGCCTGCCAGGGTGGTGTCCTTTGTGCAGCTAGCTGCCTTGTGTGGCTCTCTGGGTGATGTCAAAGGAGTGGGTCTATTTTCCTCTTTGCCACATATACACACACATAGACAGACACAACATACACAGACACAACACAGAAACACCACACACCTCCTCCTCCTCCTTGCCACACATGCTCCCAACTCTACCCACCTAACAGCTCCTTTTGTCTGCCCTCTCCTCCCCCGGCGGGCTCTATACCAGTCTACATGTCAGTCTGTCTGTCCTTAGAGAAGGCACTCTGTCTGCCTAGTGCACTGTCTGTTTCTTTGTGGTGGTGAAAGGGATTGGATGTCAGATGGGGCTGCTCTCTGTAGATGTGAAGGGTTATTAAGGTCTAGTCTGGTGTGCTTGTTGATGCCTGTGTGTCGAAATCAGTTCACATGCTGTGCTTGCTACAGTTATCTACAGGGTGCTTCTCTGGAGAGCTGCTCTCTCTTGGTTGACGCTGTCTGAATGCCCACACCCACCTCAACATGGCACTGGTGGTCTGATGTTTAGTGGTGGCTTGCATTCTATCTCCTCGCCTTCCAAGGTCCCTGCTCTTTGACCTTCTTCTCCAATGGCTTTGATGGGGCGGCGCACAATTGGCCCAGCGTCGTCCAGGGTAGGGGAGGGAATGGCCGGCAGGGATGTAGCTCAGTTGGTAGAGCATGGCGTTTGCAACGCCAGGGTTGTGGGTTCGATTCCCACGGGGGGCCAGTATGATTTAAAAATATATAATAATGTATGCACTCACTAACTGTAAGTCGCTCTGGATAAGAGCGTCTGCTAAATGACTAAAATGTAAATGTAAAATGTAAAGAATCACAATGAATCGAGGAAACCTTAATTGAGAAAAAGACAATGGGATTCCAGTATATTTTGACAACATCCTGTGTCACCCTCTGCATGGTTCCAGTTATAGCTAGATGTTATTTTTGTGTAGGCTGTTTTCTCTGCAGAAATCTTCCATGCCTTGAGTCCAAATTCAACAATTGGGCCCAGGGGACTGCGGGCTGCAGCATTGCACTGCACAGCATCTCTCACTCTGTCAGTCCTACCGTCGCTCATGACATCTGGTCTGCATGGTCTCCAGTCTCTTCCTACAGCCGCATGGTCCCCAGTCTCTTCCTACAGCCGCATGGTCCCCAGTCTCTTCCTACAGCCGCATGGTCCCCAGTCTCTTCCTACAGCCGCATGGTCCCCAGTCTCTTCCTACAGCCACACATTCCCCAGTCTCTTCCTACAGCCACACATTCCCCAGTCTCTTCCTACAGCCACATGGTCCCCAGTCTCTTCCTACAGCCACATGGTCCCCAGTCTCTTCCTACAGCCGCATGGTCCCCAGTCTCTTCCTACAGCCACATGGTCCCCAGTCTCTTCCTACAGCCACATGGTCCCCAGTCTCTTCCTACAGCCACATGGTCCCTATTCTAATAGAGTAGGTTGTATTACAGTCTGATATTAAGCCTTGAATAGTCACGCGCATCACACTTCCACCTCAAGCTAGCCTGGTGATGAGGTGGGGCCTGGAATAGTCACGCGCATCACACTTCCTCCTCAAGCTAGCCTGGTAGAGTGGCCTGGAATAGTCACGCGCATCACACTTCCTCCTCAAGCTAGCCTGGTGATGAGTTGGGCCTGGAATAGTCACGCGCATCACACTTCCTCCTCAAGCTAGCCTGGTGATGAGGTGGGGCCTGGAATAGTCACGTGCATCACACTTCCTCCTCAAGCTAGCCTGGTGATGAGGTGGGGCCTGGAATAGTCATGCGCATCACACTTCCTCCTCAAGCTAGCCTGGTGATGAGGTGGGGCCTGGAATAGTCACGTGCATCACACTTCCTCCTCAAGCTAGCCTGGTGATGAGGTGAGGCCTGGAATAGTCATGTGCATCACACTTCCTCCCCAAGCTAGCCTGGTGATGAGGTTAGGCCTGGAATAGCCCACACCTGAACCGGTCCGTCAATCAGTGAGGTCTAGATGGCTTGGCTTCCATTTAGTGACGTCACACACACTGTTTATTTTTTTTGCATGCTACACGACTTCAGGATAACCTCATCCCACATCAGTCATCCACCCCCCTCCCCCACTCCCTCATGGAGAGAGTCCCCCCTCTGCTATCCACTCAGTTATTTAGCTAATGGCCTCCTATGCTCTGTGTGGTGGCGTGCGCTCATGAATCAAGGCTCCTTTACATGCCTTTGTTGTTTTCATCAGTTTGTCTGAGCAAGGCTGGCTGGCTGGCTGGCTGGCTGGCTGGCTGGCTGGCTGGCTGGCTGGCTGGAGGTATTTGTCTTCCCGTGGTTGGAAAGTGTGTAAGTCAGAGTTGTTTTACTGGACTGGGTGAATTCCCGCCTCCCTAAGCAGAGGCCAATCCATCTCCATTGTGTGCAAGTCTAGTTTTAAGTCTCTTAGTAAAAGAAGTCATGTCACTCGACTGACTGCATCACAGGCTGTAAATATGTGTTTAAAGTGAGCACGCTTGCTTTTTGGTAAATTAACTTTGAGTCTGGCTACTACTTTAATTCGTTTTATGTCGCTGTATAATGCTGAGTTGCTTTGTCTTTTGACTCTGTGCCAGTTTCACAATTGTTACTATGGGTTGAGGTAACCAACTGAGTTTGGCACCACAGCTTCCCGTCTCTCACATGAACACAAACTCATGTCTAAAGTACTCTCTCAACCAGGCTTGTCCTCTCTCTCTCCTGTCTCTCAGGTCAGAAGACGTGTCTCCACCTCCATGGCATCTTCCCCTACCTCTATGTGCCCTACGATGGCTACGGGCAGCAGGCGGAGCTCTACCTGCGTCAGGTGGCCTTCAGCATCGACAGGGCCCTCAATGTGTCCATGGGAAACCCCTCCTCTAACACACAACACGTCTTCAAGGTGGCACTTGTCTCCGGCATGTAAGTACCCGCTCCCTCTCTTTTAGACATCACTGTTCTGTAGTAGGGTCAGTCACTACATAGCAGAGGCTCTTGCTCAATTAGTTTTTCTCGATTCCACGTTGCAGGAGATGGCACAATGTTCCTACCCTAAGCCATTCTCCTCCCTATGGGTTTTGAGTGGGAGGTGAAGAGGGAAGACATGAGAAATCAAGAAAATACTAATTGAGAAAGGGCCAGAGTTTAGTCTAGAGGCTGAAAGTGTCAATGTTAGAAGGTGAATGATAGGTCATGTCCATAATCAGGTATCGTGATGTTTCCCAAGAGGTTTGTCTGACGGTGGTCTCTCCCTCTCTCCACAGTCCTTTTTATGGATACCATGCCAAAGAGAAGACGTTTATGAAGATCTATCTGTACAACCCTCAGATGGTCAAAAGGTGAGGAGGGTGTTCTACTGGTTTTGCCTTAGCTGGCGCTTCTCACTGGTCTGTGTTTTGGTTTGAGCTGCAATAGCCTGTCTTAACATTGATCCTGTGTTTCTCTTGTTGGAGAGTGGTATTCTCTCTCTCTGACTGTGCTCATGACTATGATGCTCACTCTACTGATATTGATTGCCAGGCTTATATAGTACAGAGCACTCACTGTGTGTGTTTTAGACAGGGGGTGTGTGAGAGAGAGTCCTAAAAATGAGGTTCAATGTTCAGTAGCACCCCTGAACCCACCGGTTCAGAGACATGAGGAGAGGGACTGATACTGGGGGAGGGAGGGACTGAGAGAGGAGAGGGACTGATACTGAGAGGAGAGAGGGACTGAGAGAGAGGGGGATTTATGCTGAGGGATAGAGGGACTGATACTGAGAGAGCGAGGGACTGATACTGGGGGAGGAGAGGTAGAGGGGGACTGATTCGGAGGGTGGAGAGGAGAGAGACTAACTGGCACACTGTCTGCTCCCCGGCCTGACTGGGTGTTTATGAGCCGACGTCTAGAGCCCCTGTCTCATTTCAGATCTGTCACTCGGGTGAACTGTCACTGTGGCCTACATTATTATTATTATTATTATTATTATTATTATTATTATTATTATTATTATTATTAATATAGGACAGACAAAGACTGGGGCTGATGAGGTGGCAGCGTGGTAGGCACAGCTTGTCCCATGAATTAATCATAAAACTGAGGATTAGCTGATCACTGCCAAACAAACATTCTGGATAATGTAGAGAACCTTGAACTATTTATTGATCAGCATTCTGATATGCTCGAAAAAGAATCAGATACATCGAAGCGAACAAGAGAAGACCTTTCCTCGCTCTGCGAGCAAAACGGAAGGGAAGCCGCCATTTTTAAATTTCTAAATTTAACATTGGAGGGGGATGTTTTTATAACTATGTCTCCAGAAGATAGAGCATTGCTTACAAGCATGAGCGAACCGTTAAAAAAGCTGGATATATTGCCTGGGCTACTGGGGGAGGTTGAGGCCTTAAAAACAGGAATGGTTTACAGTAATAAAATGATGGAAGAAATATGAGCGAAAATAAGATATTGAAAACTACCGTGGACTCTACGGAGAGGCTACGGTATGATAATAAAACAATGAAAGCCGAATGACTTGATCTAAAGTGCAGAAGTATGAAGAACATTGTTATAATGTTAATAAAGGAGAATGAAAACGAAAACTATCAGTCAAAGGAGGAAAAAGTCAAGGTTTTCATAAAACGTAATCTCTACGATGACGGACGAACAGGTGAATACAATTGATTTTCAAAGGGCTCACCGTTTCGGTGGCAGGGGTGAGGGAATGCCCTGTCCGATAGTAGCTAGGTTAAATGAAGATTACCTTTCTACAACAGGGTAGGGAGCTGAAGAACACGCCATTCTCTATTAATGAAATAATGGAGAGACGATGTTCCCTGTACCCCACTTTCAAAAGGCTCCGAGCAGATAAGCAGAATGTTTGTCTAGTGGTCGATAAATATTACGTAAACAACCAAATGTTCAAGGACTCGGAAGATTACAACGTGGCTGTGAGTGATAGCTACTTCCTGCGGAAGTAGTCCCGACACACATTTGCGCACCGCATTACACATTACAATTATGAATACATTTTTTTCAATTATTATTATTTAAAAAATGTATGCATGATTTTTCTTTTTATTCATGCAGTACAGAACCGTGGACTTCAAATAAGGTTGGACTTTTGGGAATGCCAAATGAGTATGATGGACTTATCCTTTTTTTATTTAGGCAATAACGAACTTTGGACTATATGGACTTAAAATCAGGTTTTGATTTAGGGAAAGGCGAATATAAAGTATTTTTTAAACAAACAAAATATTTATTTAATTGATAAAATGCCAAGTTTTTTATTAATTTTTTAATATGATATGGCCTCATTGTAGAGATCGGGGTATATTATGACTTAAAAGCTGTTATATAGTGCAGCCCTTTTTGGCGGATGTGAATCGGAACGAATAGAATTGAAGATGAAACGTAATAAATATGAATAGATCTAATGTAGGGCTAGGATAAAGTATTACAGAATTAAAAACCTGTCTAGGTTCTCTATTGGAATAAGCCTATACATAACCTGTCTAGGTTCTCTATTGGAGTAAGCCTATACAATCCTAAAATAATTGGTGTCATTATCTTTTTACATTTAAAAAATACATCTCAATATTATTGTTCCGATACACACTGGCAAATGGATTGGGTATTGTCAACGGGGTTGTTGTCTCTATTAGTGTGCGGCTGGCTAACACTGGGTTAAACTGATTAAAGCTAACGGTAGAGCCAACACAATAACTGGCTTATGGAAGCACTTCTCTAAGCGCGAAGTATATTATATATTTTTACATGAGCTATTTACGGTACCCTTATATTATTGATCCTAATGTTATAGGCCTATGTGTAAAACAGCTGCAGTGATAGAGCAACGACCCTGGAATAAAAACAACGTGTGTGGGTGGAGAGAGGGTTGGTTTTTCAGTTTTACTCGCTCTGGATTGTCAGTAATGCATGTCGTCTTTGCTATCGTGCCATGGCTGTATCAGGGTTGGTTGTAAGTTAAACTTATGTATCCCTTTATGGGTAGTGTGATGCTTACATTTACATTTTAGTCATTTAGCAGACGCTCTTATCCAGAGCGACTTACAGTTAGTGAATACCAATTTTTTTTTATTATTTTTTTTATACTGCCCCCCCCCTGGGAATCGAACCCACAACCCTGGCGTTGCAAACGCCATGCTCTATCAACTGAGCTACATCCCTGCCGGCCATTCCCTCCCCTACCCTGGACGACGCTGGGCCAATTGTGCGCCGCCCATGAGTCTCCCGGTCGCGGCCGGCTGCGACAGAGCCTGGATTCGAACCAGGATCTCTAGTGGCACAGTTAGCACTGCGATGCAGTGCCTTAGACCACTGCGCCACTCAGGAGGCTCGTGGGCGGCCTGCTTAAGACACATTTTTACTGGCTGACATTAGCGGCTGTTAGAATGTATGTTCCTTCTTCCCTTTTGTCGGAATAAAACAGGATATAGTGAGACTACATTAAATACGTCTCTCTGCCGATAGGCAGCGTGCATGTAATGGACATAATGAACTGGTCGTGCGATATTTATAGGTATTTTTCTCTTCCTTTTTCAATTTCTTTGGAACAATTGGATCCTATGAACTGAGCAGGCTGGGCTGACATGCTTATAGCCTTTTCTAGGACTTTCTTAATATGAGCATGAATCTATAATATTGTGCTGGTATTATTTCTATGAATATCTATTGTTTATTGTTTTCCATGTTATGTGGTTAGTTCTCTCTTAAAAAGCACCCTCATAGATATGCAATATACCTATGGGGCTTTGAATTTGTAAGTGAAGCGTGGCAGTGTTGAATTATGTTATGTGGTGGAAATTCTAATCAAGTGAGAGAGATTTTGTCATTTCTTCAAACAATCATCTTTATTTAATATCGGTTAATTATTGCAATAATAAGGCTGGTCGACCCAACACTCTTGAGTGTTGGGATGAGAGCTCTCACATACAAAAAATACAAATATATTTTATAGCACGATACACCCTCTCAGTCTACATGACAAACAGCAGATGTGTGGAATGGGTCAAAAGATGAGACTTGTTGTATGATAAAGGAGTATCCCCCAGCCAGATAGCATTTGCTGTGAAGACTGTTCTCATTGTATGGAAACCAGGGTTTGGCCCCTACCTGAGCCATCTCTCCCTGGTACCTTACATTACACAAACACCAACTCATTCTATGAATAGCATTTGCAGGTTTTATCACCAAACCATACATAAATCAGTTGTCAGCTCCAGATACCCCTATCTTGAGTAAAACCCATGTCCTTGACCACACACCTAGACTAGCTGCAGGGAGCTGGAGTAGAAACCATCCCTTTACAAAAACACAGCATTAGTAGAACAGTATATAATTGTTAACTATTAATATTAAACGAAGCAGGTGAACATGTTACATGTTAATTTTTCTCTCACGTTCCCCTCTCAAGGAACTACTTTCCTTCCAGGAAAAATATGAACAGTAACTTGTCAAATCTTAGTAACATTTGTTGCAGAATTTATGAATGATTTAAAAATAAGAAAAACTGAATCAATACCCTTCAATGTCGAGTACCTTATGCTCACTCCACGTGGACTCCTGTCACACTCCTGAGAGAAAAGGCATGAGAGAAAAGGCAGTTGATAGCTTCGATTGGATGCTGTGTACAGGTTGCTGGCTTGGACTCAGGTCTCTCGGTAGAAGTGGTGCAGGACCATACTGAACACCATTTCTTCAACCGGTTAGAGGGGGTTTTGAGGTTCACACCATTCTCGGGCTAATTATCCCTTCCATGCATATAAACTCAGCAAAAAAAGAAACGTCCCCTTTTTCAGGACCCTCTCTTTCATATATAATTCGTAAAATTCCAAATAACTTCACAGATCTTCATTGTAAAGGGTTTAAACACTGTTTCCCATGCTTGTTCAATGAACCATAAACAATTAATGAACATGCACCTGTGGAACGGTCGTTAAGACACTAACGGCTTACAGACAGTAGGCAATTTAAGGTCACAGTTATGAAAACTTAGGACACTAAAGAGGCCTTCCTACTGACTCTGAAAAACACCAAAAGAAAGATGCCCAGGGTCCCTGCTCATCTGCGTGAACGTGCCTTAGGCATGCTGCAAGGAGGCATGAGGACTGCAGATGTGGCCAGGGCAATAAATTGCAATGTCCGTACTGTGAGACGCCTAAGACAGCGCTACAGGGAGACAGGACGGACAGCTGATCATCCTCGCAGTGGCAGACCACGTGTAACAACACCTGCACAGGGTCGGTACATCCGAACATCACACCTGCAGACAGGTACAGGATGGCAACAACAACTGCCCGAGTTACACCAGGAACGCACAATCCCTCCATCAGTGCTCAGACTGTCCGCAATAGGCTGAGAGAGGCTGGACTGAGGGCTTGTAGGCCTGTTGTAAGGCAGGTCCTCACCAGACATCACTGGCAACAACGTCGCCTATGGGCACAAACCCACTGTCGCTGGACCAGACAGGACTGGCAAAAAGTGCTCTTCACTGACGAGTCACGTTTTTTTTTGTCTCACCAGGAGTGATGGTCGGATTCGCATTTATCGGCGAAGGAATGAGCGTTACTCCGAGGCCTGTAATCTGGAGCGGGATCGATTTGTAGGTGGAGGGTCCGTCATGGTCTGGGGCGGTTTGTCACAGCATCATCGGACTGAGCTTGTTGTCGTTTCAGGTCATCTCAACGCTGTGCGTTACAGGGAAGACCTCCACCCTCGTGGTACCCTCCTGCAGGCTCATCCTGACATGACCCTCCAGCATGACAATGCCACTAGCCATACTGCTCGTTCTGTGCGTGATTTCCTGCAAGACAGGAATGTCGGTGTTCTGCCATGGCCAGCAAAGAGCCTGGATCTCAGTCCCATTGAGCACGTCTGGGAGCTGTTGGATCGGAGGGTGAGGGCTAGGGCCATTCCCCCCAGAAATGTCCGGGAACTTGCAGGTGCCTTGGTGGAAGAGTGGGGTAACATCTCACAGCAAGAACGGGCAAATCTGGTGCAGTCCATGAGGAGGAGATGCACTGCAGTACTTAATGCAGCTGGTGACCACACCAGATACTGACTGTTACTTTTGATTTTGACCCACCCTTTGTTCAGGGACACATTATTCCATTTCTGTTAGTCACATGTCTGTGGAACTTGTTCAGTTTATGTTTCAGTTGTTGAATCTTATGTTCATACAAATATTTACACATTTGCTGAAAATAAACGCAGTTGACAGTGAGAGGACTTTTCTTTTTTTGCTGAGTTTAGATACCATCTGTAGTCACCCTCACCATAACATCGAGAGAGGACAGGTCAGAACAACCGTTTTTAGTTCATTTCTGATTCAGGAAATCCAGACAAGCATGAACTGTATGACAAATTATTACTTTTACCAATATTCTCAATACAAATTTCTAAGACAAATGTCAAATAGAAAAACAACACATTCTGTTGAAACAATCTTTTCAAATTGACTTATACTCCCCTATCACACTGTCGACCTCACCGCAGAGTCACAGGATCAGGAAGGTAGACCACTAATCCTTAGGGAGTAATCTCGATCATCCAGCAGATCCAACCACACTAGAAAATTGTCAAAATAGTTGTACCTGCTTTTTTCGCAATAATCACTGATCTGGCTTTCAGGTCTGTCTATAAAAATGCCTTTTTTCTTACAAATTTAACCAGAACCATGCATAATGCACATTCACTAATAATGTAGCAGGCATTATAGAAAATTAACACCGGTCTCAAAAACTCTCAAGCACAAGCCCACGTGCTAGTGAGTAGCCAGCTAATATTTGTATTTCAAGTTTAGCCATGGATCTAGGTATAATTTCACAAGCTCTGAATTCAGCTAATAAGGCAAAACAGTTGAATTGTTATGAACACAACCTTCTGTCCAACTGTTTGAACAGCATGCTTGGCTGTCCACTTTGTTCAGATGTTGAAATCGAGTGGCCTACCTTATTTCTCAGAATGAGAATGAGTTGCCAATTCCTTATATAATTGTTTTATGCTTATTGCACATTTATAAAACACAGACTGAACAGCTAGTATAACAATCTTTATTTGACAAAAATGCTGCTAGCTATACGTGGTACTGTAATACGTGCGCGACAAACTGAGCATACATTTTACAGAATTAATGTTCATTGGTACTTCCGTTTCAGTAGTGTCTGCTCTGCTTGAAATTTGAAGGGTATGGTTTAAACAGGGTATGGTTCGAAAGGTTAACTTCTCTATTACAGTAAAATAATGTCTCCATGTGTTTCGGTGTCCATATGCCCAATTCTGTTGGACCAAATGCAAATAGGGAGTTGAAACCGTTTGTCAGAAGGAAGAAGGGATCGCTCATCTTTGTTGTTGTGATTGATTGGTAGGGGGAGGGGCTTGGGAGAAAGAGACTAAGTGAGAGGTTTCACTCTCGCCAAAATCTGTCCAAAATAAGCCCAATGCGTATCTATGCGCTTATTTTGAACCTAAGCTTGTCGCCTGCCTTCATGCCTTTGGGACAACGACTCCCATTGTTAGGGCGGAGACATGAGCATCTCTTCATTATATACAGATCTCTGGTGTAAATGGGAAAGTGCACAGCACAGAAGGAGCGAACAAGACGAGACCAACAAGACAACATGAGAACAAGCGGACATAAACGCTCATGAAAACGAAAAATACAACAAACCTCGATTCTACAATACAGGCATTTGGAATGTCGCGCAAAAACATAACATCTAATTAATTGAATTAATTAGTTATATCGCCCAGCCCTATGTCACGGTATCTTTCCAACAACTAGGTCTACAAGGTGAATGAGATTTGAATGGTGTTTTGTGAAAGCATATTGAATGAAACAATCTTATTTGTTTATTTTGTTGTGGATTTTGGAACACATTGCTTTTTCTGTACGCAAAGTAAATGTCTGTAAATAGTAGACAAAGTATATATCTTATCGTGTGTGTGTGTGGTTCCAGGGTGTGTGAGCTGTTACAAGGAGGTGCTGTGATGAACAAGAGCTACCAGCCCCATGAGGCCCACATCCCCTACCTACTGCAGCTATTCATCGACTACAACCTGTATGGCATGAACATGGTCAACCTGGGAGCCGTCAAGTTCCGCCGGAGCCAGCAGCGCGAAGGTAAGGGACTCTCCGGGGTGAAGTTTCTTCTAAGTACAGATCCAGAATCCGTTTCCCCTCCCCAATCATAGCCTTAAAAATTAGTGGGGGGGATAGGGTGCGGTGGTGCTACTGCATCTTATTGAATGTGTGTGGGGGGGATCAGTATGAGGGAGGAAGGGAGGGGTGAGGGTAAAGGTCTAGCATCCTACTCTTTTTTTTCTTTTTTGTTTTAAGTTCATGACTTAGTCTGGGTGGGGGAACAGAGGGTTAATGTGATTCCTTATTGTTTTCTTTGTACTCCTCTGTCTAGATATAGATATGTATGTATGTATGTGTGTGTGTGTGTGTGTGTGTGTGTGTGTGTATATATATATATATATATATATATATATATATATATATATATATATATATATATACACACACAGTTGAAGTCGGAAGTTTACATACACCTTAGCCAAATACATTTAAACTCAGTTTTTCACAATTCCTGACATTTAATCCTAGTAAAAATTCCCTGTTTTAGGTCAGTTAGGATCACCACTTTATTTTAAGAATGTGAAATGTCAGAATAATAGTAGCGAGTGATTTATTTAAGCTTTTATTTATTTCATCACATTCCCAGTGGGTCAGAAGTTTACATACACTCAATTATTATTTGGTAGCATTGCCTTTCAATTGTTTAACTTGGGTCAAATGTTTCGGGTACCTTCCACAAGCTTCCCACAATAAGTTGGGTGAATTTTGGCCCATTCCTCCTGACAGAGCTGGTGTAACTGAGTCAGGTTTGTAGGCCTCCTTGCTCGCACATGCTTTTTCAGTTCTGCCCACAAATGTTCTATAGGATTGAGGTCAGGGCTTTGTGATGGCCACTCCAATACCTTGACTTTGTTGTCCTTAAGCCATTTTGCCACAACTTTGGAAGTATGCTTGGGGTCATTGTCCATTTGGAAGACCAATTTGCGACCAAGCTTTAACTTCCTGACTGATGTCTTGAGATGTTGCTTCAATATATCCACATAATTGTCCTTCCTCATGATGCCATCTATTTTGTGAAGTGCACCAGTCCCTCTTGCAGCAAAGCACCCCCACAGCATGATGCTGCCACCCCGTGCTTTATGGTTGGGATGGTTTTCTACGGCTTGCAAGTCCCCCATTTTTCCTCCAAACATAACGATGGTCATTATGGCCAAACAGTTCTATTTTTGTTTCATCAGACCAGAGGACATTTCTCCAAAAACTACGATCTTTGTCCCCATGTGCAGTTGCAAACCATAGTCTGTCTTTTTTATGGCGGTTCTGGAACAGTGGCTTCTTCCTTGCTGAGCGGCCTTTCAGGTTATGTCGATATAGGACTCGTTTACTGTGGATATAGATACTTTTGTACCTGTTTCCTCCAGCATCTTCACAAGGTCCTTTGCTGTTGTTCTGGGATTGATTTTGCACTTTTCGCTCCAAAGTACATTCATCTCTAGGAGACAGAACACGTCTCCTTCCTGAGCGGTATGACGGTTGCGTGGTCCCATGGTGTTTATACTTGCGTACTAGTGTTTGTACAGATGAACGTGGTACCTTCAGGCGTTTGGAAATTGCTCCCAATAATGAACCAGACTTGTGGAGGTCTACGATCTTTTTTCTGATGTCTTGGCTGATTTCTTTTGATTTTCCCATGATGTCAAGCAAAGAGGCACTCAGTTTGAAGGTAGGCCTTGAAATATATCCACAGGTACACCTCCAATTGACTCAAATTATGTCAATTAGCCTATCAGAAGCTTCTAAAGCCATGACATCATTTTCTGGAATTTTCCAAGCTGTTAAAAGACACAGTCAACTTAGTGTATGTAAACTTCTGACCCACTGGAATTGTGATTAAGTGAAATAATCTGTCTGTAAACAATTGTTGGAAAAATTACTTGTGTCATGCACAAAGTAGATGTCCTAACCGACTTGCCAAAACGATAGTTTCTTAACAAGACATTTGTGGAGTGGTTGAAAAACGAGTTTTAATGACTCCAAACTAAGTTTATGTAAACTTCTGACTTCAACTGTATACACACACACACACACACACACACACACACACACACACACACACACACACACACACACAGTACCAGTCAAAAGTTTGGACACACCTACTCATTCAAGGGTTTTTCTTTATTTTTACTATTTTCTACATTGTAGAATAATAGTGATGGAGTTCTTGAAATTTTCCGTATTGACTGACCTTTATGTCTTAAAGTAATGACTGTCGTTTCTCTTTGCTTATTTGAGCTGTTTTTGCCATAATATTACCAAATAGGGCTATCTTCTGTATACCCCCCTACCTTGTCACAACACAACTGATTGGCTCAAACGCATTAAGAAGGAAAGAAATTCCACAAATTAACTTTTAAGAAGGCACTCCTGTTAATTGAAATGCTTTCCAGGTGACTACCTCATGAAGCTGGTTGAGAGAATGCCAAGAGTGTGCAAAGCTGTCATCAAGGCAAAGGGTGGCTATTGGAAGAATCTCAAATATAACATATATTTTGATTTGTTTAACAATTCTTTGGTAACTACATGATTCCATGTGTTATTTCATAGTTTTGATGTCTTCACTATTATTCTACAATGTAAAAAATAGTCAAAATAAATAATAATCACTGTCAATTAGGTTAGTATTGTGGAGTAACTACAATGTTGTTGATCCATTTTCAGTCTTCTCCTATCACAGCCATTCATCTCTGTAACTGTTTTAAAGTCACTATTGGCCTAATGGTGAAATCCCTGAGCAGTTTCCTTCCTCTCCGGCAACTGAGTTAGGAACGACTCCTGTATCTTTGTAGTGACCGGGTGTATTGATACCCTATCCAAAGTGTAATTAATAACTTCACCATGCTCAAAGGGATATTCAATATCTGCTTTTTTATTTATTTTTACCAATCTACCAATAGGTGCCCTTTTTTGCGAGGCATTGGAAAACCTCCCTGGTCTTTGTGCTTGAATCGGTTTTTGAAATTCACTGTTCAAATGAGGGACCTTACAATTATCTGTATGTGTGGGGTACAGAGATGAGGTAGTCATTCAAAAATCATGTTACACACTATTATTATGCATATTTGTACTCCTGAAGTTGTTTAGGGTTTGAATACTTATTGACTCAAGACATTTCAGCATTTCATTTTTAATTAATTTTTTAAAAATATGTGTGTAGCCAGTGACCGATTTTATATGAATTTAATCAATTTAAAATTCAGGCTGTAACAACAAAATGTGGAAAAAGTCAAGGGGTGTGAATACTTTTTGAAGGCACTGTACATGTCATCACAAGATGCCCAGCGCTTCAAGCCTCCTCCTCCAACCTCTCTCGCTCTCTCCCCACCCGCAAAATTTCAGTTGCATCTCGCACCCTACACTTACTTGTCTTTCCAGCACGCATGTAACCAACTCACTGAGCTATAGCTTTCCCGCTCCATAGCAAGCTGCTGTATATGCACTGCATGATTGGTGAAGGAATTTAATGTCGTGCTAAATGTTTACTGAACAAAAATATAAACGCATCATGCAACAATTTCAAAGATTTTACTGAGTTACAGTTCATATAAGGAAATCAGTCAATTGAAATAAATTCATTAGGCACAGCCATGGGTGGGCTTGGGAGGGCACTGGGGAGCCAGGCCCAGCCAATCAAAATATGTTTTTCCCCACGAAAGGGCTTTATTACAGACAGGAATACTCCTCAGTTTCATCAGCTGTCTGGGTGGCTGGTCTCAGACGATCCCGCAGGTGAAGAAGCCGAATGTGGAGGTCCGTGGCTGGTATGGTTATACGTGGTCTGCGGTTGTGAGGCCGGTTGGACGTACTGCCAAATTCTCTAAAACGACGGAGGCAGCTTATGGTAGAGAAATGAACATTGAATTTTGTGGCAACAGATCTGGTGGACATTACTGCAGTCAGCATGCCAATTGTACACTCCCTCAAAACTTGAGACATCTGTGGCATTGTGTTGTGTGACAAAACTGCACATTTTAGTGGCCATTTACTGTCCCGAGCACATGGTGCACCTGTGTAATGAGCATGCTGTTTAATCAAGTTCTTGATATGCCACACCTGTCAGGTGGATGGATTATCTTGGCAAAGGAGGATGCTCACTAATAGGGATGTAAACAAATGTGTTCATAACATTTCTGGGATCTTTTATTTCAGCTAATGATACATGGGACCAACACTTTACATGTTTAGTTTATATTTTTGTTAATTATATATATATATTTTATATATATATATTTTTTTAAATCAGAGCTTAAAAAAGAACAGAAAGTAACAATATTAACTGGTACTTTTTTGGGTTCGAACCGGTTCAGAACTTTATTTAGCTTTGTCAGAACAGTGGAACGGAACAAAAAAGATTATGGTTCAACTCCTGCTGTTGACTGTTACTGTTAGATGTGATTTGATATTACTGTTAGTTATAGATGTGGTTGATATTACTGTTGGTAGTGTTAGATGTGGTTGAGGACTCTGTAGTTGCAGCATTCCCAGTCATAACAGATCAAGGCTGTTTTCTGCTCTGATGGACAGACAACCCAGGCTATAGGTCCTCCTCCTCCACTGTGCTCTGGCTCTGTGGGGAGGCTGTAAGGAAGGACAAGGAGAGAGGGAAAGCTGCCATGCTTTGTCATGATTTATTAGTAGAGTTCTTTACAATGGCCTTGAGATGCCTCTGCTGCCTCTCTAGCTCGCACGATCTATCTCACACAGGTGTACACACACCTCCTTGTCCTGCTACCTAATGCATCCTGGTCAGTGTGAGATTTCCAAAAAAGTGACAAGCAGATGACACCCTGGCTTTTCAAAGACCTGACTGTATAGATAGACTAGAGAAGGTTTTAATCATAAAGCTCTACAATGACAGTGCTAAGGCCTTTGAATAATACAGGACAGAGAAAGAGGGAGGGAGAACTAGAAGCAATGGGGTGCCGGCCGGGCGGCAGCCCCCCTCCAGCCCTGAAACTAGACTAGAGGAGTAACTCTTCTACTGCACATTCTCCTAGAACCCCAGAGCATTCTGGAACACCGCCAGCCTGTTACAGACAATAAGTCATTATGCATATGACCGAGAGATCCGGGCTGTCATCCCTGTATGTCACCCAATCCAGGAGCCTGAGGCCCATTCCTAGTAATATCATCAGTTTCTTCCTCTGTTTCACAGAGCTGGACAAACAAACACCCCGACATCAATCTAGAGAAATAAGCCAGTAAGGGTTTGGATATGGATCTATTTACTTCTGTATGTTGTTCATTGAATTGGTACTTTACACAGCTGTTTATTATTAATATGACCTCCCGCCTCACCTCTGCCAACCAAAACAAAACCGCAGCAACAAGCCAAGCTGGGACATTTATCTCCTAGTGAGAATGATAAAGTCGAAACTGTAATCTGACGGTTGAGGCCGGGGGGCGGTCAGACATGGACTCCCTTCCTCCTCCCTCCCTTCATCCCAGGAAGTGAACTCAGTGGGAGGAAGATAGTGGTAGAACAGGGGAGGTATCTCAGTGGGAGTGGAGGATCAGGGGAGCTTTCCCTCAGATCTGAGGGTTGAACTTGGCCTTGGCTTCACACTCCTTCACACCTTTTCTTTCCTGCCTGATCTATTTGATCTTGACTAGGGTTTAGTAATCGCTAATCCCGGGCCGTACTGAGCCGAGATGGGACAGGTATCTCCGCTCTGCAGTGCTCTTCATGCCTGAGCGAGTCTCTCCTGGGCCAGGGGAGGCCGAACCCAGCATCACACCACCAGGCAGATTAATAGGTTCTTAACAATGTTCACGCAACACTCTCCCCAGACAAAGAGAGGGCTTGAATGTTAAATCCACCTCTGGATTTCAAGCAATCAATGGAAAAGGGTTTGCAAAGAACCAAAAAGTACAAAGAGACCAAAGCGCTGTGACAATGTACAACTGTTTACATTCTTTTTAGTATTGCTCCAATTTGAAAGTGAGTTGGTAATCTGGGATCAAGTGAAGACGATGACAACATTTTGAAAACCCTGTGTAAAAAGCTGTGTAGATCCAAATCAATTTGAAATACTGAGCTGGTATGCTTTTTTAGTTTTGCTGTATGTTGAAGGCACAATGTTTGTGGACTGTTTCAGCAATACAATCTCAGATAGGCTTCCAACTAATGACTCACATTCATGTGTGTGTCTATGTAACAGAGGGGTCTCCCCCAGATCGCCAGGGCTTCAGCAGCAGACCCAGCACCAGCCCCTTGAAGAGCCCCTGTACCTCCAAACTGAGTGACAGTACCCTAGGAGCCACGTTTGTCCGCTGGCAGGAGGATGCCATACCCTGGTGAGCCACACCTGCACAGACAGGCTCCTTTCACATGTTGTGGGCCTCTACGGTGTTAGGTTTTTATCGCTTGTTTGTACATGATAACTGTGGTTTTCTTCTTTCTTCTTCCCCCTCCTCGCTCTCTGTGTGATGTAGTTCTCTAGTCCTGGAGGATGTGGAGAAACAGAGTACGTGTGAGCTGGAGGCAGATGCTGTGGCTGCAGACATCCTCAACCGTCTGGAGATAGAGAGTAAGGACAACAAACTTGAACACCTTTTTCTTGTCATAGATCAGTCAGCCAGTCAGGCAGACACGGTCGGCACACAAGGAGAGCCTGAGGGAGGGGATGGCTACTGACTCACTCCTGCTCTGACTATGTAACACAGATGAGTGATGGTGGCTTTTCGACAGCAGTGGTTGCATCTCAAATGGCACCCTATTCCCTATAGTGCACTACTTTTGACTAGAGCCCTAAAGGAGCCCTATAAAGGCAATAGGGTGCCATTTGGGACGCAGCCTATGTGACACAGATGAGAGACAGAGGCCTTCTCCAGATCAAACGGTGTCTGTCTCTCACCCCACTGCCAGGCTCCGGCTCTTCAGCACATTGGAGCATGAGATCAGTGACCATCCGGCCCAAAACAAACACTGTCCACTCACCCTATCTGTCTGCCTTCTGTCTGGAGAGAGGGAGAGAGAATTAGAAACAGAAGGATGTAGGGTGGAAGAGCAGATTGAACTGAGAACTTCAAGCAAAAGAGAACACAGTGTTTAGAACATGCAGAGCCATGTATGAATGTTCATTCATTGCTGGAATGTGTTCCAATTTCTCAATTCAGAATGAACTCTTTTTACAGACTTCCTGCTATTGCTGATACATACTAGGAACAGAAGAAACAAAGTGATTGCATTTTTGGATGTGTTTTAGATGAGCTGTGCTCAGAATATGGAGTGTTTGCAACGGACACACACACAATTATCTGTAAAAGGTAGAAAGGGGGGGCACACCAGGGCAGTCCGCATATGTGGTCTTGGCACGTAGATTTCCCATCTGCCCCAAAAACGGATATACAAACTCTCAGTTGAAAAGGAAATGGTTGAAGAATGATTCTATGATTTTGAGTTTGTGCCCAGTTCTGAGTGGTTGGCTCTTGATCTTAAACTTTGCTTTGTGTGAGTAGGGCTGGCACAATTATTGTATAATCGTGTAACTGACAATTATGGACAATAACCATCAACTCAAAAATGTATTGTCTTAATACATTTATTTTAGGAGAAGGGGTATATTCACTTTATATTAAAGTAGATATAATTTACCCAAACAGTTTTTCATTTTTACATCAAGTGGGTAAAGTTGGTAATCACTTTACGAGCAGAACGGCACGGTCTAAAGAAGCTTTATTTCCAAAAGTTCTAAGCAGTCAAAACCATTCGTTTTTTTTTAAACAGGGTTGTCTCCAAACCTGTGTTGTATTCATATGTTGTAGATCATTTTCTAAGATGCATTATGATGCATGACAAGCTCAAAATCTATAGACTCAGCAGAAAGAGAAATGTCCTCTCACTGTCAACTGCGTTTATTTTGAGCAAACCTAACGTGTAAATATTTGTATGAACATAACAAGATTCAACAACTGAGACATAAACTGAACAAGTTCCACAGACATGTGACTAACAGAAATTGAAAAATGTGTCCCTGAACAAAGGGGGGGGGGGGCAAAATCAAAAGTAACAGTCAGTATCTGGTGTGGCCACCAGCTGCATTAAGTACTGCAGTGCATCTCCTCATGGACTGCACCAGATTTGCCAGTTCTTGCTGTGAGATGTTACCCCACACTTCCACCAAGGCACCTGCAAGTTCCCGGACATTTCTGGGGGGAATGGCCCTAGCCCTCACCCTCCGATCCAACAGGTCCCAGACGTGCTCAATGGGATTGAGATCTGGTCTCTTCGCTGACCATGGCAGAACACTGACATTCCTGTCTTGCAGGAAATCACGCACAGAACGAGCAGTATGGCTGGTGGCATTGTCACGCTGGAGGGTCATGTCAGGATGAGCCTGCATGAAGGGTACCACATGAGGGAGGAGAATGTCTTCCCTGTAACTCACAGCGTTGAGTTGCCTGCAATGACAAAAAGCTCACTCCGATGATGCTGTGACACACCGCCCCAGACCATGACGGACCCTCCAACTCCAAATCACTCCAGAGAACAGGCCTCGGCGTAACACTCATTCCTTCGACAATAAACGCGAATCCGACCATCACCCCTGGTGAGACAAAACCGCGACTTGTCAGTGAAGAGCACTTTTTGCCAGTCCTGTCTTGTCCAGCGACGGTGGGTTTGTGCCCATAGGCGATGTTGTTGCCGGTGATGTCTGGTGAGGACCTGCCTTACAACAGGCCTACAAGCCCTCAGTCCATCCTCTGTCAGCCTATTGCGGACAGTCTGAGCACTGATGGAGGGATTGTGCGTTCCTGGTGTAACTCGGGCAGTTGTTGTTGCGATCCTGTACCTGTCCCGAAGGTGTGATGTTCGGATGTACCGATCCTGTGCAGGTGTTGTTACACGTGGTCTGCCACTGCAAGGAAGATCAGCTATCCGTCCTGTCTCCCTGTAGCGCTGTCTTAGGCGTCTGACAGTACGGACATTGCAATTTATTGCCCTGGCAACATCTGCAGTCCTCATGCCTCCTTGCAGCATGCCTAAGGCACGTTCACGCAGATGAGCAGGGACCCTGGGCATCTTTCTTTTGGTGTTTTTCAGTCAGTAGAAAGGCCTCTTTTAGTGTCCTAAGTTTTCATAACTGTGACCTTAATTGCCTACCATCTTTAAGCTGTTAGTGTCTTAACGACCGTTCCACAGGTGCATGTTCATTAATTGTTTATGGTTCATTGAACAATTATGGGAAACAGTGTTTAAACCCTTTACAATGAAGATCTGTGAAGTTATTTGGATTCTTACGAATTATCTTTGAAACACAGGGTCCTGAAAAAGGGACGTTTATTTTTTTGCTGAGTTTATATACACTACCAGTCAAAAGTTTGGAAACACCTACTCATTCAATGGTTTTTCTTTATTTTTACTATTTTTTACATTTTAGAATAATAGTGAAGACATCAAAACTATGAAATAACACATATGGAATCATGTAGTAACCAAACAAGTGTTAAACAAATCAAAATATATATATTATATTTGAGATTCTTCAAATAGCCACCCTTTGCCTTGATGACAGCTTTGCACACTCTTGGCATTCTCTCAACCAGCTTCATGAGGTAATCACCTGGAATGCATTCAAATTAACAGGTGTGCCTTCTTAAAAGTTAATTTGTGGAATGGTTTGTCAATCAGTTGTGTTGTGACAAGGTAGGGGGGTATACAGAACATAGCCCTATTTGGTAAAAGACCAAGTCCATATTATGGCAAGAACAGCTCAAATAAGCAAAGAGAAACGACAGTACATCATTACTTTAAGACAAGAAGGTCAGTCAATAAGGAACATTTCAAGAACTTTGAGAGTTTATTCAAGTGCAGTCACAAAACCCATCAAGCACTATGATGAAACTGGCTCTCATGAGGACAGCCACAGGAATGGAAGACCCAGAGTAATCAGTGCTGCAGAGGATAAGTTCATTAGAGTTTTTTAGGGTCACTACATGATTCCCTATGTTATTTCATAGTTTTGATATCTTCACTATTATTCTACAATGTAAAAATAAAGAAAAACCCTTGTATGAGTAGGTGTATCCAAACTTTTGTCTGGTACTGTGTGTATATATACTACATGATTCCATACGTGTTATTTCATAGTTTTGATGTCTTCACTATTATTCTAAAATGTAAAATATATATATATATATATATATACACACACACACACAGTGAGGGGGAAAAAAGTATTTGATCCCCTGCTAATTTTGTACGTTTGGGTTTTGCCACCAAGTACTAAGTCATGATTTGCAGAAGGGTCAAATACTTATTTCCCTCATTTAAAATGCAAATCAATTTATAACATTTTTGACATGTGTTTTTCTGGATTTTGTTGTTGTTATTCTGTCTCTCATTGTTCAAATAAACCTACCATTAAAATTATAGACTGATCATGTCATTGTCAGTGGGCAGATCAAAATCAGCAGGGGATCAAATACTTTTTTCCCTCACTGTGTGTGTGTGTGTGTGTGTGTGTGTGTGTGTGTATATATATATATATACATACACACACACAAATGTATATATATGTGTATATAGATAGATCGATCGATCGTGGCCATTTGAATGACAATTAATCGTTACCAGAAATTATATAATCGCCACATTACTATGTGTGTGTCAATGTTCTCTTTTTAACAAAGGCCTTTATTCAACTGACGGTAGATAGAAGGATAGAGTGGGAATTGCGGAGGTTTATGTGGCGTGATCTGTGCTAAGACACTGTGTGTGTGTGTGTAGATCAGATTGGCAGGAACCCTGGCCTGCAAGTCATCTGGGAGGACGAGAAGCAGAGACGACGAGAGAAGAACCAGTCATCTCAGACCGAGACCCCACAGTCACAGGGTGAGTGAACCAGTCGTCTCAGATCGAGACCCCACAGTCACAGGGTGAGTGAATGACCGATCTATACCTCCTCAAAGCCCAATCCTCCATTACAGTCAACACCACAGTCAAACTTCTAGCAGGTCTACATGCTTATTGACTAAATATACTCTCAGTGGCCAGTTTATTAGGTACACGTTCATGACCCCGTTCACAAAAATGGCTAAAACAAGAAGAAGCGGTTCCAGTGGGCATGCGATCACCAACACTGGACAATTAAGGAGTGGAAAAACATTGCCTGGTCTGACGAATCCCTATTCATGTTACGTCATGCTAATGGCTGAGTCAGGATTTGGCATAAACTGCATGAGTCCATGGCCCCATCCTGCCTGGTGTCAACGGAACAGGCTGGTGGCGGTGGTGTAATGGTGTGGGGCACAATCTTTCCGGGCACACGTTAGGTCCCTGATACCAATTGAGCAACGTTTCCATGCCCCGAATAATTCAGGCTGTTTTCGAGGCAAAGGGGGGTCCGACCCAGTACTACACTGAACAAAAATATAAATGCAACATGCAGCAATTTCAAAGATTTTACTGTGTTACAGTTCATATAAGGAAATCAGTCAATTGAAATAAATTTATTAGGCCCTAATCTATGGATTTCACATGACTGGGAATACAGATATGCATCTGTTGGTCACAGATTCCTTAAAAAAAAAAAATAGGGGTGTGGATCAGAAACAGTCAGTATCTGGTGTGACCACCAATTGCCTCATGCAGCGTGACACATCTCCTTCGCATGGAGTTGATTCGGCTGTTGATTGTGGCCTGTGGAGTGTTGTATCACTCCTCTTCAATGGCTGTGCGTAGTTGCTGGATATTGGCGGGAACTGGAACAGGCTGTCATACACCTCGATCCAGAGCATCCCAAACGTGCTCAATGGGTGACATATCTGGTGAGTATGCAGGCCGTGGAAGAACTGAGATATTTTCAGCTTCCAGGAATTGTGTACAGATCCTTGTGACATGGGGCCATGCATTATATCATGCTGAAACATGAGGTGATGGCGGCGGATGAATGCCTCAACAATGGGCCTCAGGATCTCGTCACGGTTTCTCTGTGCATTCAAATTTCCTTCGATAAAATGCAATTTTGTTCGTTGTCCGTAGCTTATGCCAGCCCATACCATAACCCCACCGCCACCATGGGGCACTCTGTTCACAACGTTGACATCAGCAAACCGCTCGCCAACACGATGCCATACCGAGTGCGACGATGCCATCTGTCCGGTACAGTTGAAACTGGAATTCATCCGTGAAGAGCACACTTTTCCAGTGGCCATTGAAGGTGAGTATTTGCCAACTGAAGTCGGTTACGACTCTGAACTGCAGTCAGGTCAAGACCCTGGTGAGGATGACGAGCACGCAGATGAGCTTCCCTGAGACGGTTTCTGACAGTTTGTGCAGAAATTCTTCAGTTGTGCAAACCCACAGTTTCATCCGCTGTCCGGGTGGCTAGTCTCAGACGATCCAGCAAGTGAAGAAGCCGGATGTGGAGGTCCTGGGCTGGCGTGGTTACACGTGGTCTACGGTTGAGGCCGGTTGGACGTACTGCCAAATTCTAATACCTAATAAACTGGTCACTGAGTGTATATAGGTCTGCCGTAATATGTGCCATCGTCTGCTTGTTGGAATATGCTCAAGGTGAGCGGAGGTAATAAATAATTTAGTATTGTCTCTGTCAGGAGTCATTCATATCTCTAGAGTCTGACTGCTGTCCCATGTGCGTCAGACATACATCAAAGTGTTATAATTAAACCGCTGCCTACGTTTCATGCTCCTCCAGATCGCAGGTTTGTTGCCTTGACGGAGAGCGAGAGAATCTTCATGAAGAAATTCAAGGAGATCCTGAAGGAAAATGAATTTGATGTGTAAGTAACAACTTTCACCCTCAATCTTGCCGTTTTTTAGAACGTAGGCTTACCATTTTCCCAGTCTTTAGGGCAACTTAACTATAAGTCATCGTTGGACAGACAGTTGCTCCACATAGCGTGAGTAGATGGCTGTGCTTGGTTTAGAGAGTTTAGAATGGGGGCAGCAGGGCTGGTCTTTGAGAGTAAACATATGCTGCTTCCAATCTCGTTAGCAAGATGATGTCAAATCAAATCAAATCAAATTTTATTGGTCACATGCGCCGAATACAACAGGTGCAGACATTACAGTGAAATGCTTACTTACAGCCCTTAACCAACAGTGCATTTATTTTAAACAAAAAAGTAAGAATAAAACAACAACAAAAAAGTGTTGAGAAAAAAAGAGCAGAAGTAAAAATAAAGTGACAGTAGGGAGGCTATATATACAATAGAATAAAGTGACAGTAGGGAGGCTATATATACAGGGGGGTACCGTTGCATAGTCAATGTGCGGGGGCACCGGCTAGTTGAGGTAGTTGAGGTAATATGTACATGTGGGTAGAGTTAAAGTGACTATGCATAAATACTTAACAGAGTAGCAGCAGCGTAAAAAGTATGGGGTGGGGGGGCAGTGCAAATAGTCCGGGTAGCCATGATTAGCTGTTCAGGAGTCTTATGGCTTGGGGGTAGAAGCTGTTGAGAAGTCTTTTGGACCTAGACTTGGCACTCCGGTACCGCTTGCCGTGCGGTAGCAGAGAGAACAGTCTATGACTAGGGTGACTGGAGTCTTTGACAATTTTGAGGGCCTTCCTCTGACACCGCCTGGTATAGAGGTCCTGGATGGCAGGGAGCTTTGCCCCTGTGATGTACTGGGCCGTACGCACTACCCTCTGTAGTGCCTTGCGGTCAGAGGCCAAGCAGTTGCCATACCAGGCGGTGATGCAACCAGTCAGGATGCTCTCGATGGTGCAGCTGTAGAATTTTTTGAGGATCTGAGGACCCATGCCAAATCTTTTTAGTCTCCTGAGGGGGAATAGGCTTTTCTCGTGCCCTCTTCACGACTGTCTTGGTGTGTTTGGACCATGATAGTTCGTTGGTGATGTGGACACCAAGGAACTTGAAGCTCTCAACCTGTTCCACTACAGCCCCGTCGATGAGAATGGGGGCGTGCTCAGTCCTCTTTTTTTTCCTGTAGTCCACAATCATCTCCTTTGTCTTGGTCACGTTGAGGGAGAGGTTGTTGTCCTGGCACCACACGGCCAGATCTCTGACCTCCTCCCTATAGGCTGTCTCATCGTTGTCGGTGATCAGGCCTACCACTGTTGTGTCGTCGGCAAACTTAATGATGGTGTTGGAGTCGTGCCTGGCCATGCAGTCATGGGTGAACAGAGAGTACAGGAGGGGACTGAGCACGCACCCCTGAGGGGCCCCCGTGTTGAGGATCAGTGTGGCAGATGTGTTGTTACCTACCCTTACCACCTGGGGGCGGCCCGTCAGGAAGTCCAGGATCCAGTTGCAGAGGGAGGTGTTTAGTCCCAGGATCCTTAGCTTAGTGATGAGCTTTGAGGGCACTATGGTGTTGAATGCTGAGCTGTAGTCAATGAATAGCATTCTCACGTAGGTGTTCCTCTTGTCCAGGTGGGAAAGGGCAGTGTGGAGTGCGATAGAGATTGCATCATCTGTGGATCTGTTGGGGCGGTATGCAAATTGGAGTGGGTCTAGGGTTTCTGGGATTATGCTGTTGATGTGAGCCATGACCAGTCTTTCAAAGCACTTCATGGCTACAGACGTCAGTGCCACGGGTCGGTAGTCATTTAGGCAGGTTATCTTAGAGTTCTTGGGCACGGGGACTATGGTGGTCTGCTTGAAACATGTTGGTATTACAGACTCAGTCAGGGACATGTTGAAAATGTCAGTGAAGACACTTGCCAGTTGGTCAGCACATGCTCGGAGTACACGTCCTGGTAATCCGTCTGGCCCTGCGGCCTTGTGAATGTTGACCTGCTTAAAAGTCTTACTCACATCGGCTACGGAGAGCGTGATCACATAGTCGTCCGGAACAGCTGGTGCTCTCATGCATGCTTCAGTGTTGCTTGCCTCGAAGCGAGCATAGAAGTGGTTTAGCTCGTCTGGTAGGCTTGTGTCACTGGGCAGCTCGCGGCTGTGCTTCCCTTTGTAGTCTGTAATAGTTTTCAAGCCCTGCCACATCCGACGAGCGTCAGAGCCAGTGTAGTATGATTCAATCTTAGACCTGTATTGACTCTTTGCCTGTTTGATGGTTCGTCGGAGGTCATAGCGGGATTTCTTATAAGCGTCCGGGTTAGAGTCCCGTTCCTTGAAAGCGGCAGCTCTACCCTTTAGCTCAGTGCGGATGTTTCCTGTAATCCATGGCTTCTGGTTGGGGTATGTACGTACGGTCACTGTGGGGACGACATCATCGATGCACTTATTGATGAAGCCAGTGACTGATGTGGTGTACTCCTCAATGCTGTCTGAAGAATCCCGGAACATGTTCCAGTCTGTGCTAGCAAAACAGTCCTGTAGCTTAGCATCTGCGTCATCTGACCACTTTTTTATTAGCCGAATCACTGGTGCTTCCTGCTTCAGTTTTTGCTTATAAGCAGGAATCAGGAGGATAGAGTTATGGTCAGATTTGCCAAATGGAGGGCGAGGGAGAGCTTTGTATGCGTCTCTGTGTGTGGAGTAAAGGTGGTCTAGAGTTTTTTCCCCTCTGGTTGCACATTTAACATGCTGGTAGAAATTAGGTAGAACGGATTTAAGTTTCCCTGCATTAAAGTCCCCTGCTACTAGGAGCGCTGCATCTGGATGAGCGTTTTCCTGTTGATTAATGGCCTTGTACAACTCATTCAGTGCAATCTTAATGCCAGCATTGGTTTGTGGTGGTAAATAGACAGCTATGAAAAATATAGATGAAAACTCTCTTGGTAAATAGTGTGGTCTACAGCTTATCATAAGATACTCTACCTCAGGCGAGCAAAACCTTGAGACTTCCTTAGTATTTGATTTTGTGCACCAGCTGTTGTTTACAAATATACAGAGACCGCCACCCCTCGTCTTACCCGAGTCTGCCGTTCTGTCCTGCCGATGTAGCGTATAGCCTGCTAGCTGAATGTTATCATTGTCGTCGTTCAGCCACGACTCCGTGAAACATAAGATATTACAGTTTTTAATGTCCCGTTGGTAGGATAACCGTAATCTTAAATCGTCCATTTTATTCTCCAAAGCTTGAACGTTGGCTAATAGGATTGATGGGAGAGGCAGTTTACTCATTCGCCGTCGGATCCTTACAAGGCACCCGGATCTGCGTCCACGATATCTCCGTCTCTTCCTCACGCGAATGACGGGGATCTGGGCCTTGTCGGGAGTCTGTAGAATATCCTTCGCGAACGCCTCGTTGAAGAAAAAGTGTTCGTCCAACGCGAGGTGAGTAATCGCTGTCCTGATATCCAGAAGCTCTCTTTGGTTATAAGAGACGATGGCAGAAACATTATGTACAAAATAAATTACAAATAACGCGGAAAAACACACATAATAGTACAATTGGTTAGAGGGCTGTAAAACGGCAGCCATCTTCTTCCGGCGCTGTTCGCTGTCTACCGCCACATTAATTGCATTTGGAGAGAATTTACATCTGGTCATTCATTCTTTATGTTAAAACGGCTACTTATTTTCGCCATGCCTTTTTTGGTTGTCTACTGTGTGAGATGGTGACCGCATGTCTCTTCCTGGTTCATCTTAACGGCCAGAGAGGAGCAGGGAGCGAGGAGGGAGGGTGTTGATGGGGTTACAGTGCTGTCTAGTATATCCCTCTCTCTGCTTCCTGCTCCCCCGTCTTTCTGAGCAGAAAGAATTTCCTGTTATAAATAAAAGTGTAGGTAGTCCGGTGTGTGCTGTTACATCAGGCCCAGATAAGCTAAGTTGTTGCCAATGGGAAGAGTGCAGGGGAGGAAAATGAAACAGCTCTATCAAAGGCAGGGCCAGACCAGTAAGGGACCCGTCTCCTCTCACCTAACAGAGCTTTGGCTTGGTAGAACTGTGCCACACACACACCCAGCTCACAAATCTCACTGGCTGACTGGCGCTCTTTCACATATACACGTTCTGTCTCGCTCTCTGTCTCGCTCTCTCGCTCTGTCTCACTCGCTCTCTGTCTCGCTCTCTCTCTGTCGCGCTCTCTCTCTGTCTCGCTCTCTCTCTCTGTCTCGCTCTCTCTCTGTCTCGCTCTCTCGCTCTCTCTCTCTGTCTCACTCTCTCGCTCTGTCTCGCGCTGTCTCTCTCTCTCTCTCTCGCTCTGTCTCGCGCTCTCTCTCTCTGTCTCGCTCTCTCTCTCTGTCTCGCTCTCTCTCTCTGTCTCGCTCTCTCGCTCTGTCTCGCGCTGTCTCTCTCTGTCTCTCTCTTGCTCTGTGTCTCGCGCTCTCGCTCTGTCTCGCTCTGTGTCTCGCGCTCTCGCTCTGTGTCTCGTGCTCTCGCTCTGTGTCTCGCGCTCTGTCTCGCTCTGTCTCGCGCTCTGTCTCGGTGTCTCGCGCTCTCGCTCTGTGTCTCTCGCTCTGTGTCTCTCGCTCGGTGTCTCGCGCTCTCGCTCGGTGTCTCGCGCTCTCGCTCGGTGTCTCGCGCTCTCGCTCGGTGTCTCGCGCTCTCGCTCTGTCTCGCTCTCTGTCTCTCGCTCTCGCTCTGTCTCTCGCTCTCGCTCTGTCTCGCGCTCTCGCTCTGTCTCGCGCTCTCGCTCTGTCTCGCGCTCTCGCTCTGTCTCGCGCTCTCGCTCTGTCTCGCGCTCTCGCTCTGTCTCGCGCTCTCGCTCTGTCTCGCGCTCTCGCTCTGTCTCGCGCTCTCGCTCTGTCTCGCGCCTCTCGCTCTGTCTCCGCTCTCGCTTGTCTCGCGCTCCGCTCTGTCTCGCGCTCTGCGCTCGTCTCCGCTCTGCTCGTGTCTCGCGCTCCGCTCTTCTCTTCGCTCTGTGTCTCGCGCTCCGCTCTGTCTCTCCTCGTGTCTCGCGCTCGCTCTCGCTCTCTTGTGTCTCGCGCTCGCTCTCTCGCTCTGTGTCTCGCGCTCGCTCTCTCTCTGTGTCTCGCGCTCGCTCTCGCTCTCGCTGTGTCTCGCGCTCGCTCTCCTCTCGTCTGTGTCTCGCGCTCGCTCTCTCTCTCGCTCTGGTCTCGCTCTCGCTCTCGCTCTGTGTCTCGCGCTCGCTCTCGCTTTTGTGTCCGCTCGCTCTCGCTCGTGCTCGCGCTCGCTCTCTCTCTCGCTCTGCTTCTCGCTCTCGCTCTCGCTCTGTGTCTCGCGCTCGCTCTCGCTCTGTGTCTCGCGCTCGCTCTCTCTCTCGCTCTGTGTCTCGCTCTCGCTCTGTGTCTCGCGCTCGCTCTCGCTCTGTGTCTCGCGCTCGCTCTCTCTCTCGCTCTGTGTCTCGCTCTCGCTCTGTGTCTCGCGCTCGCTCTCTCTCTCGCTCTGTGTCTCGCGCTCGCTCTCTCTCGCTCTGTGTCTCGCGCTCGCTCTCTCGCTCTGTGTCTCGCGCTCGCTCTCGCTCTGTCTCGCGCTCTCGCTCTGTGTCTCGTGTCTCGCTCTGTGTCTCGCTCTCGCTCTGTGTCTCGCTCTCGCTCTGTGTCTCGCTCTCGCTCTGTGTCTCGCTCTCGCTCTGTGTCTCGCTCTCGCTCTGTCGTCTCGCTCTCGCTCTGTGTCTCGCTCTCGCTCTGTGTCTCGCTCTCGCTCTGTGTCTCGCTCTCGCTCTGTGTCTCGCTCTCGCTCTGTGTCTCGCGCTCGCTCTCGCTCTGTCTCGCGCTCGCTCTCGCTCTGTCTCGCGCTCGCTCTCGCTCTGTCTCGCGCTCGCTCTCGCTCTGTCTCGCGCTCGCTCTCGCTCTGTCTCGCGCTCGCTCTCGCTCTGTCTCGCGCTCGCTCTCGCTCTGTCTCGCGCTCGCTCTGTCTCGCGCTCGCTCTCGCTCTGTCTCGCGCGCTTGCTCGCTCTCGCTCTGTGTCTCGCGCGCTTGCTCGCTCTCGCTCTGTGTCTCGCGCGCTTGCTCGCTCTCGCTCTGTGTCTCGCGCGCTTGCTCGCTCTCGCTCTGTGTCTCGCGCGCTTGCTCGCTCTCGCTCTGTGTCTCGCGCGCTTGCTCGCTCTCGCTCTGTGTCTCGCGCGCTTGCTCGCTCTCGCTCTGTGTCTCGCGCGCTTGCTCTGTGTCTCGCGCGCTTGCTCGCTCTCGCTCTGTGTCTCGCGCGCTTGCTCGCTCTCGCTCTGTGTCTCGCGCGCTTGCTCGCTCTCGCTCTGTGTCTCGCGCGCTCGCTCTCGCTCTGTGTCTCGCGCTCGCTCTCGCTCTGTGTCTCGCGCTCGCTCTCGCTCTGTGTCTCGCGCTCGCTCTCGCTCTGTGTCTCGCGCTCGCTCTCGCTCTGTGTCTCGCGCTCGCTCTCGCTCTGTGTCTCGCGCTCGCTCTCGCTCTGTGTCTCGCGCGCGCTCTCGCTCTGTGTCTCGCGCGCGCTCTCGCTCTGTGTCTCGCGCGCGCTCTCGCTCTGTGTCTCGCGCGCGCTCTCGCTCTGTGTCTCGCGCGCGCTCTCGCTCTGTCTCACTTGTGTCTCGCTCTCTCTTTCTTGTGCATCTCTTTCTGTCTCTGGCTCTCTCTCTCTGTGTCTGTCTGTCTCTCTCTCTTTCTTCTGTCGCTCGCTCTGTCTCTCTCTCTGTTTCTCTCTCTCGCTCTCTCTCCATATGTCCCTCTGATTGTAACCTCAGACAGGCTGTACTGTAGTAAGAACAGCAGAGCCGAGTCTGCAGAGCTGAAATGTGTTAATCGCTGAAGGAATCCCCTGAAACCTGCTGGGCTCCCCCCGTAGCCACAAAAGTCATTAGTGACGAGACTAATTAACAAAGAGTGAGACAGTCATGCACACACAGGCCCGTCTCTGGAACCCATCTGCACTCCTTCATCCACCCCACAGTAAGAAATTATGATTTATTTTTTTATAGAGAAAGGAAGTAGTGCCTAAAATGTTGTTCTTTGGCTAATTCCTGCATTGCTTGTTCTACCTTTTTGAGTTCCACCTTGCATATTTTTCAATATTTAGTTGAGTTGCTAAGTAGTGAGTTGCTAAGCAATGCAAGAGTACAGGACGGAACAGAGCGGAGGGCGGAGGCTGATAGGCAGAAAGCCTGTAGCCAAGAGACATCTGGGGTAAAGCCCAAAGAACCACTGGCCACTTGCCAGCTTTCTATTCATACCTCCTCCTACACACACTGTACACACACACTGGTCTCTCTCTTTTCGGTTTCTCTCACTCTCGTTCTCCCTCACACACACTGCAGCCATATCTCCTGATTAAGACAATAAGGGATGCTAATAAAACATGACTGCTGCAGCGCTGTCCCAGGAGCCCTGTCTGTGACTCCGGTGATAACCTTAGCAGTTACATGCCCACAACAGTCTCCCTTTGAACAAATGCCTCTTTTTAAATAGGACTTCGTCTGGGTCTGTGGTGGGCGCGGCAGAGGAGCAGGATCCCTTCCCAGCTGAACTGTCTGTACACCCTGATGTCCTGATCCCAGAGGTGCTGCACTGTACACCAGCTAACCAGGTGGAGGTGCACAGAGCCTCTCAGACAGGTGAGATCAACAAATCTCCCTATCGACCCTCCACTAGAATGTCCCTTTCTGCCAGAGAAGGTGGATCGACATTTGTCCTAATTCTCCCCTACCACTCCTACTGTGACTGAATTTCAAGTGACACACAGTGTTGCTCTACATTAGCCTAATCTGCTCGCTCAGTCTCCCAAGTCTCCTGTAGGAACAGTGGAAATGCCAGGGAGGCAAGGCGTCTGGCACACACAGAGAGCCAGAATGGAGTATGGCTGGGCCTCATGCTGAACCACTCCCTGTTTATGTGTCCCAAATGGCACCCTATTCCCTATATAGTACACTGCTTTTGACCAGGGCCCCATAGGGCTCTGGTCAAAAGTAGTGCACTATGTAGGGAATAGGCTGCCATTTGGGACACGGCCATTCTGTTTGTCAGTAATGAAAACCTTCCCCATCTCTCTCACTCCCCCCCCCCCCCCCCCCCCCCCCCACTAATCTTCCCTCCACTCAGACACTAAAAGGAGCTGTGGTAAAGACCAGGGGGAGGCCATTGTGGATGAGGAGGCCATTCTGAGTCTGTTGGAGAGCAGTCAGACCTTCCGGCCCCTCTCCCAGAGATCCAACCACTCCCCCATACTAGGTAAGCAAACAAACCGCACTGATTATACTGATTACTGTGTTCATTTGGTATGGAGAACAGCTTATCCTACTGATCTTATGTCATTTTAATTTTACAAATCTGCTTTTAATGAACATATTGTTTATATAGCATAGCTAGCGCCATGAGTTTGACCTGACCAGGAAAAGCTCTGGGCCCTAGTTATAACTCCAGCCCCTAAGTAAAGCATCCAAGTATGGAGCTGATTGACCCCGGAGGTAATTTCCCCTTATCATGTTGTGTTTGCTGTGTGCATGTTGCAGATAGCAGCCAGGACCATGCCATGGTGGACCTGCTGGCAGGCCTGGAGGCTGATGGGTACAGAGCAGCCCCTATGAGGCAGAACTCCCAGCATTATCTGCCCGGGGGAGGGAGCGCTCACTACAACAGTGACGAGGAGGAGGAGGGGCCAGAACTAGAGAAGGAGGAGGAAGAACTCAGTCTGATGATGTCACAGAGATGGGACAGCGACCTTCCAGAACAGTCTTCTAGGAGGTGACTGATTTTTATTTTCTTGTTCTTTTTGCTCAATATGAACTAATTATGAGTTTAATATTAACTCATTAAATGACGACAAACAAATCTATTTATAGCATTCTTTGAAAAAATGCATGTCATCTATCTTGTGCCCCAGTTTTCTTGCTTATTTCTTGAGGTGGATTCCTCTTGTCACTGAATTCACATGATGGTAAACGCAGACGTTTGGCAGTCAGATGAAGGTCACCTGCAGTGAGCCGTGACTGTGAATAGTTTAAGCGACGCCTCATTGTATAATCAATGTCTCTTTTATCTTCCTCTATAGACCTGGTGTGAAGGATGCAGAGGAAAGCTTCAGTGACGAGCCCCAGGAATCCTCAGACGAGGAGATGGAATGGAGCGGGAACAACTCTCTCTTCGCCAACCTGTCCATTCCTCAGCTGGACGGTGCTGCGGACGAGAACAGTGGTGAGTTATAAGAACGTAATGATAATAAACTACATATAACACATCTACAAGATCGTGTCATTGATGCTTTCCTTTGATTCCTGTCACAGTATTGATATGTTATATCTGCTCTCCATAGATTCATCGTTAACGGACAAAGGCTCCAGGACCCACTCGTCCCTCACCGTCACAGACAAGATCCTGGGGAAGAGGAACCCCTTTCCTGGGGAGACTGTCCCCCTGGAGCCCCCGTCCTCCACCAATGTCCTCCTGGAGTGCAAACACCCTGAACATAGGCAGGCCCACTCACAGGACACAGAGGAACCAGCCAATAAGCACTTCCTCTCCCTCGGCCAGGACAGTAATGAGTGCTCCACAGGGTTCAAGGTGAATAAAAAGATACCTTACATCCAGCCGTTCAAACACCCCATCCCCTGCAATATCGCCAACCAAGCCGAGGTCTCTCAGATCTGTGTGGACAAAATGGACGTTGTTCGGCCTCTGTACACCTACGAGAAGAAGACGATGGCTCTGGATGAGTCAGACCTGGACGTCTTTCCGTTCAGTAACGGGAAAATCACCCAGAGCAGGAAGAAGTACAGCAGTATGAAGAATATTGAGAAGAATCGTCTGTCCATCCTGCAGAACCACAGGAGCTTCTCCCTGTGTTACTCTGAGCTGAGGAACTGCCCCAGCACGACAGATCTGGAGCTGGGTCAGAAAGGCTGTAAAAGCCCAATACTGAGGAACAATATAACCCAAACTCCCTGCCCCATAGAAAAGGACGAGCTCCTGGCCCCGCTGGAGGGCGAGATGGGCCAGGGCAGCGAGGATGGGGACATGGGTGAGCTGAAGATCAGGTACGAGGACTATCAGGAGAACAAGACTGAGAGGACCATAGTAGCCCAGCAGGAGGCGCACTACAAGTTCTTCCCCAGTGTCATTCTCTCCAACTGCCTTACCAGGCCAGCTAAGAAGGTAGTTGGTAACAAGCTGACCGATGGCTGTGCTAAGCTAGAGCAGTCAGAGCCACGCAGGTTCAGGCTAAAGCTTGGCAAGAGGTCATCGGCTGCTGCAGCCCAGAAGACTAAGGCGTACGCTGGGGAAAGCCCAGCCTCTGACACCCAAGTCAGCACAGCCTTTATATCCATCACGCCTTCTTGTCCAAAGAGCACGGACACCGAGGAGAAGACAGTCACAGTGGCAAAGTCAGTCGTAGTGGAGACTGGACCCACAGAACCACTGCCAGAATCCCCTGCCCTGGCCCGTACCCCTTTACCAGCCCCTATTGCGTCCCCTGCACCGGCCCCAGACCCTGCCATTCCCAATGAGGCGTCTGTGGAGGGCAGGTTGGCCCCACTGCTTGAGCTCCCTGCTAAAGTAACCTGCACCAAAGCCTCAGGTCTGCCTGGCAGCAAGTACAGCCTGAGGGCCAAACGCAAGATGAGCTACGACAGCAGCGAGGACGGGGAACACTCTGTATCCTCTCGCGTGAAACACCCTCTGGCCCTCCGAGACTGCTTCAAAGAAAACTACGTCCTCAGCACGCAGGAACTAAAGTACCAGAAACGACGGAAGATGTCCAGAAAGGAGCCAAGGGAGCCGCCCATCATCATCAAATACATAATCATCAACAGGTTCAAAGGTCAGAAGAACATGTTGGTGAAGATGGCCAAGGTGAGTGCTGAGGAGCAGCGGGTGGTGCTGACACCTGATAGAGTGATAGAGTACACCAAAATGGCCCCCATCAAGACCTTCTGGCCTAAGGTTCCAGAGTCTTGTGCGGTCAAGTTCCCCCTCAGTGAGCCCAAGGCTAATAAGAAACAGCCCAAACGAAAGGCCAAGGTCAACACCACTAAGAAAACAATCAGCAACCCACCCAAACCCAGAGTCCAAGTTAGGCAGGGGGGTGAAAGGCCTAGAAGGACTAGAGGCCTTAGAAAAGCCATGACTCTGCCCTCTCTTCCATTCCCCCAGCCATGTTACTGTGAACTGACCGATGACCACATCACTGAGTACGCTGACGTGATGGTGGAGTTGGGTTATCTATCTGAGAGATCCCTTAGCCCTGTTGATTCAACCCCACCCCGGTGTTGGTCCCCCAGTGACCCCCTTATGGAAGCCATAAGTTCTGATTGGTTCATGAACACATTAAATGATCCCTGTCTCAGTTCTGTTTGTCAGGAACCCCCCCCAGAGTCCTTAGGCCGAGGTGTGCGGAACCGCAGCCGGACTGCTAAACCTAGAAATGTAACCTCTACCAGCCCAAGAAGACTGCTTAAGCTTTCGGAGGAAGTCAAAAAGGAGAGCACAGCGAGAAGGAAAAGTACTATTGGGATGCCAAGGAGGAGAAAGAAAGATCTAGAAACAGTTGATGGGACTAGTGTGGGTGGTGTCTGTACTACTACCATCACCACAAGAACGAGGAAGCCTCGAAGGAAGAAGCAGGCAGAAGAGCCTGAACAGCCCCCTGTAAGAAGCAGAGACTGTGACAGTTCCCAGCTCCTCTTCCCAGAGGGTGAGCTGCCTCTTGCTGAATCCTCCTCAGAGGCCATACCACCCTTTCAGCAGCCAGCCAGCAAAACCAGCCAGATTATTGATGGCTCCCAGGTGGTCGCTGGCTCTAAATCCCTATCCCAGTTCTCCCAGTCCATTGAACCAAAGTTTGAGGACTGTGAAAGCTCCATCATGGAGGTAAACCAAAGCTTTGCTCTTGAACTCGTCCAAACACAGCCTGACCAATCGCAGGGTTGTGCTGTGAAGGCAGACACTACTGTTGATGAATGCACATCCCATCAGGTTAAATGCCCAACCCAGGTGTGGGACAGAAAGGGTGCCCCCAAAGCAGGGTCCCCCAACTCCAGCCTTAGGAACGGGGAGACCTTACCTGAGGACATCTCTGGCCTGGCTGTTCTGAAGAAGCTCCTGCAGAAGAAGCAGCAGAGAGGCAGACAGTGCCTCTCCACTACAACACAGCCCCCTGGCTCCACACCAGACCCTGCTGCTGCCAAGCCATCAAGAGCCAGGAGAGCTCCCTCAGCCACCCCACGGAAACCCCGGGCCCCAAGAACTACAACTGCCAAGGACGGGAAACCCAGAAGCAGGAAGGAGAAGGCAAACTCTCAGCCGGAGGTACCTGTGAAGCAGGAGCCCCCCATGTCAGATGACAGCCCAGTGTTCCTGTCAGACCCAGGCCTGGACAGCTGTTACTCCATAGAGGACAGCCTGTCCCCAGAGCTCCCACACAACTACAACTTTGACATCAACGCCATCGGTATCGGTAGCCAGGCAGAGTTCTCCAGCCTGTACATGGGCAGCCAGTTTGTTCTGACCGACAAGAACCTGCCTCAAAAGTTCCTGAGTGACATCACCCAGGAGGCGGTCCCTGCCTTGGCGCTGAGCTTAGAGAAGAGGCCTGATGGGCTGTGTGGGTCAGGGGAGGAGCTCCAAGAAAGCTTGTCCGGACCTCTGAGTCCTGAACTCTTTGACATGCCAGAAAACTGTGAATTTGTGTTCAATCATCAATCACCTCTGGACTCTGAGAGGTTACTAAGGAGCAGAGAGTGGGGAACGTCTCTGGGCAAACTCCACGGCCTCAGCCACTTCCAGGGCTTTCACTGTGAGAGGAAAGAGCTGCTGTTCTCTGCCTTTGACCCCATCTTACCGCTGCCTTTGAGCTCCTTTTCATTCGCAGACAACGAAGGGTCACAGACTGGGGACCTACTGGAGGGAAATGATGCTTTTACATCGACCACGCCCAGTAGTTCACCGCGGTCCTTCAGCTCTCTATCCCAGGTGAAGGCCATCAGCCAGCTCCTCAGAGGGACAGGGGGGGGAGCCCACATTCTCAAGCCCCTCATGTCCCCTCCCAGCCGGGACGAGATCCTCACCACACTCCTGGACCTGGAGATGTCTGAGGCCACCTTCCAGGAGCCCTTCTGCAGCAACCCCTCAGACGCCCCGGGGAAACCCAGGTAAAATCACTAAACTCACGGGATTACTTTAAAAGCCCTTTATGACAACTACTGAATGTGAAAATGGCTTTATAAATAAATGTGATTTCATTTTAAGGGTTGAATGATACACACAATAGATATCTATGACTGATGAGGCTGTGATGAGGCATGATATTGTAAATCATTCAATCATTAATATCAATTTTCAAATCTCCAGGGAGGTTGGTGGGCGTAAGTTGATGGTGGAGACCAAGTTAGCCAAGGAGCTGGCTGAGTTCAACGGGGACCTGTGCCTGGAGGGGCTACAGTTCTGGAAGACAGCCTTCTCTGCCATGACCCTGGCCGGCTCTTCTCACACCCTGGGAGCAGAGGACACCAGAGACCAGGCCCAGCTCAGTCCCTCCTCAGCTGGGGACCAGAAGGTTATCCTGCTGCCTTGCAGGAGCGCCCCTAGGCGGGAGCGCGTCCAGCTATGGCTGGAGGCCAGGAAACAGTACAAGCATCTGCAGAGGGGTAGGAGAGACATGGGAGAACTGGAGAGGGGAAGGTTGGAACAGGTAAGAGACAAGCAGCAAACAGACAGGACTGAACAGCCCACTCCGTTCCATTGTCCAGCATTGAAGGACGAGGAGGAGTTTGAGAAGCCCTCAGGTATCAGGACTCAAAGGGAGAGGAGGGACGATCTGTCCCTACAGGTATCACCTGTTGGGGGGGTGGAAACTCAGGACAGTCCCAGAGGAGTGAATCCTGTACCGGACATTAACACCAGAGACCCTGAGGGGGAGTACTACAGTAAATCCATCTCTCCAGACTCACCAGACCTGACGCCATGGCAGCAGCCCACGCAGCCCAGCCCCTCAGGACCAGACGGAGTTGAGGGAGAGAGGAGAGGGTCAGATCGAGGGTCACCCCTGTCCCCCAGGCTCTGCACATCCCCAGAGAGGAGAGAGGAGAAGCACTTCCTCAGTCCCTCTCCCTTCCCTTCCATGAAGCCCCGGGGGGACGGGGGGAGTACCAGCCCCCAGCTCCACAGCACCCCAGTCCTTAGGCAACACAGAGGCAGGTGCGAATCGGAGACTGTGTGCAGCACCCTTGTGACTGAAGGTAAGCCCCTTTATTACCCGGCCACAGGCTATTAGCAGCTGTCACTCTTCATCCTGCCTCGGCCGCCAACGTTAACTCAGACCATGGAAAATTACATTAGGGATAGCATCCGATTTAACTTTGTTTTTTACTCCAACTTTCTTTCTTACCTCAGTGGGAAATTGTTATGGCTGCCATAAACGACTGCATAATTGACTAATCAAGCGTACCTGAATTGTTAATCTGTCAGTCATTTATTGAATTAGTTTTAATAGGAGGAAGTCGTCTGCATGTAGTTGTTTTGTCCTCTGGAATGTCATTATGCGTCGCACCACACCACCACGATCCTTAACTAATTTAGGGGTTTCTGTCTTCTCCCAGACGCAGAGTCCACGTCTCAGAGACTGCAGCACAGGAGAGGGGAACACACAGACAGACTGAGGAGAGTGCTACTGACCACACAGATGAAGGTCAGGACAAAGCTCCTGTTCATTTAGGTCATTCCCACCAAAGAGCCTGCCAAAATAAAGGAAACACCAGCATAACGTGTCTTAACCCTCCCGTTGTCCTAGGGTCAAAATGACCCGCCACTGTGTTGAACCAACTTTATTTAATTTTTATATTTTTGGGATCATTTGTGAGAAGGAGGCAGTGAGACTTTAAAGAAAGTATCACTGCCTCCTTCTCACAAATGATCCAAAAAATATAAAAATTAAATAAAGTTGGTTCAACACAGTGGCGGGTCATTTTGACCCTAGGACAACGGGAGGGTTATTAATAGGGTGTTGGGCCACCACTACCCAGAACAGCTTCAATGCACCTTGGCATAGATTCTATAAGTGTCTGGAACTCTATTGGGGGGATGTGACACCATTCTTCCACGAGAAATTCCATCATTTGGTGTTTTATTGATGGTGGTAGAAAGCGTGGTCTCAGGCGCCGCTCCAGAATCTCCCATAAGTGTTCAATTGGGTTGAGATCTGGTGACTGAGACCGCCATGGCATATGGTTTACATTGTTTTCATGCGCATCAAACCATTCAGTGACCATTCGTACCCTGTGGATGGGGGCATTGTCATCCTATGGGGCATAGCCATGTAAAACAAAATAATGGCCCGCCCAGTATTTTTATACATGACCCTAAGCATGATGGGACGTTCATTTCTTAATGATCTCAGGAACCACATCTATGTGGAAGCACCTGCTTTCAATATACTTTGTATCCCTCATTTACTCAAGTGTTTCCATTATTTTGGCAGTTACCTGTGTTGGCCTCAATATACCCGGATGAGCAATGTACAGTTTCAGAATATTGATGAACAGCATCAGTCAAGTAAATGGCCCAAGACAAATGTCAGATTTAGCTTTGCTCATTTGAATTATTCTGTATTTAAAAATATCCGTAAATGGCTTTTAGCATTTACTTGCTCTGCCCTGATACGCTGTTCTCTCTTTAATGTTATGTGAAGAAGCTTTCCCCCTATTCTCCGTCCCCAGAACCAGTTTGCTGCTTTGAACGCTCCAAAGAAAGACAACTCTCAGATCGAGGGCCCCAGCATCAGCAACTCATGTGGATTCAAAGTCAGCATGCAGAACCTCCAGGACGCTAAAGCCCTGCACGAGGTGAGACAGACAGACAGGCACAGACAGACAGACAGGCACAGACAGACAGGCACAGACAGACAGACAGGCACAGACAGACAGACAGGCACAGACAGACAGACAGGCACAGACAGACAGACAGGCACCGACAGACAGGCACCGACAGACAGGCACCGACAGACAGGCACCGACAGACACGTAGAGGGAGATAGGCACGGAGAGGCAGACAGACAGACAGGGAGAGGGAGGACAGACAGACAGACAGACAGGGAGAGGGAGACAGACAGACAGACAGTGAGAGGGAGACAGACAGACAGACAGGGAGAGGGAGACAGACACACAGACAGGGAGAGGGAGACAGACACACAGACAGGGAGAGGGAGACAGACACACAGACAGGGAGAGGGAGACAGACACACAGACAGGGAGAGACAGACACAGAGACAGAGAGAGACACACACAGAGACAGAGAGAGACGCACAGAGACAGAGAGAGACGCCAGAGACCAGAGAGAGACGAACAGGACAGAGAGAGAAGCACAGAGACAGAGAGAGACGCACAGAGACAGAGAGAGACGCACAGAGACAGAGAGAGACGCACAGAGACAGAGAGAGACGCCACGACAGAGAGAGACGCCACAGAGACAGAGAGAGACGCAACAGAGACAGAGGAGAGACGCACAGAGACAGAGAGAGGACGCACCAGAGGACCAGAGAGAGACGCACAGAGACAGAGAGAGACGCACAGAGACAGAGAGAGACGCACAGAGACAGAGAGAGACGCCACAGAGACAGAGAGAGACGCCACAGGAGGACAGAGAGGACGCACAGAGACAGAGAGAGAGACGCACAGAGACAGAGAGCAGACGCACAGAGACAGAGAGAGACGCACAGAGACAGAGAGAGACGCACAGAGACAGAGAGAGACGCACAGAGACAGAGAGAGACGCACAGAGACAGAGAGAGACGCACAGAGACAGAGAGAGACGCACAGAGACAGAGAGAGACGCACAGAGACAGAGGACGCACAGGACAGGGAGACGCCCACAGAGACAGAGAGAGACGCCACCAGAGACAGAGAGAGACGAAGACGCACAGAGACAGAGACGCACAGAGACACAGAGAGAGACGACGCACAGACGACAGAGAGAGACGCACAGAGACGAGAGAGAGCACAGAGACAGAGAGACGCACAGAGACAGAGAGAGACGCACAGAGACAGAGAGACGCACAGAGAGACGAGCGCACAAGACAGAGAGAGAAGACACCACAGAGACCACAAGAGACGAGAGAGCAACGACACACACAGACCACAGAGACAGAGAGAGACCACGAACAAGAGAGACGCACACGAGAGAGACCACAACAGAGAGAACCACACAACAGAGAGAGACACACACAACACACACAAGAGAGAGAAGAGACACACACAAAACACACACACAGAGAGAGAGAACACACACACACACAAGAGAGAGAGACACACACCAAGAGACACACACACAGAGAGAGAGAACACACACACAACACACACAAGAGAGAGACACCACAACACAAGAACACAACAGAGAACAACAGAGAGAGACACACCACGACACACAAGAGAGAGACACACACACACACACACACAAAGAGACCGAGACACAGAGACCGAGACACAGAGACCGAGACACAGAGACCGAGACACAGAGACCGAGACACAGAGACCGAGACACAGAGACCGAGACACAGAGAGAGACCGAGAGACAGAGAGAGACATGCACACAGACACACGGACCGAGACACAGACACACAGACCGAGACACAGACATACACACAGACAGAGACACAAAGACAGAGACCGAGACACAGACATACACACACACAGACAGACACACACACACAGACAGACACACACACACACACAGACAGACACACACACACACACACAGACAGACACACACACACACACACACAGACAGAGAGACACAGAGACACACACACAGACAGAGAGACACAGAGACACACACACAGACAGAGAGACAGAGACACACACACAGACAGAGAGACACAGAGACACACACACAGACAGAGAGACACACACACAGACAGAGAGACACAGAGACACACACACAGACAGAGAGACACAGAGACACACACACAGACAGAGAGACACAGAGACACACAGAGAGACACAGAGACACACACACAGACAGAGAGACACAGAGACACACACACAGACAGAGAGACACAGAGACACACAGACAGAGAGAGAGACACACACACACAGACAGAGAGAGAGAGACACACACACAGACAGAGAGAGAGACACACACACAGACAGAGAGAGAGACACACACAGACAGAGAGAGAGACACACACAGACAGAGAGACAGAGACACAGACACACTCAGCTGTTTTCTTACTCACACACACACAATGTAGTTTTAAGGAAGGAATGTGACATCTTGCTTGTCTTTCATCTGTAGGTGCAGCACCTGACGTTGATGAGCATGGAGCTTCACACACGGACCCGGCGGGACCTGGAACCCGTCCCCGAGTTTGACCCCATATGTGCCTTATTCTACTGCTTCAGCTCTGACGCACCTCTACCAGACTCAGACAAGACCCAGCTGACTGGGGCCATCGTGGTGGACAAGGACTGCCAGGAGAGTGGCCAAGGTGATGGGTCACTCCCTCTGTTCCTCCTGCCATGCTGTGGATGGACCACACTTATCTGACCTTCAAGTATTGTTGTATTTTGTACATGGTCATTGTGCTTAGATTTGAATGGACAGTGTATGGCTGCGTTTACACAGGCAGCCCAATTCTGATCTTTTGCCAAATTATGGGCAACGGATCTGATCTGATTGGTCAAAATACCAATTAGTGGCACAAAAATATCAGAATTGGGCTGCCTGTGTAAATGCAGCCTATGTGACGGAACGGTGTTTGTGATGTACCTCTATCTGTGTGTGTGCCCACCAAGGTGTCAGAGGAACAGCACCCCTGCTGGTAAGATCAGGTGTCTCAGGACTGCAGGTCACCTACACTGTGAATGAGAAGCAGCTGTTCCAGGAAGTTGTCACTATCATGAGGAGGTACTGTAAAGCACACGCCAGCTTGTAGTCCTAAAAAGCTGAAATTAGTTGGTTCGTTGGCCATTACTATGGGGGAAATGAATGGGGTTTTGGGATGAACGCCGAAAAGAAGTTATTCGGTGAACACAGGCTTAGTAGCTCTGATACGTTTTGTTTTATGAGATAATATCAATCAGTTAACATGACCTTTATGAGTTATGAAGCCTTTATGTTCTTGTTCTGATTACATAAATGCTTCGATTCACAAAACGTGATGGTAGCTGATGAAGGTTATCTCATAGAACAAAACGTATAAGATCTCCTAAGGCTGTGTTTACCACAGACCTTATGTGAAGGTTGACCATGCGGTAGGAGTTTAACAGCAAGGAGGCATACGATGAAGATCTGTTTTTCTTGTCAGAGGCTATTTATTTGCAAGTGGGTACAGCCGGCGAACTGTACAAACATTTACAAACAAAAATAAACAGGACGATGAACAAAAGATAGGCTCTAACCAAAGAGAACCCAGGCTTCAACCAAAGAGAACCCAGGCTTCAACCAAAGAGAACCCAGGCTTCAACCAAAGAGAACCCAGGCTTCAACCAAAGAGGGGGGGAGGGCAACAAGGTTGAATCATGGCGTCGATGATCTTCAGGTCGGAGCTCTAGAAAGAGGCCAGAGTTCCCGACTTGGAATTCCGAGTTGGATGACCGTTCAAAACGTATTTTCCAAGTTCCCAGTTGTCTTGAACGCACTGAGGTCTGAGATTTCAGCGTTTCCAGTTGTTTTGAACGCGGCAGAAGTCATGCTGGATTTGACAGCATGGCCAATGTATTCAACCTTTTCTGGCCCATGGTGTTGCGTGTGAATGTTTATCATTTTAACCTTGGAAAAGAGAACCTTTCAGACAGATGTTTTAAGTCCTTAAACTCAGACTTGGCCCACACACCTTCTCCACCGAATGGCGGGCAGGGGAAGCAAAATAGTGATTGCATTGTGATGAGTGAGTTAGCCACTGATTCCTTCCAAACCACTCATTGTTGAATTTGAGTTTTACGACTTGTTGTGTAATGTTTATGGCCGAAGAGCACAGATGCAATTTATCTATAATTTTTTTTCATATGACAAGGATTTGCTAATAGATTGTTGACGTGATTCATGATGACTGCTTGTCTAGCTTGCTAGCTAAGATGTTGATATGATCAGTCCAATCAAAGCTACAGTAGATATAATGTGATTTGAAGTCATTTTATCTGTGTCCAATGACCTTGGACCCACTCCCTTGGCTGTGAAGCAACCCCACACGTATGGTCTCAGGATGCTTTACTGTTGGCATGACATAGGACTGATGGTAGCGCTCACCTTGTCTTCTCCGGACAAGCTTTTTTCCGGATGCCCCAAACAATCGGAAAGGGGATTCATCAGAGAAAATGACTTTACCCCAGTCCTCAGCAGTCCAATCCCTGTACCTTTTGCAGAATATCAGTCTGTCCCTGATGTTTTTCCTGGAGAGAAGTGGCTTCTTTGCTGCCCTTCTTGACACCAGGCCATCCTCCAAAAGTCTTCACCTCACTGTGCCTGCAGATGCACTCACACCTGCCTGCTGCTATTCCTGAGTAAGCTCTGCACTGGTGGTGCCCCGATCACACAGCTGAATCAACTTTAGGAGACGGTCCTGGCGCTTGCTGGACTTTTTTGGGCGCCCTGAAGCCTTCTTCACAACAATTGAACCTCTCTCCTTGAAGTTCTTGATGATCCGATAAATGGTTGATTTAGATGCAATCTTACTAGCAGCAATATCCTTGCCTGTGAAGCCCTTTTTGTGCAAAGCAATGATGACGGCACGTGTTTCCTTGCAGGTAACCATGGTTAACAGAGGAAGAACAATTATTTAAAGCACCACCCTCCTTTTAAAGCTTCCAGTCTGTTATTCTAACTCAATCAGCATGACAGAGTGATCTTTTGCCATGTCCTCGTCAACACTCTCACCTGTGTTAACGAGAGAATCACTGACATGATGTCAGCTGGTCCTTTTGTGGCATTAAGTTCATTTTCATGGCAAAGAGGGACTTTGCAATTAATTGTAATTAATCTGATCACTCTTCATAACATTCTGGAGTATATGCAAATTGCCATCATAAAAACTGAGGCAGCAGACTTTGTGAAAATTAATATTTGTGTCATTCTCAAAACTTTTGACCACGACTGTAGGCAAAGAAAAAGCCATATCTCAGACTGGCCAATAAAAATAAAAGATTAAGATGGGCAAAATAACAGACACTGGACTTTTTCTTTGCAACTCTGCCTAGAAGGTCAGCATCCCGGAGTCGCCTCTTCACTGTTGATGTTGAGACTGGTGTTTTTGCGGGTACTATTTAATGAAGCTGCCAGTTGAGGACCTGTGAGGCGTCTGTTTCTCAAACTAGACACTAATGTATTTGTCCTCTTGCTCAGTTGTGCACCGGGGCCTCCCACTCCTCTTCCTATTCTGGTTAGAGCCAGTTTGCGCTGTTCTGTGAAGGGAGTAGTACACAGCGTTGTACAAGATCTTCCGTTTCTTGGCAATTTCTGGCATGGAATAGCCTTCATTTCTCAAAACAAGAATAGACTGACGAGTTTCAGAAGAAAGTTATTCGTTTCTGGCCATTTTTAGCCTGTAATTGAACCCACAATTGCTGATGCTCCAGATACGCAACTAGTCTCAAGAAGGCGAGTTTTATTGCTTCTTCAATCAGCACAACAGTTTTCAGCTGTGCTAACATAATTGCAAAAGGGTTTTCTAATGATCAATTAGCCTTTTAAAATGATAAACTTGGATTAGCAAACATAGCGTGCCATTGGAACACAGGACTGATGGTTGCTGATAATGGGCCTCTGTACGCCTATGTAGATCTTCCATTAAAAATCAGCCGTTTCCAGCTACAATAGCCATTTACAACATTAATAATGTCTACACTGTATTTCTGATCGACAAAACATTTGCTTTTCTTTTGAAAACAAGGACATTTTTAAGTGACCCCAAACTTTTGAACGGTTGTGTGTGTGTGTGTGTGTGTGTGTGTGTGTGTGTGTGTGTGTGTACAGTCGTGGTCAAAGGTTTTGAAAATTACACAAGTATTGGTCTTCACAAAGTTCGCTGCTTCAGTGTTATGAGATATTTTTGTCAATGTTACTATGGTATACTGAAGTATAATTACAAGCATTCCATAAGTGTCAAAGACTTTTATTGACAATTACATTAAGTTTATGCAAAGAGTCAATATTTGCAGTGTTGACCCTTCTTTTTCAAGACCTCTGCAATCCGCCCTGGCATGCTGTCAATTAACTTCTGGGTCACATCCTGACTGATGGCAGCCCATTCTTGCATAATCAATGCTTGGAGTTTGTCAGAATTTGTGGGGTTTTGTTTGTCCACCTGCCTCTTGAGGATCGACCATAAATTCTCAATGGGATTAAGGTCTGGGGAGTTTCCTGGCCATGGACCCAAAATGTCGATGTTTTGTTCCCCGAGCCACTTAGTTATCACTTTTGCCTTATGGCAAGGTGCTCCGTCATCCTGGAAGAGGCATTGGTCGTCACCAAACTGTTCTTGGATGGTTGGGAAAAGTTGCTCTCAGAGGATGTGTTGGTACCATTCTTTATTAATGGCTGTGTTCTTAGGCAAAATTGTGAGTGAGCCCACTCCCTTGGCTGAGAAGCCACGTGCACACATGAATGGTCTCAGGATGCTTTACTGTTGGCATGACACAGGACTGATGGTAGCGCTCACCTTGTCTTCTCCGGACAAGGTGTTTTCCGGATGCCCCAAACAATCGGAAAGGGGATTCATCAGAGAAAATGACTTTACCCCAGTCCTCAGCAGTCCAATCCCTGTACCTTTTGCAGAATATCAGTCTGTCCCTGATGTTTTTCCTGGAGAGAAGTGGCTTCTTTGCTGCCCTTCTTAACACCAGGCCATCCTCCAAAAGTCTTCGCCTCACCTGCCTGCTGCCATTCCTGAGCAAGCTCTGCACTGGTGGTGTCCCGATCCCGCAGCTGAATCAACTTTAGGAGACGGTCGTGGCGCTTGCTGGACTTTCTTGGGCGCCCTGACGCCGCCTTCACAACAATTGAACCTCTCTCCTTGAAGTTCTTGATGATCCGATAAATGGTTGATTTTGGTGCAATCTTACTAGTAGCAATATCCTTGCCTGTGAAGCCCTTTTTGTGCAAAGCAATGATGACGGCACGTGTTTCCTTGCAGGTAACCATGGTTAACAGAGGAAGAACAATGATTTCAAGCACCACCCTCCTTTTAAAGCTTCCAGTCTATTCTAACTCAATCAGCATGACAGAGTGATGTCCTCGTCAACACTCTCACCTGTGTTAACGAGAGAATCACTGACATGAAGGCAGCTGGTCCTTTTGTGGCAGGGCTGAAATGCAGTGGAAATGTTTTTTGGGGATTAAGTTCATTTTCATGGCAAAGAGGGACTTTGCAATTAATTGCAATCTGATCACTCTTCATGACATTCTGGAGTATATGCAAATTGCCATCATCAAAACTGAGGCAGCAGACTTTGTGAAAATTAGTATTTGTCATTCTCAAAACTTTTGACCACGACTGTATGTGTGTGTGTGTGTATATATACAGTGGGGAGAACAAGTATTTGATACACTGTCGATTTTGCAGGTTTTCCCACTTACAAAGCATGTAGAGGTCTGTAATTTTTATCATAGGTACACTTCAACTGTGAGAGACGGAATCTAAAACAAAAATCCAGAAAATCACATTGTATGATTTTTAAGTAATTAATTTGCTTTTTATTGCATGACATAAGTATTTGATACATCAGAAAAGCAGAACTTAATATTTGGTACAGAAACCTTTGTTTGCAATTACAGAGATCATACGTTTCCTATAGGTCTTGACCAGGTTTGCACACACTGCAGCAGGGATTTTGGCCCACTCCTCCATACAGACCTTCTCCAGATCCTTCAGGTTTCGGGGCTGTCGCTGGGCAATACGGACTTTCAGCTCCCTCCAAAGATGTTCTATTGGGTTCAGGTCTGGAGACTAGCTAGGCCACTCCAGGACCTTGAGATGCTTCTTACAGAGCCACTCCTTAGTTGCCCTGGCTGTGTGTTTCGGGTCGTTGTCATGCTGGAAGACCCAGCCACGACCCATCTTCAATGCTCTTACTGAGGGAAGGAGGTTGTTGGCCAAGATCTCGCGATACATGGCCCCATCCATCCTCCCCTCAATACGGTGCAGTCGTCCTGTCCCCTTTGCAGAAAAGCATCCCCAAAGAATGATGTTTCCACCTCCATGCTTCACGGTTGGGATGGTGTTCTTAGGGTTGTACTCATCCTTCTTCTTCTTCCAAACATGGCGAGTGGAGTTTAGACCAAAAAGCTCTATTTCTGCCTGATCAGACCACATGACCTTCTTCCATTCCTCATCTGGATCATCCAGATGGGCATTGGCAAACTTCAGATGGGCCTGGACATGCGCTGGCTTGAGCAGGGGGACCTTGCATACGCTGCAGGATTTTAATCCATGACGGTGTAGTGTGTTACTAATGGTTTTCTTTGAGACTGTGGTCCCAGCTCTCTTCAGGTCATTGACCAGGTCCTGCCATGTAGTTCTGGGCTGATCCCTCACCTTCCACATGATCATTGATGCCCCACGAGGTGAGATCTTGCATGGAGCCCCAGACCGAGGGTGATTGACCGTCATCTTGAACTTCTTCAATTTTCTAATAATTGCGCCACCAGTTGTTGCCTTTTCACCAAGCTGCTTGCCTATTGTCCTGTAGCCCATCCCAGCTTTGTGCAGGTCTACAATTTTATCCCTGATGTCCTTACACAGCTCTCTGGTCTTGGCCATTGTGGAGAGGTTGGAGTCTGTTTGATTGAGTGTGTGGACAGGTGTCTTTTATACAGGTAACGAGTTCAAACAGGTGCAGTTAATACAGGTAATGAGTGGAGAACAGGAGGGCTTCTTAAAGAAAAACTAACAGGTCTGTGAGAGACGGAATTCTTACTGGTTGGTAGGTGATCAAATACTTATGTCATGCAATAAAATGCAAATTAATTACTTAAAAATCATACAATGTGATTTTCTGGATTTTTGTTTTCGATTCCATCTCTCACAGTTGAAGTGTACCTATGATAAAAATTACAGACCTCTACATGCTTTGTAAGTAGGAAAACCTGCAAAATCGGCAGTGTATCAAATACTTGTTCTCCCCACTGTGTGTGTGTGTGTGTGTATATATATACACACAAACACACATATACGTGTGTGTGTGTGTATATATATACACACACACACACAGTGGGGAGAACAAGTATTTGATACACTGCCGATTTTGCAGGTTTCTTGTAGTTGGCCACCAGGTTTGCACTCATCTCAGGAGGGATTTTGTTCCACTCCTCTTTGCAGATCTTCTCCAAGTCATTAAGGTTTCGAGGCTGACGTTTGGCAACTCGAACCTTCCGCTCCCTCCACAGATTTTCTATGGGATTAAGGTCTGGAGACTGGCTAGGCCACTCCAGGACCTGAATGTGCTTCTTCTTGAGCTACTCCTTTGTTGCCTTGGCCGTGTGTTTTGGGTCATTGTCATGCTGGAATACCCATATACGACCCATTTTCAATGCCCTGGCTGAGGGAAGGAGGTTCTCACCCATGATGCGGTGAAGTTGTCCTGTCCCCTTAGCAGAAAACACCCCCAAAGCATAATGTTTCCACCTCCATGTTTGACGGTGGGGATGGTGTTCTTGGTCATAGGCAGCATTCCTCCTCCTCCAAACACGGTGAGTTGAGTTGATGCCAAAGAGCTCCATTTTGGTCTCATCTGACCACAACACTTTCACCCAGTTCTCCTCTGAATCATTCAGATGTTCATTGGCAAACTTCAGACGGGCCTGTATATGTGCTTTCTTGAGCAGGGGGACCTTGCGGGCGCTGCAGGATTTCAGTCCTTCACGGTGTAGTGTGTTACCAATTGTTTTCTTGGTGACTATGGTCCCAGCTGCCTTGAGATCATTGACAAGATACTCCCGTGTAGTTCTGGGCTGATTCCTCACCGTTCTCATGATCATTGCAACTCCACGAGGTGAGATCTTGCATGGAGCCCCAGGCTGAGGTAGATTGACAGGTATTTTGTGTTTCTTCCATTTGCGAATAATCGCACCAACTGTTGTCACCTTCTCACCAAGCTGCTTGGCGATGGTCTTGTAGCCCATTCCAGCCTTGTGTAGGTCTACAATCTTGTCCCTGACATCCTTGGAGAGCTCTTTGGTCTTGGCCATGGTGGAGAGTTTGGAATCTGATTTGATTGATTGCTTCTGTGGACAGGTGTCTTTTATACAGGTAACAAACTGAGATTAGGAGCACTCCCTTTAAGAGTGTGCTCCTAATCTCAGCTCGTTACCTGTATAAAAGACACCTGGGAGCCAGAGATCTTTCTGATTGAGAGGGTGTCAAAAACGTATTTCCCTCATTAAAATGCAAATAAATGTATAACATTTTTGACATGCATTTTTCTGGATTTTGTTGTTATTCTGTCTCTCACTGTTCAAATAAACCTACCATTAAGATGATAGACTGATCATTTCTTTGTCAGTGGGCAAACTTACAAAATCAGCAGGGGATCAAATACTTTTTTCCCTCACTGTATGTATATGTATGTATGTGTGTATATGTATATATACATATGTGTGTGTGTGTGTGTGTGTGTGTGTGTGTGTGTGTGTGTATTAATGTGTATGTACAGTGGGGGGAAAAAAGTATTTAGTCAGCCACCAATTGTGCAAGTTCTCCCACTTAAAAAGATGAGAGAGGCCTGTAATTTTCATCATAGGTACACGTCAACTATGACAAATTTTAGAAAAAAAATCCAGAAAATCACATTGTAGGATTTTTAATGAATTTATTTGCAAATTATGGTGGAAAATAAGTATTTGGTCACCTACAAACAAGCAAGATTTCTGGCTCTCACAGACCTGTAACTTCTTCTTTAAGTGGCTCCTCTGTCCTCCACTCGTTACCTGTATTAATGGCGCCTGTTTGAACTTGTTATCAGTATAAAAGACACCTGTCCACAACCTCAAACAGTCACACTCCAAACTCCACTATGGCCAAGACCAAAGAGCTGTCAAAGGACACCAGAAACAAAATTGTAGACCTGCACCAGGCTGGGAAGACTGAATCTGCAATAGGTAAGCAGCTTGGTTTGAAGAAATCAACTGTGGGAGCAATTATTAGGAAATGGAAGACATACAAGACCACTGATAATCTCCCTCGATCTGGGGCTCCACGCAAGATCTCACCCTGTGGGGTCAAAATGATCACAAGAACGGTGAGCAAAAATCCTAGAACCACACAGGGGGACCTAGTGAATGACCTGCAGAGAGCTGGGACCAAAGTAACAAAGCCTACCATCAGTAACACACTACGCCGCCAGGGACTCAAATCCTGCAGTGCCAGACGTGTCCCCCTGCTTAAGCCAGTACATGTCCAGGCCCGTCTGAAGTTTGCTAGAGTGCATTTGGATGATCCAGAAGAGGATTGCGAGAATGTCATATGGTCAGATGAAACCAAAATATAACTTTTTGGTAAAAACTCAACTCGTTCGTTTGGAGGACAAAGAATGCTGAGTTGCATCCAAAGAACACCATACCTACTGTGAAGCATGGGGGTGGAAACATCATGCTTTGGGGCTGTTTTTCTGCAAAGGGACCAGGACGACTGATCCATGTAAAGGAAAGAATGAATGGGGCCATGTATCGTGAGATTTTGAGTGAAAACCTCCTTCCATCAGCAAGGGCATTGAAGATGAAACGTGGCTGGGTCTTTCAGCATGACAATGATCCCAAACACACCGCCTGGGCAACGAAGGAGTGGCTTCGTAAGAAGCATTTCAAGGCCCTGGAGTGGCCTAGCCAGTCTCCAGATCTCAACCCCATAGAAAATCTTTGGAGGGAGTTGAAAGTCTGTGTTGCCCAGCGACAGCCCCAAAACATCACTGTTCTAGAGGAGATCTGCATGGAGGAATGGGCCGAAATACCAGCAACAGTGTGTGAAAACCTTGTGAAGACTTACAGAAAACGTTTGACCTGTGTCATTGCCAACAAAGGGTATATAACAAAGTATTGAGAAACATTTGTTAGTGAACAAATACTTATTTTCCACCATAATTTGCAAATAAATTCATAAAAAATCCTACAATGTGATTTTCTGGAGAGAAAAAATTCTCATTTTGTCTGTCATAGTTGACATGTACCTATGATGAAAATTACAGGCCTCTCTCATCTTTTTAAGTGGGAGAACTTGCACAATTGGTGGCTGACTAAATACTTTTTTCCCCCACTGTAGTGTGTGTGTGTGTGGTGAATAATAATAAATGATATATATATATATATATATATATATATATATATATTGTGTATTCATATTTGTTCACTTTTCTATGTAGTCTACTACTCTTTTCTATATTATTTTGGCCAGTGTTAAACATTTATAATGTGGCTTTTTCTCCTGTCATGTAAGTCCCTTTTCTGTCATGGCAGGTTTGACCCAGACATCCTGGTGGGCTACGAGGTCCAGATGCGTTCCTGGGGCTACCTCCTCCAGCGGGCATCAGCACTCAGTGTGGACCTGTGCCAGCAGCTTTCCCGGGTGCCAGGTAGGGTTGCACTGACCCTTTCCCCCTCTGCTGCAACAACACTGCTTTATCACCAATAAAAATGGTCTGATTGATGGAAGAATATGAACTTCCTCTCCTAAAGGAAACAGTGACACTTGTTAATTACACAGCTTGATATTTGTTTTGTTTATAGTTACATATTACATAGTAGTTACATATGTGGTAGGGTGACAGTGACCCTGGCTCTCTTTGCTGCCACAACACTGCTCACTCACACCTTTTAGCTCCTAAGAAACGTGTCTGATGAGAGAATAAAATAAACTCTTCCTCTCCTAAAGGAAGCCGTGGCATGTATTGAGTGTTTATTGAGTGTAGATATTTCTCTGTGATTTAGGTAAAGTCATTATAGGTGGATTATCGTGTTTCGTAGCGTGGGGTGCTTTGTTTGAAAAACTGATTCGATTAAAATACTGTGCATGTGTGTGAGTGAATTTATGCTCCACTCAGTGTATTCCAATATATTGGCGCTCATACAGAAACCTCAAGCAGGTTTCTCCCTGACATTCTACTGCTCTATAGCCAGCCATTCTATCCAGGTCAAAGGAGAATGTGGTCTGACTGCTCCTCCATGGGTGTAATAACATCTGTCTGTTGTCCTCAGGTGACGCCAAAGAGAACCATTTCACAGCAGAGAGAGACGAGTACGGAGCAGACACCATGACAGAGATACACATCACCGGACGCATTGTCATCAACCTGTGGAGAATTATGAAGACCGAGGTAGCTGCTGCTGCTGAAGAGATTGTTAATCACTTAGAATCAATAATAAATTAGCTTTTTTCCCCCCTTTTATTTTATGAATATAAACACCAGATACTTTGGTTATGAGTCTTCTCATGTTTGTTTCTTAGGTCATTTGTAAGTGTGTATTTCATTGTTTTTTTTCCAGGTGACGTTGAACAACTACAGTTTTGAGAATGTGGTCTTCCACGTCCTGCACCAGCGCTTCCCCCTGTACAGCCCCCGCACCCTGTCGGACTGGTTCGACCACAACACTGACCTGTACAGGTGGGCACCACACCATCCTCCTACTGGATACACTCACACCCACTTACCTGGCTGCTCTCTCTTTTCAATGTGCTCACATTATTACTATCGTCACAATTTTATTTATTTGTTTTGCAAACCAATTCAGTTGAAACCGAGACAAGATGATAAAATGGGTCTTTACATCTGCAGTACCTTTGATTTCCTGTATGAAGTTGACCCAGACTGTGTTGTGTGCCTGCCAGGTGGAAGATGGTGGACCACTATGTTAGCCGGGTGGGCGGCACCATGCAGCTGCTCCAGCAGCATGACATCATCGGCAGGACCAGCGAGCTGGCCAGGGTGTTTGGGATCCAGTTCTATCACGTGCTCACCAGGGGATCCCAGGTCAGGACCCACCACACGTTGGAACGTTATTGGCTGAGATGTGAATTGAATTGGCACTGTGTTGATGTAATGTTTAGCCACAGGTACAACATGGTGCTTCGTGGTTATTATAGTTGTTTTTCTATTCGTTTTTTCATTTTTTAAATTTTAAATTCAGTTTACGTTCAATTTGTTTTCAGACCTGATTTGCTAGTTTTTATTTAGTTTTAGTTGTATCAAAATATTTAATTTAGTTTTTATATTATTTCGTTTTAGTGTTAGGGACAGAAAGCAAGCGTGGGAGGCTAGGAGCCATTTGTGTTGTATAGTTTGTGTTTTTGGGGATGTCACTTCCTGCAACTGGGGGCAGTAATACATAAGTTGATTACCGGGTCAGGTCATAGTTTAGGTTAGGTTTAAATTGTAAAGCCAATCTCAATGTGACTTGGATTTAAAAGGAATAGCACAGAGACTGGTGCAAAGAAATATGGTGAAAGGAAACTCTCTTGCCCATGTTTACACCAATCCAATGCTTTTTAACTTTAGTAGTACAGATCTATCTTAATTTGAGCATTTTCACAGCAGGAAAATAATCCTGCAGCAACAAGAAATGTCAATTATAATTAATGGACATGTTTGTAGGGGTTGATCCATTTTTCGTTAGGGCAAATCAAGTCTGACATTTTTAAGTGAAAATTACAAGCGTTTTTATTTTACTCGAATACACTAAAAGTGCTGTTCTGGAAAATTCTCTGCGACAAGAGTGATTAAATTTAGATAGTATATCACTGTACACGTAAGAAGAATCAAGTTGGCTACCTAGCTGATTCCCTCCCCGTTAGTTAGCTAGTGATAGTGATGCACAAACTAGGCCTATTTGAAAAATGGCCATCTCCTGGCCGCATTTACCCGCCAGATTCAGTTAGCTTGAAATCCCCCCAAAAGCTTGAAAACCCCATTAGATAAAATGAAAATAATAATTACTAAAACTGAACCCATTTCTTGACTGTTTTATTTTAGTTAGCTTTGGAGTTCAGGAAGAGTTTGTCAGCCTCCCACTGTGAAAGACTAGAAGGTGTCTGTCTGTTACTGGGATCTAGGAATTGGTGATTGTCCAGTGGATGGTCAGAACAAGTACTACATACCACAAATTAGAGGAAAGATGATCAAGGGGAACAAGGAAACATTATATAAAGACTGAGCTAAACCAGATGGAGAGGAGTTGTCAGGGATCAGTCTAATGAGAAAGTCAGATGAGATATCTCACTGTACTCTGCCCTCTCTCCCTGTCCTCTCTCTTCTACCTGTAGTACCGTGTGGAGTCCATGATGCTGCGTGTGGCCAAGCCCATGAACTACATCCCCGTTACGCCCAGCATGCAACAGAGAGCCCAGCAGAGGGCGCCGCAGTGCATCCCGCTGGTCATGGAGCCTGAGTCGCGCTTCTACAGCAACTCTGTGGTGGTGCTGGACTTCCAGTCGCTCTACCCCTCCATCGTCATCGCCTACAACTACTGCTACTCTACCTGCCTGGGCCACGTGGAGAGCATGGGAACGTAAGGGACAACGCCTGGATAGAGAGAGAGAGACACCACGCATGCGTACACTACACACATGTTCTTATCATTCTGATAGGTTGAGATGTGAGTCAAGGTACAGAGACCAACCACTGTGAGTTGATGTTTCAGGCCTGATGAGTTTAAGTTTGGCTGCACCTCCCTGAGGGTCCCCCCTGAGCTCCTTTACCAACTCCGCAATGACATCACCGTCTCTCCCAACGGCATCGCCTTTGTCAAGGTACAACTAGCCCTCTGATACCGTTATGTGATTAGCATTAACTTTTTTTCCTGAAATGGGCAGACTTTGATAGAACAAGCAACAAACTATCATGGATCTTCTAAGACTAACTGTGTGTCTGTGTCCTCTCCGTCCAGCCCACGGTGAGGAAGGGGGTCCTGCCCAGCATGTTGGAGGAGATCCTGAACACGCGGTTCATGGTAAAGCGTTCCATGAAGACCTACAAGCAGGACAAGGCCTTGATGAGGCTGCTGGACGCCAGGCAGCTGGGACTCAAGCTCATCGCCAACGTCACCTTCGGCTATGCCGCCGCCAACTACTCTGGACGCATGCCCAGCGTAGAGGTGAGGGCCTGGGGTTCACACACACACACACACACACTGTCGGTCTGTCACACTCACCAAAATCTTTACGTCTGCCTGTTAACTGTTTGTCTGCTGTTGTGATTCTATGTGATTTGTGTTTGTAACGTATGAGCTGTGAAAATAATTTCCTCCTGAAAAGGACAATATACACAGTTTATTAGGTACACCCACCTAGTACCCCCCCCCCCCCCCCCCTTGGCTCCAGAACAGCCTGAATTCTTCGTGGCATAGAAACGTAGCTCAATTGGTATCAAGGGACCTAACATGTGCCAGGAAAACATTCCCCACACCATTACAACACCACCACCAGCCTGTACTGTTGACACCAGGCAGGATGGAGCCATGGACTCATGATGCTTACGCCAAATCCTGACTCTGCCATCAGCATGATGCAACAGGAACCATGATATGTCGGACCAGGCTACGTTTTTCCACTCCTCAATTGTCCAGTGTTGGGGATTGTGTCCCCACTGGAGCCGCTTCTTTTTGTTTTTAGCTGATAGGAGTGGAACCCGGTGTGGTCGTTTGCAGCAATAGCCCAAACGTGACAGGATCTATGAGTTGTGTGTTCCAAGACGCCGTTCTGCACAACACTGTTGTACTGCACTGTTATTTGCCTGTTTGTGGCCCGCCTGTTAGCTTGCACGAGTCTTGCCATTCTCCTTCGACCTCTCATCAACAAGCTGTTTTCACCCACATGACTGCCGCTGACTGGATGTTATTTGTTTGTCGTACCGTTCTCGGTACACCCTAGACACTGTCGTGTGTGAAAAGCCCAGAAGGCCGGACGTTTCTGAGATACTGGAACTGACGCGCCTGACACCGATGATCATACCACCATACCACCATACCACCATACCACGCTCAAAGACACTTAGCTCACTAATTTTGCCCATTTTAATGTTCAATCGAACAGTAACTGAATGCCTCGATGCCTGTCTGCCTGCTTTATATAGCAAGCCCCTGCAGCGTGACTCACTGTCTGTAGGTGCAAACCATTTTTGTGAACGGGGTGATGTACCTAATAAACTGGCCTCTGAGTGTATACGTAATCAATCAATCAAAATCACTGTTACTAAAGTCAACATGATACAGTTTCTATTCCCCCCCCCCCATCACTTGTTAGCTGGGTTTGTATTAACCTTAACCATGAAGAAAAAGCTTTCAGCAATCTGTCCCTGTATGGTGTCTATAGGTTGGTGACAGTATTGTCCACAAGGCCAGGGAGACCCTGGAGAGAGCCATCAAGCTGGTCAACGACACCAAGAAATGGGGAGCCCACGTTGTGTACGGTGACACAGACAGGTAAGGGATGAGCTTTAGAGAATGAATCATTAGATATTGAATCCTATGGTTTTCTGTGACTATTTTCTTACTCTCTGCTTGTCTCTTTTAGTATGTTTGTCCTGCTAAAGGGAGCAACTAAAGAGCAGGCCTTCAAGATCGGCAACGAGATCGCCGAGGCAGTGACTGCTACCAACCCTAAACCTATCAAGCTGAAGTTTGAGAAGGTACAGTCTCTGTTCAGTATGAAGTGTCTAGACTAGAAGTGAGTCTATTTACAGTGTGTTTTATTCAATCAACAGCCCACACAACCCACATGTTCTACTACTCAGTGTGAATTAGGTTGAGTTGACATTTGTGTGTATGTGGTATTTGTTTGAGTCCGTCTGTCTGTGCATTAATTACAGAACCATTAGTTGAATCCTTTGTGTGTGTGTGATCCCAGGTGTACCTGCCGTGCATGCTCCAGACAAAGAAGCGCTACGTGGGCTACATGTATGAGAGCTTGGACCAGAAGGACCCCGTGTTCGATGCCAAGGGGATCGAAACAGTGCGCCGAGACGGATGCCCTGCTGTTTCCAAGGTAACGGCAACATTTTACAATTTCTGCCTGCTCTCTTGCTCTGTCTACACCATTCAGTCACGCCAGATTTATATTAGTAGCCTGTGCTCAGACTACTACACAGATAGGAATCGGAGAAAGTCCTTGCCTGAACATGTTCTATACTAGCACAGTCAGCCTGGTCGATGTATAGAATATAGACTGGTGTGTGTGACCTCCCCCGTCTCCCTAGATTTTGGAACGTTCCATCAAGCTGCTGTTTGAGACGCGGGACATCAGCCAGGTGAAACAGTTTGTGCTGCGTCAGTGTGGGAAGGTGCTGGAGGCCAAGGCCAGCATGCAGGACCTGACCTTCGCTAAGGAGTACAGGGGCATGAACTCCTACCGTCCCGGGGCCTGTGTCCCTGCTCTGGAGCTCACCAGGTACACCAACAACACACCGCTTGAGGGGAGGGTGGTCATAGTGTGTGTTGATGATATGACACTGTAACAGTAGCATCTTTGAGAAATCTTGTGTGGGCATGTGTGTTCATGTGTGTGGACAATATGGCAGTGTCTGAATGTCAATGTGTCTTTGAGAAAGCTATTTTGTTTCTGTGGAGTAGCCAGTGGATGTGGGCCGACGTGTGTGAGAGAGAGACCTCCCTCCCTCTCATCTGCCTGCTTTTTCTTTGTGAAGCCACTTACTGATTTCCCAGAATGCCCATTGTCTGCCTGCACTACAACCGGCCTAGCTCAGTGTACTGTACCTGAGACAGTTGCTTAGCAACCCAGCTCTAATGGGTGGAAAAATCCGATTTCAGATGGTTAAAGGGGGGAATATTCAGTGTGATTCATAAAGATTAACTATGACAATTTATTATAGTCATTCATCTTGCAGCAGTACAAAAACAAGGAATCAAATGCATCATGTTTAATTCAGATATTTTCCCTTTTGAAGAAAATTATACAAATATGTGATCATTTAAAATCTGAATACTGTATGTGTGGTCCTACACCACGCATATGGATATAACTGCACATATTTGGGGTGCTAGATAAGCAGGAACCAGCCATTCCTTTACTGTGTCCTGACACCCCCATGTCCTCTCACTCTGACCCCCCCAGGCGTATGATGGCCTATGACCGGCGCCTGGAGCCGCGGGTGGGCGAGCGGGTGCCCTACGTGATCGTGTACGGAACGCCCGGCGTGCCCCTCATCCAGCTGGTGCGGCGGCCCCTGGATGTGCTGCAGGACCCAGGCCTGCGCCTCAACGCCACCTATTACATCACCAAGCAGATCCTGCCCCCGCTGCAGCGCATCTTCCAGCTCATCGGCGTGGACGTGCTCAGCTGGTACCAGGAGATCCCCAGGGTGAGGCTATGAAAGAGGGGTGCAGCTGAAGGGGTGGACCATCTGCTCCAATAGTTAGTTACAGGGATTCATTAAACGATTGATCTATGACATTTGATGTTTGTTGACACGCACAGACCACTGAAGCAGCGATAATGATTTTGAAAGCTTTGTCCAGACTGTAGTGCAGACAGAGAATAAAAGAAAAAAGGGCTACATGTCAGGAATCGAATGAGACTCATCCAATCTCATTGTGCCCAAGTCATTGTTAGAGGCACTGCCTTTTTGAGATGCCGACGATGCCATCTAGTGGTGAGTTGTGTATAGGACATGCACATTTCATACTGTTGTCTTGTTAGCCTGCTTCAAACTAAAGGACAAGGGGGCATAGCTCTTAGAGGATAAAAGTGTCTGCCCTGTCAAATAGTGAATGACAGTCTTGATGATTAAAAACTACATTTATGTGATTTGATGACCACTTTTCTATTATAATCCAGCCCATGGCTCTAAATATGTCCTCTGTGTTCAGGTCCAGAAGGCATCATGCTCCACAGTGGCCAGAGGGGAGGTGGGGAGGAAGGGGACCATCTCCCAGTACTTCACCACGCTGCACTGTCCTGTGTGTGACGAGCTCACCCAGCTAGGGGTGTGTGTCAGCTGCCGGGCCGAGCCCCAACGAGTGGCCGTCACTCTCAACCAGGACATGCGGCTGTGGGAGAGCCAGCAAGACCAGCTGCTAAAGGTTAGAAGTCGAGGGTCAGGACATCATTGGGAAGCTACCACAGGCTGCTGATATGTTAGAGATCATGCTGAATAGTCTCCAAGCACTTTCTTCATTTGAGTTTTCTACAAATATATTTAGAGTAGATAGAGCTAAGCTTAGAATTTTATTTTTAGCACTGTCATCATGTAATATTACAGGGATAGGTCACTCAAACTGGTTGGTAAAGTTCTGTAGATACGCCATTAACCAAGCTCCTGTTTTCCTTTGGTCCAGATCTGTAGGAACTGCAGCGGCAGTGCGGAGCGGCAGGTTCCGTGTGTGTCTCTAGACTGTCCTGTGCTCTACAAGCTGTCCCGGGTCAACAGACAGCTCTCCAAGGTGCCCTACCTCCGACAGCTCCTGGAGCAGTTCTGATTATGAACAGCTTCTGGCCCACTGCTCTGCGAAGCCCAGCACAGTGCACTGCTACTCTGGTGCTAAACCAACGCTGTCTCATCCAGCTCAGTGTTTCCCTGTCTTTTCCTTTAAATGGTGCTTTGATTAAACCCTGTTGGGTTTTTGTTCTCATTCTCACTCACTGTCTTCACTAGCTGCTATTGGTTGGTTGTGCGTGAAGCTGATGTTTTTTCTTCAAATGGTCTCGTCTGTATCACAACGATGGCATTACCTCTGATCAAAGAGGATCTTATCATTTTATTCAGTATGCGCTGTAGTAATTTGTAAATGCAAGACTTGAAAGTCTGAAGGTATTTCTAAGGAGCTGCCGACTACATGAATATTGACTAAAGAAACCACTGTTTAATTTCATTTCCCTTTTTATATAAAATACCATTTTGTAAGTAGTTATTGTACAGTGCCCATCTGAATTATCTCTGTGCATCAGCATTAAAAAAGGAAAGCTCTAATCAGTGGACAAATCAACTAGCTAGTTTCTATGCATTCTGTTTGTGTGCCATGGTAATATTTCTTTTAGCCTCGATTGAATTTATGTCCATTTTGGCAAAGCATTATCCTTATACTCCAAGACACTGATGCCTATCAAAAGAGGATGGGGAGTATTCATTTCAGTTTTTACTTCTGGGACTGTTGCAATACTGTATTTTGATAATTTATGGCAAGCATATATTATTTCCTTACGCATATTTGTTTTGTACACATTTCTAATGCTTTCTCCATGTTAAAACAGCATGTCATCTAACCATGTCAAGATGGATTCTATTATTTCCCAAACAACTATACACAGGATCTGTATAAATGTAAAAAGAAAAATGAAGGACATTTTTTTGTTCGTTTTTAATGGACATTGCTGTGGGTGGAGGTTGAAGATTGATTTAATAAAACTCAATGTATTAGTCTTTATTAGTATTTTGTCATGGTTGTGATTTCTTGTTTTAAAAGAACAATTCAGAGAGATTGATCAAGTTATTAACACAAAGATCACATCTGAATGAAAAACGACTACTGATCACACAACACAACACTTTAAAATATATATTTTTTTACAAAAGTGCAGGAAACAAACTTGTTTCAAAGGTCTGACCAAATCAAATAATTCATAATCAGGCCACATTGGTGGCTAAATTCCTCTCTTTAACTGAAGATAATTCACATTACTAAATATGAATATGACAAAGAAAATGACGTCTAAGATGTCTAAAGGAACCTACTTTCAGTGTTACATTAGTGATTCTTCACTACCAGCAACCGTTTGTAAGAGGTCTAAATGTTTACATTTCCCCTAAAACATACAGCCTCATAACGTAGTAGACATAAGCTGTGGGGTAAGTCACATTACACTGTAAATCTGTAGTATCAAACATTCTGGGCTCAATTCAATCCGTTTCGCGGAAGGTCAGCGTTACGTCGTGATTAAATAGAGCCCTTACATGTGAGTGTTAAGCTAAAGACGCAAATGACAATCACAGACATTAACAAACAAGTTTCTCTCGAGAGGGAGACATGGCTCTTCTAGAATACAATAAGTATTATATATTTATATAGTACCAGTCAAAGGTTTGGACACACCTACTCATTCCAAGGTTTTTCTTTATTTTTACTATTTTCTACATTATAGAATAGTGAAGACATCAAAACTATGAAATAACACATGGAATCATGTAGTAACCAAAAAAGTGTTAAACAAATCAAAATATATTTTATATCTAAGATTCTTCAAATAGCCACCCTTTGCCTTGATTACAGCTTTGCACACTCTTGGCATTCTCTCAACTAGCTTCATGAGGTAGTCACCTGGAATGCATTTCAATTAACAGGTGTGCTTCTTAAAAGTTAATTTGTGGAATTTCTTCCCTTCTTAATGCGTTTGAGCCAATCAGTTGTGTTGTGACAAGGTAAGGGGGGGGGGGGGGGGGGGGTTATACAGAAGATAGCCCTATTTGGTGACTCCATATTATGGCAAGAACAGCTCAAATAAGCAAAGAGAAATGACAGTCCATTACGTTAAGACAAGGTCAGTCAATAAGGAACATTTCAAGAACTTTGAGAGTTTCTTCAAGTGCAGTCGCAAAACCCATCAAGCACTATGATGAAACTGGCTCATGAGGACCGCCACAGGAATGGAAGACCCAGAGTTATCTGTGCTGCAGAGGATAAGTTCATTAGAGTTACCAGCCTCAGAAATTGCAGCCCAAATAAATGCTTCACAGAGTTCAAGTAACAGACACATCTCAACATCAACTGTTCAGAGGGGACTGTGTGAATCAGGCCTTCATGGTCAAATTGCTGCAAAGAAACCACTACTAAAAGGACACCAATAATAAGAAGAGACCTGCTTGGGCCAAGAAACACGAGCAATGGACATTATACCGGTGGAAATCTGTCCTTTGGCCTGGAGTCCAAATTGGAGATTTTTGGTTCCAACCGCCGTGTCTTTGTGAGACGCGGTGTGGGTGAACGGATGATCTCCGCATGTGTATTTCCCACCGTAAAGCATGGAGGAGGTGTTATGGTGCTTTGCTGGTGACACTGTCTGTGATTAGTTTAGAATTAAAAAGGCACACTTAACCAGCATGGCTACCACAACATTCTCCAGCGATATGCCATCCCATCTGGTTTGGGCTTAACAGTTGTTATCTGGTTGTTTTTCAACAGGACAATGACCAAAGACACCTCCAGGCTGTGTAAGGGCTATTTTACCAAGAAGGAGAGTGATGGAGTGCTGCATCAGATGACCTGGCCTCCACAATCCCCCGACCTCAACCCAATTGAGATGGTTTGGGATGAGTCGGGGAGTAGGTGTGTCCAAACTTTTGACTGGTAGTAATATATATATATATAATGTCTTTACAGCACTGATGGTGCATTTCACACCTAGACTAGAGCCCTTAGGCGGGATTCATTCTGATCGCACTTCGTGACTGTGCCATTTAAAAGGTAATTTCCGATTTAGCTGACATATGCAGCATTTACTGTGAATGCGGTCTACACGAATGCGGGAACATTGCCTTTAGAAGGACCATTGCATAGAAAGCGCGATTGGATTGAATCCCGGCCTTACCGCTGATCTGATTGAATCCCGGGCTTAGGGCTCTTCAATTTGTATCGCTGAAGCGTTACAGATTGCGCACTAGAAATGTAAAGGTAATTTTCGATTGAGCTGACATATGCAGCATTTACCGCGAATGCATTCTCTGCTAATGTGGGAACATTGCCTTTAAATTTCAATCACGCTGTAACTCTGAATTTCAACAATATGGTTTGAATAAAGCCCCTAGTCTCTCTTCTCCCGGTCCAGGGAAAGCAGCATCTTCCCTCTGGGTGAGTCCCCGATCAGAGCGGGAGTGTCTGAGAAAGAGGTCCCAACTGTGGGCTCTAGGGACTGGGTAGTGGACGGGACAGATGTGGCGCTGATGTCGCCTGAAGTTCCAGCAACATCAGGTGGTGGGAGCCCTTTGTTAGGAGATGACAATGCTTTATTAGGAGATAATGAGAGCGCTTTGCTATGAGATGATAACAATGCTTTATTCTGAGAGTTTATAAGGCTGGCGTCATCCATCTCGATTACCTCAAAGTCGGCGTCATTCCACTGGTCTGCCTCGTCATCCTCCTGCTGCTCCTCTTCCTCATCATTGGCTCCTGAGTCCAGCAGGCCTTGGCGGTACTCGCTGTCGTCAGGCTCCTTGCGGCCCCTGATGCGGGGTGTCCTGCTGGGGCCGCTGGGGGACGAGGCCAGCCAGAACATGAAGGGGAAGAGGATGGAGGTGATGGTAGCGCTGGCCAGGGTCAGGTACATCAGCAGGGGGTGACCATGGATCCTCCCCATCAGGAAGCCCATCAGGGCGGGCAGGACCATCTCCCCCAGGGCCGCCCCCACCACGAAAACTGCCGCTGAGCGACCAGTCACTGTGGTGTACTGCTCCACCCAGGAGATCCCACTGGGGAAAGTGGTCGACATGAAGGCACCGTAGACACCAGTGCAGAGCCACAGGGCCACCCTGTTCCTGTTGAAGAGAGTGAGGAACAGGGAGGACAGGGTGCAGCCCACCAGGCTCAGTAGGATCATGGTGCCTGGGTGCATGCAGGGCGCAAAGAAGATGGCCAGGCCCCGGCAGGCAGCGAATGTCCCCCAGAACAGGGAGTTGAGCCCTGCTGCCTGGGCCTCGTCCATATGGATATAATCCTTAGCATATGTGAAGATAAAGGAGCCGTACGCCACCTCGGCCCCCACGTACCAGAAGAAAAATACAAAAAGCATGGCGATGAGTGCGTTGTGATGCTTGGACACCAGGGGCTTCCCTGAGGGGGTCTGGGCCCTGCCCTGAGAGGGCCTGTGGCGGGCGTAGAGGATGAAGAAGAGGAGGGAGATTAACAGGATGAAACCACTGATCACAATGTAGGCCCACATGGACTTGAGGGTGCTGCTACTGTAGCACATGAGTGTAGAAGGAGACAAGATTTGGGACATATCTGTGACAGGCGGGAAGGTTGAGTTTGGCGGAGAGGTTGATGTTGCCGGCAGGGAGGTTGATGTTGCCAGGGTGGTTGATGTTGCCAGCGATGCTGCCATGCTGCCGTTCGTAGCCACATCCAGGTCCAAGTCTGTTCCAAAGAGCAGCTTGGCGATGATGGGCGAGACAAAGGCCCCTGCGGCGAAGCTGAAGTGCAAGGCCTGCAAGTGGGGGCCAGCCTGATCCCCCCACGTCTGCAGGATCAGGACATTACCACCTGCCAGAGAGGAGAGCAAACGGCATCAGAGGCATTCACTGACGACCATGTCTTGTACTGTGCCGTAAGTAGGTACCTATTTACTATATTAAAGATAGATTGTCTGTTCCTACCTGTATCTAGAAAGCCCATAGAAACTCCAATACTGGACATCAGAGCAGTGAGGAGAAGGGCTGTCTTAGAGAAAGGGATGGCAAACATCCCAAACGCTGTCACCAACATGGAGAGGCCTGTGATGAAGATACAGTGTTATACAGTGCACCATGCAATGGTAATGAACACCCACAAAAAACACCTACAGCATTCTTTGATAAACATAGGTGATGCATTTACAGTAAGGCTATTTTGTGCATGCTGTGTACACTAATACATACGGAACAAAAAGATAAAACGCAACATTCAACAATTTCAAAGATTTTACTGAGTTACAGTTCATAGAAGGAAATCAGTCAATTGAAATCAATTCATAAGGCCCTAATTTATGGATTTCTCATGACTGGGTACGCGGTTGTGAGGCCGGTTGGACATACTGCCAAATTCTTTAAAATGACCTTGGAGGCGGCTTATGGTAGAGAAATTAACAAATTATCTGGCAACAGCTCTGTTGGACATTCCTGCAGTCAGCCTGCCAATTGCACGCTCCCTCAAAACTTGAGACATCTGTGGCATTGTGTTGTGTGACAAAACTGCACATTTTAAAAGTGGCCTTTTATTGTCCCCAGCACCTATGTAATGATCATGTTGTTTAATTACACTGAACAAAATATATAAACGCAACAAATACATTTTCCATATGCACAAAAAGCTTATTTTTCTCAAATGTTGTGCACAAATTTGTTTCCATCCCTGTTTATCCTTGCCAAGATAATCCATCCGCCTGATAGGTGTGGCATACCAAGAAGCTGATTAAACAGCATGATCATTACACAGGTGCACCTTGTGCTGGGGACAATAAAAGGCCACTTACATTTTTTTGTCAAACAACACAATGCCACAGATGTCTCAAGTTGAGGGAGTGTGCAATTGGCAGGCTGACTGCAGGAATGTCCAACAGAGCTGTTGAATGTTCATTTCAAGCTGCCTCCAACGTCGTTTTAGAGAATTTGGCAGTACGTCCAACCGGCCTCACAACCGCAGACCACGTGTAACCACGCCAGCCCTGAGGAGTATTTCTGTCTGTAATAAAGCCCTTTTGTGGGAGAAAAAAATCATTCTGATTGGCCCACCAAGGCTGCACAACTGCCCAGTCATGTGAAATCCATAGATTAGGGCCTAATGAATTAATTTAAATTGACTGATTTCCTTATATGAACTGTAAAATCTATGAAATTGTTGCATGTTGTGTTTTATTTTTGTTCTCAGTACAGCTTCATGATATGCCACACCTGTCAGGAGGATGGATTATCTTGTCAAATAAGAAATGCTCACTAACAGTGATGTAAACAAATTTGTTCACAGAATTTAAGAAAAATAAGCTTTTTGTGCATATGAAAAATGTCTCGGATCTTTTATTTCAGCTCATGAAACATGGAACCAACAATTTACATGTTGGGTTCATATTTTTGTTCAGAATAATAATAATAATAATAATAATAATAAATACCATTAAGCAGATGCTTTTATCCAAAGCAACTTACAATAATGCATGCATACATTTTTCATATGGATGGCCCTGGCAAACCAACAATCCTGGCATTGTAAGCACCATGCCCTACCAACTGAGCCACACAGGACCACAAAGCTTAGAGGTTAAATATGTTGTTGTTTTTTGCCAACGGACACTATGTATTTGCGGTTTGAGTTAAGTCTATGTATATTTTAATTTGTTAGACATACCCAGCAGCAGAAGGCTGTTCATGCAGTCAAAGAGAATCCCTGACAACACAGAGCCACCTATATAGCCCATGGAGCGGCCTATGAAGATGTAGGAGATATTGCTGATGTCCTGGTTGACGTTGATGGCCAGGTCTTGAAACGTGGGGCCTAAAACAGAGATACACATCCCCTGGAAGACAGAAATAATAAAAAAGACTTACTAGTATTGTCAAGTATATGTAAGATACAGCCCTGCCCCTTGTGCAGTTATCAGGCAAACATTGGTGTCCCTATCATTTTCTAGGATACATATATTTTGAACTTTGTGTGGCAGCCAATGGTAAAGAATGTAAATATGTTGTTTTCATGTCCCTTTCTAAGAAGACAGTTATTCAAAATTGTACATTTGGCCAGGTGCCAGGAAGTAAAAGTTCTGAAGTTGAAGAGTCAGTTTTACCAACTAGCTCTGTCTTACTTCAGAATGAAACGTTCCTCCATGTTTCTCAAACGTCAAATTTCGAAGTGCTCAAGGTTAAGTTTTGGCATTAACTCCGAATTTTTAAGGTTATGGTTAAGTATTGTCATTAACTCAGAATGGTTAAGTTTTGGGATAGGCTTAACACAAAAATCTAAAAAACTACTTTCTATCGCTGGATTCGAACATGCAATCTTTGGCCCCAGAGTTTAGGCATGAATTCCGAAAGTTTAAGGCAAGGGTTATTGTTTGGCATAGGCTTAAAACAAAAATCTCAAAAACAACTTTCTATCGCTGGGGTCGAACATGCAACCTTTGGCACCAGAAGCATATGCTTACGCCCATCGCCTTCCAATGCCCTATTAAAACCGAAACCTACTTGAAGGTAACAGCGCTCGCTGTTGCCCATGTTGGCCGTTTTCCACGTCCTCAGACATGGATGGACTTCGAATACTGACTTGTATCATGGGTGACCTGGCTGGTTTTACAGATCCTGCTCATTCAAGATATAGGCCTAACAACGCTCATTTTACTTGAGAATAATAAAGTAACCACTGAAAGAACCACAATCACAGAACTTGGAAAGGCTAGATCTTATTGAATGGGAATACATACATTAACCATGTGAGACTCGTGTACAATAAGATTAAGCTTTAAACATTTAAAGACAACCTGCATTTGAGTGTTTGTTAAGATATGGGGATAGGGAAACAAAATCCTAATAATAATTTCCATGCAAACCAAAATATGCAATAAACCAGGGGAGTATTCATTCCGCCAATATTGTTGCAAAACGTTTCTTAAACGGAAGCAAACGGAACGAAACGTGGAGGGACCTACCGGTACCTGCATTTGTCTAACAGAAACTCTCGTTTTGCTCTGTTTGGTTCTTAAACGGTAAACGTTTTCCGTAATGAATACACCCCTGATAGAATGATAGTAGCTCATTTCAGGGCCTTGATGTTGACAAAATGGTCAAATTCAGTCACTTGGGCTGACCTACTAGCCTAATAACAAGCACTCGTCATTACCAGTCCGAGGAATGATGCACAGAGCGCCAAGGTGATGATCCAGCGGCTGTAGCCTCCAGAACCGCTGGCGCTGCTAACTCCACCGATTATCTCAACCTCACCATCGAACCCCGAATTCGAACTCCTCTTCCTCCCTTTCATTACACTCTTCACCCCTCGCCTCGTGTCTTTCCTCTTGTCAAACAGAGTATGTTCCTCTTGGTCATCGTTATTATCATCCTCCTCCATTCTAGCGAAACGAACATGCTTCGTTTTCACAACAGGATCTCTGGCGGCCGAGGCAGACATTGTCGAGCTGTCAAATTATGGCTGCGCTGTATCCTGCGGTTCGGCAAGCTTGCGCCAGTGCGTTTGGTAAACAAACTGCGCGCACTGACCGTTCCTTGAACGAGACTTGCTGATATCGTACTATCTTTTCGGTTCATTCAGTCATTAATTGCATGAATAATCGGATAGAGAGAACGTTGGCTGGGGGTAAAAGCCGTGGTTCCATATGTCAAGTGTATGACATTAATATGGATGACATCGTCACATGATTGAAATTCATTCATTGAAAACAGAGACATCTAGCGGTCATACTAGAAATGTGAGATGTTTTTTTAATCATTAGAAATATTTGTGCTTCTGTGCTTTACATGCACGACTACATAACAATGATTTACACTTGTAAAAAATGTGTTAGAGGAAGCGATAAATGAAAGGGTGGTCCAATATTGACATTGGATTACAGCACACAATGCAATCACCCTTTGTTTTACACACTAAGTGTACAAAACATTAGGAGCACCTGCTCTTTCCATGACATTGACTGACCAGGTAAATGCTATGATCCCTTACTGATGTCACCTGTTAAATTTACTTCAATCATTGTAAATGAAGGGGAGGAGACAGGTTAAAGAAGGAGTTTTAAGCCTTGAGACATGGATTGTGTATGTGTGCCATTCAGAGGGTGAATGGGCAAGACGAAAGATTTAAGTGCCTTTGAACGGGGTATGGTAGTAGGTGCCAGGCGCACTGGTTTGAGTGGGTCAAGAACTGCAACGCTGCTGGGTTTCCTGTGTGTATCAAGAATGGTCCACCACCCAAAGGTCATCCAGCCAACTTGACAACTGTGGGAAGCATTGTAGTCAACATGGGCCAGCATCCCTGTGGAACGCTTTCAACACCTTGTAGAGTCCATGCCCTGGCATATTGAGGCTGTTCTGAGGGGAAAAGGGAGTGCAACTCAATATTAGGAAGGTGTTAATCATTTTTTCTACACTCCGTGTATACCCTTGCATTAGAAAGTAGGAGCCTGAAGAATGGTGTGTGTGTAAGCATAAAGTATAAATACATAAGTAGCTTAAATAAACTAGGCCCTATAGGTTGACAGAGGCGTTGAAAGGCTCAAATTGCGAGTGTGTGACCTATAATAATTTTACCATGATGCAACTGAAGTGATGAATGAGAAACTCAAGAAAAAAAAACCATTGAGTCATTCATTTGTTAAAAAGATGTATTTTAAATTTGAGTTGTTTATTACATATCATACAATCAAATTAAAACACAATCATGCAATTAAAAAAATATGAATACCTTTTTAAAAGCAATAACATGCTGAAATGACTACATACAGCTATGGGTGATTTGAATGATCAGCAATATACAATGTTTACATAAAGAAATATGTGAACCAGGAAAATGACAGAACAATGCAGAAAACATGGGGTGAAAGTGAAAGCTGAAAAGTATATATTTGTGACATTACATTATGCATTACAGAATTCTAGTTGCATTATCAGGCATCAATATACACTCTGAATCACTCCTGTGTACAGCAAGAGTTGCAATAAAATCTATATATAACCTACATATGTAAGTAGAAACATATTATTACACCATTTCAAACAATATGCTGTTGATTTTGGTCTTTAGCCACTTAACAAAAATAGAACATGCATAGACTCATCTTTACATTCACTTTATATTCTCTAAATATTGGGACATTCCCAAAAAGTGACAAACTTCTTTGGATGGCAAGGAATTCATTCAGTACGAGATAATTTCTGTAATCAATAATTATACTTAAACAATTAGTATTGTTTATGGCAAAGGGGTATCTCAGTAAACCTCTGAGGTACAATTTCAGGAATTTCCATTACTTGAGAAATTACCTGAGGCTTTCATTGGTGAATTGTGCAACTGTGTATGTCTATGATGTCCCCCCAAAATAACTAACACTGACATTAGCATAAATGTTAAAAAAATAAACAACTTCATAAAACAAATTATATATAATTAGAAATGCCCTATTAGAAAGGTATTCTCTAGTTAGAAAAACTAAACAAAACACGTCTCCAACATTCCTTGTGACATGGGTATTATTTCATTTGAACATTAATAGCAAAAAATTAAACTGAAAATTCAAAGCTTTAAAAAGAGCTAATTCCAAAAGCAAGATTGAAGTTCAAGATAGCAACTTTTCTTCTCAGAATTAGAGATTTATTTGCATTTCCCAGGTTACAAAATTCCACTGAAGTACTTCTCAGACACAAACACTGTTCTGTGGTACAGATAGGCAGCAACACACCCTTTCAGCGCAAACAATGACGTCTAGGAAGCCGAAATACTATTTTACACAGTCTCTCTCCTTATGTTTGTATAATCAATAAGGACATACAGTGGAGGGGAAGGGAAATGTTGCCAGTTTTGTAATGGTTTGAACCTTCAGCCTGTTTCGGTCTCACAATGACTGTTAGGACAAAATACCAGAAATGTGCATGACATCTGAGGTAGATTGTGTCACAAGTCTTGCCTTGGAGAAACCAATGACCCACAATGCTGGATAGTTTGGATTTTAATAAGTTATTACTTTTCTGCGTGCTTAGTGGTCAAGGGATTGTCGAGTCAAAATCCTTCACTGTAAAAGTTGTGGGTTCTCAAGTTCTCCAAGCGCAATCTTTATAATTATCAATGATTGTTGAATTGCAGGAGGGTGATTTTAAATGCAGGAGGGTGATAAATGTTTGAAAAGCCTAATAAACTATCCTGAGGGTGGTGCTTTGATAAATAGAATTGGCTGTAGACAAATCAGCCATTTTCTTTTCTTTACATTTCAAGGCCACACCCAGAAGAATCAATACAACATAAAAATGGTGGACCATTTGGTCCTTAATATATCAAATAATGAGAAAGGCCAACACCCATCAATTATGGCATGACATCAGCCACTAAAAAAAAACTCTAGAAAAAAATAAATACATATATGAAAAATATGATCGTTTAAAACAAATATTTTTTTCTAACAAGAGTTTAACAAACTGAGCACATAGTTGAGTCAAGTTAAGCATTGATGGTCACATCTCAAATTACATTTGAAATATGGTGGCGAGAGTGAGCCTACTACAATTAGAAGATATGCTGAAAGTATAACATTGGTTTACTATATGTGCGGGACAAAATAATGCTCAACTTCAACAATAAAAATCAATTCATAATATTAATTAATTAATCCACGTTTCATGTAAATGACTCCCCACAAATCAATATTGACGTTCATCCTTCACTCACATTGCATAGTCAGACGTTTAGTTTTAGGATCCTGTTCTGTGCTGGCTATAAACTATGTAGACAAAAATGATGATGGTGGTTCTGATGTAGAAACACTGAAAAGGATTCTCAGGCACTGTGTACGGTGGGAAAATAAGCATTCAAGCTATACTGTATCAGAGATCATAACAACTGAATACAGCCTCAGGTAAAGTCAGGCCTATTTCAGGTCCAGACTACTGCAGCCTTGAGATGACGACGATGATATTTCATGAGCGGGATGCTTTAATTGTGCTTTAAGCTGCTCCCTTGAGGTGCCCAAACACCTTTAAAACTAAGACAATAGTAAACCCTACAACCACTAGAAACGACCTACCTCCCCACACATTATCGCATACAGCACTTCTTTGAAGTGATATTGTATGCTCAGGTCATACTTAATCAAAAACATAATTCACAAATTCCCCACACATTCACAATCTTGCCATGTTTTAAGAGACCATCAAAAACCCCACAGGTAAACAGAAAAATGTTGACTGAAGGTTGACAGCATTTTCCCCGGTTAAATCTACTCAGCAGTATACGTTTCATACTTTTTTAAATCTTTGTTATACTGTAGTCAAGACAAGCAACACCCACTTACTTATACTACTTATGAGATGATTGGGGTCATTTGAGAAACAATACATACCATATATGGTCAATCATGTCCCCAGTGTTGATTTGAAATATAGTTTTAAAAACAAACCCAATAAATCTAGTTTGTGTTTTTCTTTTCAAAATTCTGCAAAGTCTGAAATCTATATTTAAGCTTGTATTGGACATTTCTACTCAATGAAAATAATTATCCTCAATGCCCTTAAAGAATGCACATTGAAAACGGGAGAATTTGCTAGTGAGACCGGCCACTGCTATTCTTATGTAAATAAGTGCTTGCAGCCTTCAAAATGCACCCACGTAAAGCATGTGTTCCCTTGTAAGAAATATAAGATGTGAGATTTCCCCATTTTCCATTTTAACCTTCAAGTTAATTCAACAGCTGGAAGATTGATGGAAAACAACAATCCAATGCATAGCTCTTCAAGATCACATTAATGTTCAATGTATTATTACTTCAGAATGTTCCCCACATACAAAAGCAGCCATTAAAATATTGTTTACACATACACCACAGGTCAATACATATTTTGTCTATATTTGTATCATAAAAAAATATATAATAATCAGCAGTTCCAAGTGTGTGCGCCTGCAAGTGAGTATGAACTGTGTGTATGTATGTCTGGGTGTATCTCTTTGTTTTGAGTGTGTTTTGGATGACAGACTTAGATGACAGATTCGGGGTCTGCGGTCTTCAATGCTAGTGCATCGCCCTGACCCCCACTGTTCCTCTTGAACTCCAGCATCTGCTCCTGGGTGCCATCCTTGGCTGCCTCCTCCTGCTCTCTCCTGATACGTCTAGCCTCCACCCAGGGGATCAGACACAGCACGGCCCCACCGATGATGGGAGGGATACCAGCCAAATAGAAGGCCACGTCGTAGCTCCCCAGCCTGTCCCTCAGGAACCCTGGAGAGAGAGCGAAATCAACATCTGGGAGTCGTTCATCATGACTCATGCAGTGTCCTAAAAACTGGCCTCAAAAAAACGAGGTACAAAGTTCAGCAGCACTCCTGAACCCCACAGGTCAGCTATAGTATGCCCCCCAGTCCTGAGGGCATAACCCTGTAACTACAAACCACAGTGAACACCTTATTTGGTCCTCTCAGATATCAAACAAAGGCAGGCTTATCTGTGCTGGGACTGAGTGATCCTAAGTAGTGTGTCCAACCCACTCTTGTAACACAAACATAGCTGATTATTACTGTCCAGTGAAGACAGTGGATTAGGTGCAGTGGCTGGGCCTCGCCCTGGGTGGACCGCCTTCTTAATCACGGTAACTCCCTTGCCAGGTAAGTATGAGTAGTAGCGGCAGGTAGCTTAGTGGTTAAGAGTGTTGTGCCAGTAACCGAAAGGTCGCTGGTTCTAATCCCCGAGCCGACTAGGTGAAAAATCTGTCGATGTGCCCTTGAGCAAGGCACTTAACCCTAATTGCTCCTGTAAGTCGCTCTGGATAAGAGCATCTGCTAAATCACTAAAATGTAAAATGTAAAAATGATTAGGGTCAGAGCCAATAAGGCCCCTCTGTCCGTCGCCCCTTGTGGTTGTTTCCCGTCCCTCAGCAGCACTGAGTTGAATGACTTCCTGACTTTCCCTTAGTTTCCTTCTCTCTCCCTGGAATGCCAGTCTATTTCTGAGAAAAACAGATGCTTTGTCTGTAGTACAGTGCAAACAACAGTGCAAACAGGTTGCACATGACTCATGTGGATATGAATGACATCCAAGTGAGAAAGAGCTTAACATGAATGGACGACTGTGCACTCAACATTCCAGTGGTGGAATTTACATACATTTTCCACAGGGTATATAATTTCTTACACAAGTATCATATTCATGACATAATGTCTCTACTCATATCAAGTTGTAATTGTAGAATGTGTGAAGTTGCCATGTTCTAAATATAATTAGTTACAGTATGTTCCTTTATGTTAGGTGGAGTATGAATGGAATGCTTTACTTTCACAGTTCCACAGATAAACACCAGGTGGCACCAGAGATTTCTAGAAAAACAATTAATCTCAAACTCATACTCCAGGGAGAAATGCATTAACGTTTTACATCATCAAGCTAAATGTTAATATCAAACAGTGTAAACTAACCAAGTGGCTGTATGGTTACTCTTGCAGCAACAGAATGTCCTATTGTCCCCAGCAGAATGATGTCATTATGATTCTAGAGACACTAAGGCTGCATCCCCATTCTTGTGCACTCGCAGTCATGAATATAAAAGCATTGGATTGGTTTAAGCATTGGAGGGAGTTTCCACCATTGTTAAATCTATGACGGGAGAACTGTGGAGCATTGGGATGCAGCCTGGCTTGTCCACTGAACTATACCTGCAATAGGAGGCCCCACGGTCATGGGCACAGACATCATGCCCAGCAGGAAGCCGATGGCCTGGGACACGTTCTGGGAGCCCACCAGCTCGAAGGCAATGGGGGCCATGATGCAGATGAAACAGCCGTCAAACAGGCCCATGAGCAGACACACCGCAATCAGCCCTCCGAAGACATGACACAGAGGGATCATCATGGACATCACGCCAATGACCATGAATGAAGACACCTGGGGGGGAGATATAAATGTGATGAACACAGCAGCATTGCATCTTTACATCAATCATTGCATCAACGGAATACAGTAATGGTTATGGCATGGGGTTGGAGCTGCATGACACCATGACGCCCTAAATTCCACATATAGCAAACTATATGGGGTATAGGGCGTCATTAAAGACCAGCCTAGTCATGGTCTGGCCTGTGCAGGATCTCGAGGATAGTAGGCGTTACCTGTAGGTAGACCTTGTTGACTCCATGTACATAGTCTGCCACCTGGCCGAAGATGAGGCGGCCCACACCAGACGTGACGCCGATGCACATGAGCAGAACCTCCTTGTTGGCGTCTTCTCCAAAGCGCTCCTCAACGTGCTTCATCTATGGGACCGACACGGAGGACACAACCATCTCATCAGCACTCAGTCACATCAGAACACAGCTGCCACATGCAGTTAGGGCCTAATCAAATGACACGTCTAGTAGAAAACTGACACAAAAGACTTATAGATGCTTATAATTGCTTTGTTTATCGACGTCATTGGAGGGATGGTGAGATGAAAAGGGAAGCATATGGAACACAATGTCTTAGCACAGTATGTGCATGATTCATTGGGGATCTACACGTGTGTTTGTGAAAGTGTATACGTTGAGTTGTGTGAGTTGGGGCCAGTCTAAAGAGGGCTACACAGCAGGTGTTTTCAGTCATGGCCCAGAGAGTGGTCCCTCCCCCTACTCTACACCACTCCTTTTTCAGAAGGGGGGGGGCAGGGCGCACCACAGTTATACATATCAGACCCCTATATAATATTTACAGCAGCCCCTGCAACTCCTTCTGCTCAACTCACAGTGAAAGAGAGAACACTATCACAAAAATCGGGGGATGCATAGTTGCGGTCATAGCATGTGAAATGCGGCCCAGATGTCGGTTTTTCAAGGCCGCTGCCAGTCCCTCCTACCCAAGAGCACCAATCTGTGAGCCCCAGAGCTGGGGAGGCTGCCTGGGAGGCCCGGCCCAGAACCTGGAGGCCAGCCAGTAGTTACAGCCTCCAGGGACACAAACACTACATCCAAACCCCTTCCTGCTGCTGCCTCCCAGTCAGTCAAAGAGCCTCTATTCCACCTCCCCACCCCTCTACTACTTCCCCCACCCCGACCCTCCTCTACTACTTCCCCCACCCTGACCTCTACTTACCCCACCCCGACCCTCCTCTACTTCCCCCACCCCGACCCTCCTCTACTACTTCCCCCACCCCGACCCTCCTCTACTACTTCCCCCACCCAGACCCTCCTCTACTTCCCCCACACAAACCCTCCTCTACTTCCCCCACACAGACCCTCCTCTACTTCCCCCACCCTGACCCTCCTCTACTTCCCCCACCCCGACCCTCCTCTACTACTTCCCCCACACAAACCCTCCTCTACTTCCCCCACACAAACCCTCCTCTACTTCCCCCACACAAACCCTCCTCTACTTCCCCCACACAAACCCTCCTCTACTTCCCCCACCCTGACCCTCCTCTACTTCCCCCACCCTGACCCTCCTCTACTTCCCCCACCCTGACCCTCCTCTACTTCCCCAATCCTGACCCTCCTCTACTTCCCCAATCCTGACCCTCCTCTACTTCCCCAATCCTGACCCTCCTCTACTTCCCCCACCCTGACCCTCCTCTACTTCCCCCACCCTGACCCTCCTCTACTTCCCCCACCCTGACCCTCCTCTACTTCCCCAATCCTGACCCTCCTCTACTTCCCCCATCCTGACCCTCCTCTACTTCCCCCACCCTGACCCTCCTCTACTTCCCCCACCCTGACCCTCCTCTACTTCCCCCACCCTGACCCTCCTCTACTTCCCCCACCCTGACCCTCCTCTACTTCCCCCATCCTGACCCTCCTCTACTTCAACCACCCTGACCCTCCTCTACTTCAACCACCCTGACCCTTGTCCACCTCCCAGTCAATCCCAGCAGATCAGTCAGCCACACACCGATGGATAGATTATTTATCTGTCATTATTTTGTCTTTATTTAACTAGGCAAGTCAGATAAGAACAACATGTTATTTACAATGATGGCCTACACCGGCCAAACCCGGACGACGCTGAGGCAATTGTGCGTCGCCCTATGGGGGATTATGCAACAACATATTCTCTATTCATTGGTTTCCTGCTTTATTGGCTCCAAGGGGTTTCCTCCACATACTCTCAGGGGCTGTGGATGAGCCTAGGCAGGAGGCCAGGTCACATGGTGTGTGCGTATGTGACTGATGCGCCTATCACGGTGTAGTGTTAAATTGGAGCAGCTGTGAAATACGTTTCTCTCACTCACTCACACACACACACACACACACTTTCCTTTACCTTCCAATATTTAATGGGATTGAACAACTGAATATGGCAACTTTCAGGATGAGAGAGAGAAAGTCAGAATTATGGCCAGCATTGTATTCCCTGTGAGCCTATGCTATGCTACGGCAATGGAGGTTAAAGGGTTTACATGTTCAAGACGTGTCCTGTGCTTTCATCACCAGTCAAACACCACACTGGAGTAGGCCTATATGGGGACCTCATAAGAATTTTGGCCATGTATCTTGACTAGTTTAAGGAATTTGGCCTTCCTACATGTTCTAAAGAATTTTGGCTTCATCTCTAATTTACAATCTCAGAAAGAAACTGTAACATAAATAATGCAGTTGGAGATGCATAAATGTGCAGAGACATCTCCATGTGAAACCCTCCCCCAACAACACACTAATCAAAAGGGTTTACTGCCGGCAGAGGATCATCTTATTAACCATATGATAAAGAACTGTAATAAAAACATAAAAGGGAACTCTGACCCCAAAACCTCTAACATCAGAGTATGTGTGTTTTTGGTTTTACTATCATTTCCCCGGTCCCCACAAGGAAAAATGCTATTTTAGGGTTAGTTTTAGGGTTACATTTAGGGTTAGAATTAGGGTTAGGGGTTAGGGTTAGGAGTTATTGTTAGGTTTAATATGGTTTTCAGTACATTTATCTAAGGCCATCCCTTTAAATTTGGTGTATACAGTGGGGGAAAAAAGTATTTAGTCAGCCACCAATTGTGCAACTTCTCCCACTTAAAAAGATGAGAGAGGCCTGTAATTTTCATCATAGGTACACGTCAACTATGACAGACAAAATGAGGGAAAAAAATCCAGAAAATCACAATGTAGGATTTTTTATGAATTTATTTGCAAATTATGGTGGAAAATAAGTATTTGGTCAATAACAAAAGTTTCCCAATACTTTGTTATATACCCTTTGTTGGCAATGACACAGGTCAAACGTTTTCTGTAAGTCTTCACAAGGTTTTCACACACTGTTGCTGGTATTTTGGCCCATTCCTCCATGCAGATCTCCTCTAGAGCAGTGATGTTTTGGGGCTGTCGCTGGGCAACACGGACTTTCAACTCCCTCCAAAGATTTTCTATGGGGTTGAGATCTGGAGACTGGCTAGGCCACTCCAGGACCTTGAAATGCTTCTTACGAAGCCACTCCTTCGTTGCCCGGGCGGTGTGTTTGGGATCATTGTCATGCTGAAAGACCCAGCCACGTTTCATCTTCAATGCCCTTGCTGATGGAAGGAGGTTTTCACTCAAAATCACATGATACATGGCCCCATTCATTCTTTCCTTTACACGGATCAGTCGTCCTGGTCCCTTTGCAGAAAAACAGCCCCAAAGCATGATGTTTCCACCCCCATGCTTCACAGTAGGTATGGTGTTCTTTGGATGCAACTCAGCATTCTTTGTCCTCCAAACACGACAAGTTCTATTTTGGTTTCATCTGACCATATGACATATGACATTCTCCCAATCCTCTTCTGGATCATCCAAATGCACTCTAGCAAACTTCAGACGGGCCTGGACATGTACTGGCTTAAGCAGGGGGACACGTCTCGCACTGCAGGATTTGAGTCCCTGGCGGCGTAGTGTGTTACTGATGGTAGGCTTTGTTACTTTGGTCCCAGCTCTCTGCAGGTCATTCACTAGGTCCCCCCGTGTGGTTCTGGGATTTTTGCTCACCGTTCTTGTGATCATTTTGACCCCACGGGGTGAGATCTTGCGTGGAGCCCCAGATCGAGAGAGATTATCAGTGGTCTTGTATGTCTTCCATTTCCTAATAATTGCTCCCACAGTTGATTTCTTCAAACCAAGCTGCTTACCTATTGCAGATTCTGTCTTCCCAGCCTGGTGCAGGTCTACAATTTTGTTTCTGGTGTCCTTTGACAGCTCTTTGGTCTTGGCCATAGTGGAGTTTGGAGTGTGACTGTTTGAGGTTGTGGACAGGTGTCTTTTATACTGATAACAAGTTCAAACAGGTGCCACTAATACAGGTAACGAGTGGAGGACAGAGGAGCCTCTTAAAGAAGAAGTTACAGGTCTGTGAGAGCCAGAAATCTTGCTTGTTTGTAGGTGACCAAATACTTATTTTCCACCATAATTTGCAAATAAATTCATTAAAAATCCTACAATGTGATTTTCTGGATTTTTTTTCTCTCAATTTGTCTCTCATAGTTGACGTGTACCTATGATGAAAATTACAGGCCTCTCTCATCTTTTTAAGTGGGAGAACTTGCACAATTGGTGGCTGACTAAATACTTTTATTCCCCACTGTATGTACTTAGAATTTGACGCACTCACTAGAATATATGGAGAAAATGGTTCAGAATATTAGGGATCAATGAAAGAAAGCCATGTAAACACATGCAAATTCATCTCCTTTTCAGCACCCATTGGTAAATAAAAAGTGTTAGGAATGTGTTTATGAATAATACAAAAACTGGTTTGGAGAGCCTTTACGCACTAAATATATTGCTGAATCAAAAATACAGTGATCAATTGGGTTGAGATGTGGTGACTGATTTCCATGGCATATGGTTTACATCGTTTTCATGCTCATCAAACCATTCGTACCCTGTGGATGGGGGCATTGTCATCCTATGGGGGCATAGTCATGGTAGCCAAAATAATGACCTGCCCAGCATTTGTATATGACCTTAAGCATGATGGGATGTTCATTCCTTAAGTAAGTAAGGAACCACACTTGTGTGGAAGCGCCTGCTTTCAATATACTTTGTATCCCTCATTTACTCAAGTGTTTCCATTATTTTGTCAGTTACCTGTACATATGGTCAGGTAGATTGACAGTCTGTGAACTCATCGGCGTATAGCAATAGAGTACTGTCTGAAGTGAGTGATATCTATGAAGATGGCACAGCCACATACTAGTGACCTTCATAGCGGATATAAGAATTTGTGACGCCCAAATGTCTACTATTTTTTGTGCCTAGACCTCGAATATTATACTATACTCCATGGTATAGCCTAGTAGTCTCATTAAACCAGCCTGGCCAGTGGGCATCATCCCTCCCTATCGACCACATAACCTTGGGGGATATTGACTGATTGTGTCCCAAATGGCATCCTATTCTCTATATACACTATATATACAAAAGTATGTGGACACCCCTTCAAATTAGTGGATTCAACTATTTCAGCCACACCCGTTGCTGACATGTGTATAAAATTGAGCACACAGTCATGCAATAATCTCCATAGACAAACATTGGCAGTAGAATGGCCCGTACTGAAGAGCTCAGTGACTTTCAACGTGGCACCGTTATAGGATGCCACCTTTCCAACAGGTCAGTTCATCAAATTTCTGCCCTGCTAGAGCTGCCCCGGTCAACTGTAAGTGCTGTTATTGTGAAGTGGAAACTTGGGAGCTTCATGAAATGGGTTTCCATGGCCGAGCAGCCGCACACAAGCCTAAGATCACCATGCGCAATGCCAAGTGTCAGCTGGAGTGGTGTAAAGCTTGCCCCAATTGGACTCTGGAGCAGTGGAAACGCGTTCTCTGGAGTAATGAATCACGCTTCACCATCTGGCAGTCCGACGGACGAATCTGGGTTTGGCGGATGCCAGGAGAACGCTACCTGCCCGAATGCATAGTGCCAACTGTAAAGTTTGGTGGAGGAGGAATAATGGTCTGGGGCTGTTTTTCATGGTTCGGGCTAGGCCCCTTAGTTCCAGTGAAGGGAAATCTTAACCCTACAGTATACAATGACATTCTAGATGATTCTGTGCTTCCATCTTTGTGGCAACAGTTTGGGGGGAAGGCACTTTCCTGTTTCAACATGACAATGCCCCCATGCAAAAGCGAGGTCCATACAGAAATGGTTTGTATATACCGGTGTGGAAGAACTTGACTGACCTGCACAGAGCCCTGACCTCAACCCCATCGAACACCTTTGGGATGAATTGGAACGCCGACTGCGAGCCAGGCCTAATCGCCCAACATCAGTGTCCGACCTCACTAATGCTCGTGGCTGAATGGAAGCAAGTCCCCGCAACAATGTTCCAACATCTAGTGGAAAGCCTTCCCAGAAGAGTGGAGGATGTTATAGCAGCAAAAGGGGGGACCAACTCCATATTAATGCCCACGATTTTGGAATGAGATGTTCGAAAGGCAGCTGTCCACATACTTTTGGCCATATAGTGTAGTGCACTACTTTGACAAGAGCCCTATGGGTCCTGGTCAAAAGTAGTGCACTATATAGGGAATAGGGTACCATTTGGGACGCACCCTCTAATTGTGTCCCTGTCCGAGATATTCCTTAGTATTCTGGCACATGGGCTGACCATGTGACCTACTGCTAACTGACTTACCACCTGCTAAGTGTACCTGTCGGGAACATGGAACATCCTCCCTAAATAAATACCCACTATCCACTCACACACACACCATCTCCAATAAGGCACGACCAAGGCACGACCAAGGCACAGAAACAACACAACAGCGTCATTGCACACTGACGCACGCTCTCTGACACACATGCACAGGCAAACAAACAAACACAACCATCATCATCAATGACACACTCTCTCCGCTCTCTCTCTCTCAAACTCACACACATTAAATGAATGTCTCAGTAAGTAATGCATAAACACACACATGCACACACAGACACACGTACACCCAGACAGACCCAAACTACTCTTTCAAACCAACATACACAAACATGGCCATTGAGAGCTCCACAGATCTGCTCTGTTCTTGCTAAACTAATTCCATCTGCAGCTCAGCCAGACAACAACACTCCTCCTCATTCTGTCCAGGAGCTCTATTATAACCCTTTCACCGCCAGACTCCCTCTCCAGCACCCAGCAGCTGGTTGCTTCATTAAAAACAACCTAAATGGGTTTGTTTGTTTGTTGTCAAAGTGGTGGGAGTTAAAAACGTTACCGGTGAGAGTGACTAACACAGTGGTGCAAATCCAACATCAATGGAAATGCTGAATAAACCTTCTAATTTGATAAACTGGTTTCATGATTGACTGTAATTAGGAAGCACTGTGAGAAAGCTAACCTGCACTGCCTGTGACACTGTACCTTATACAATCCATGCACTAACTGATCTTCTGCTGCCTGCCCTTTTTTTTTTGCACACCAATATCATCCAGGCAGCTCTGAGGCATCCCTGGCAAATAGGGGGCCTACCATAGATGTATGATCTTAATTTGAGCCAGTTTGTTACAGCAGGAAAATAATCCTGGCGCAACAGGAAATTATGATTATTATGTGGATTATAATTCACTTTTAAAAAATTGTAGGGGTTGATACATGTTTTGATACGGCAAATCAAGTCAGAAATGTTTTAGTGAAAATAAACTTTAGAAGCCTTTTTAAACCTGGAATACACTAAAAGTTTGCATTTCCTGCTGTGCAATAAAATTCTCAGCAACAAAAGAGTGATCAAATTAAGATCCTATTGAACATCTGTCCTTACATCCTATTCTCCTTTACAGTTTGTGTCAAAAGTGGGATGCAAGTTGCAACGCGTTACTCTTCAGGGTACCACCACTCTATACTATCCTCCTTTAACAGTACACACCCACTGGGCACAGATGAACAGTTTTTGCCCAATGGGCAGCTACTCTAGCATGGACTTCACCCATATCCTGCAAAACCTGTACAGTTCAACATTGGACATGCAACAACAAGAGTAAACTTGTGTAAACTTGTCCCTGGAAATGCCTTTCCCTTTGATCAGACCTCTACAAACACAGTCGTACATGAAATACACTATCTAATCCTCCAATATGTGAAATATCTGGAATAGTGTGAGAGGGAAAGCTTCTGCAGGACTTTAGAACGGGCTTGGCTTCAGATAAGGGGGAATAGTGACTGCGAGTACGACACGCACGCACACACACACACACACACACACACACACACACACACACACACACACACAAACCGTGGCACTAAAGGGCCTCAGCACTTTGACCAGAGCAGAGGGAGGGAAAACATAACAGCTAGCATATCCCACTAAGCTTAGCGGCTCTGTTAGTCCCTGCACACAAAGGTGAGCTTTCCCTTCCTGAAAGGTAAGGTGAACAATCCAGCCTTTCACCCCTGGGTTCCCCTGTCTTCCTGGTGTTTCTGGTGACAGAGGGGCTGGGGCCCGGGGATGGGGATAGGGCTGGGGATGGACACTGACAGGGCCCGGGGATGGGGATAGGGCTGGGGATGGACACTGACAGGGCCCGGGGATGGGGATAGGGCTGGGGATGGACACTGACAGGGCCCGGGGATGGGGATAGGGCTGGGGATGGACACTGACAGGGCCCAGCGGTGTCCCAGCCGTGTAGCAGACACTGGAGAAGTGTTAGGAAAACACAGAGTGCCTTCCCCAGGAGAAAGTGACCTACCTCCAAAAACAAAGTAATCTCCTCCAAGTAAACAGTGTCCTACTGAACCCTAGGACAGACCCTCCTCTCCCCTCCTCACACCTCTCCTCTCCTCAGATGTTTTCTTCCTAAATCATATTTGTCCATCCTATAAATGGTATATGCAACATTGGAATAATAAGACCTGTGTTTATGTAACTTTGCCTTGGCTGAAACTGGACTATCTTTACTCTCCCCAGTTCAAACCTCCCAGCCTGACTCTCCACACAACTAAAGCATCTACTGTAAGGCATTGCTATAAAGTACTGTAACTGGTACGCATCCAAGCAACTTGTAGCACATTTAGAAACTGTTAGGAATGGAGTGAAAATTCTGTATTTAGATAGAGGATAACTCAGTCTGGAATAACTGAGTTCTGGGGAGTCTCATGCTCTTTGACATATGCTGTGGACAGTATAATATTGGCTAAGCCTGATATGCTACTGTTCAGAATTCATCAGTTATCTAAGAGTGTTAAAGGCACCACAGATTAACAGTCCAGTATGATATGTAAGCAGTGCTTGCATTTTCTATATTTGTACACCCATTTAAAAGAGAAACAAAATCTTCAATAAGCTGACAGAAAAACAACAATTGATGTGTGTGTCTAAGCTTGATAAGCCTATTTCATACCAGCTTATGGGCTCCTGAGTGGCGCAGCGGTCTAAGGCACTGCATCACAGTGCTTGAGGCGTCACTACAGACCCCCGGTTCGATTCCAGGCTGTATCACAACCGGCCGTGATTGGGAGTCCCATAGGGCGGCGCACAATTGGCTCAGCGTCGTCCGGGTTTGGCCGGTGTAGGCCGCCATTGTAAATAAGAATTTGTTCTTAACTGACTTGCCTAGTTAAATAAAGGTTTAAATAAAATAAATAAAAAATTAACAGCACTTCAAATGTTGAGATATATATATATATATATAACAACAAAAAAAAGTTGAACTGAGAATAATATTTCTGGAACAGGCAAAAGGTCAGGAGAGGTGCTTAAAAGCAACTCTTGTGCCATAGGAAGGAAACAAAATAAACTCAAAAAACAGTCATACAGATCATTGAGTCCATACAGTAACTCAAGTTCACACACACAGAAATACTGTATTTAGCCCAGCACTGCATAGTCCAGGTGTAGGCTCCCCCTCTCCTCACCTTTCACACTAATAATACTTGACTAATGTGTTTTTGGAGATCTATTGACCCCGATTACTGCCAACTGAGTTACCCAGAGCCAATGTCCAAAACCCATAATTTACATTGACATTTTAGTCATTTAGCAAACGCTCTTATCCAGAGCGACTTACAGTTTTATGAGGGAGATATTAAGAATATGATGGACAGCGGACACTAAATCAAATAGATTTAGTGTCTGCTGGAGGGACTGCTGAGGGGAAGACGGCTCATAATAATGTCTGGAACTGAGCTAATGGAATGGCATCAACCACATGGAAACCATGGAAACCATGTGTTTGATGTATTTGACATCATTCCACCGATTCCGCTCCAGCCATTACCACGAGCCCGTCCTCCCCAATTAAGGTGCCACCAACCTCCTGTGAAATCAACCCCACATGTTCCACACTGCCACGTCTCTATAATGTGTTTCTACCTCTTTTCTACATGTCAGTAACCTTTAACACATAGAGACCTGAGTAATGAACACAAATAAACAAACACACACACACACATACAGTACACATCAAAGATCACCCTATGAAAAACAAAACCACTCACCAGGTGAACGTAAGGCACAAAGTATCCGTAGAGGGCTGCAGGGATGCCGAAGGCCCAGATCCGGTAGCCCAGAGACTTCCAGATGTTGACATTGAATACCTTGCTCATGGGTGGGAAGCGGCTGCCTGGATTGTTGCTGTTGACAGGCTTGGGCAGCAGGGGAGTATAGGTTAACCCAGCCAGCATGAGGATGAACATGAGGATGCTGAGGACCCTCATGGTGTTCTGCAGGCCCACCTTCTCCAGCAGGCCAGACAAGAGGAAGGGCAGGGTGACGGTGAAGGCAGAGCTGCCGGCCGTCACGATGCCGTTGACAAGGCCCAGGCGCTTCTTGAAGTAGTGTCCCAGGATCACCAGGCTGGGCTGGTAGGCGAAGGAACAGCCCGTAGCGAACACGATGCCGTAGGTGAAGTACATGGGACCCAGGGACCTGTGGGGTCAGAGAGGAGACACCGGATAGGATGCGAGGTCATGTTTATGTTTACAGCTGCTTAAAGTTCACACAATGAAAAAGAAAGTTTGAGGAACTTCACTCCATAGAGGGGCTAGCTAAACAAGTTCTCACGTCTGACTCACTTGAGTCTAGTTTGGAAAACAAACCAAACACCAGGGTGAAGATGATTGAGCTGCTGTGAACTTGCTGGCTTGGTTAAACTTCCAACACCTAGAGGGTCCCAGTTACAGCCTCACTCCCAGGGTGTGTGCACTATGCTGACTGAGTCATGTCAGCCCTGTGTGTTTGTTTACCTCCCAGTCCTCTGTGAACCAACAGCAGGTAGGACTTTAGGAGGGTTCCCGTTAGCACAAAGCTAATCCTGGATAAATAGATCAGCGAGGGAGGTCAGGGGCGAGCTGGAGCTGCTTCTAGACTAGGCCAGACCAGGCTAGAGCTAATGGCAGGTCTCTCAAAGAGTGCTACAGTCATCAAGACAAGAGCACTAATGTTTACTTACTTCTCACGCCACTACAGGGCTGATCCTAGATAAAACACAGGTTATTCACTGTACTTCTACTCAGTGGTGGAAAAAGTACCCAATTGTCATACTTAAGTAAAAGTAAAAGATACCTTAATAGAAAATGACTCAAGTAAAAGTGAAAGTCACCCAGTAAAATACTACTGGAGTAAAAGTCTAAAAGTATTTGGATTTAAATATACTAAGTATCAAAAGTAAAAGTATAAATCATTCAAATTCCTTATATTAAGAAAAAGCTGGCACTATTCTTGTTTATTTATTTATTTTACTGATAGCCAGGGGCACACTCCCATCACTCAGACATAATTTACAAACGAAGCATGGTGTTTAGTGAGTCCGCCAGGGATGTTCTCTTGATAAAAGTGTGTGAATTGGACAATTTTCTTGTCCTGCTAAGCATTCAAAATGTAACTAGTTTTTTTCGGTGTCAGGGAAAAATGTATGGAGTAAAAAGTACTACATTTTCTTTAGGAATGTAGTGAAGTAAAAGTAAAAGTAGTCAAAAAAATATATAAATAGTAAAGTACAGATACCCAAAAAACCCACTTAAGTAGTACTTTAAAGTATTTTTACTTAAGTACTTTACACCACTACTTCTACTGTACGCTGGTGATCTTTGTTCACTCATTTTAGACTATCATGAGTCTGGATATGCAGATGTAGGATCTTAATTTGAGCCAGTTTGCTACAGCAGGAAAATAATCCTGCAGCAATAACAGGAAATATTTATTATGTGGATTATAATTAATGGACAATTTTGTAGGGGTTAATACATTTTTCGTAAGGAAAAAACAAGTCAGATTTCAAAGTGGAAACTTCAGAAGCCTTTTTAAATCGCAAATACACTACAAATTTTAAATGTCCTGTTTTCTTATAAGCAATAATGAACACTATATTAGGTGATGGAAGTGTCAACAGAAGCTATTGTGCAGTGTATTTCTGAGTAGTCAGGGTACTGCTGTGTGTGTGTATATTAACGTAGATTAATGGTTGAGTTTGGTAGTTTGCCATCACATGAGATGATTAGAAAGGGACGACCTGAGACCAACCCTTAACTGTGGTAGGACCTTTATCTTGTTATCACACACACACACACGTAGGGAGGACTTTTGTATAAAGAAGTCCCAACCACACTCACACCCGACAGCCTTTCGACACAACACATCAGAATGGTTGATGAAGGAGGGTAGCTATAGAAGTACTGACGTGACAAAAGAGCTGGCCAGCAGTCCCACCAGGCCCACGGCGGCTCCGCCCACAGCTGTCACCCTGCAGCCCAGCAGGTCTGTGAAGACGCTGACGATGGGAGAACAGAAGAAAATCATCCCCATGGAGAGGGAGCCCACCCACGCTGCAGGACAGAGAGACACACAGAGAGATAGGAGAGTTAGGCCTAAAGCACATACTGTATTACATTACAGCTCAGAGACAATAACAGCAACACTTCACAGTTCACACAGACCATAGAGATCCTATTAGATTACCTAATTCTATCACACATACCTAATTCTATAACACATACTACTGTTGTTACATGGGAAATGTTGCTGGAGCATGAGGCGTAGTGAGGCACCCCTCTTCCGGCTGCCACGCTAGACAATTTAAAACAGGTTTTATGAATTACTATGAACAATTCTTGTCAACAAGAAAATGTATGAGTAAGTAAAAGCTCAAGCCATATTGGTTAATGCACACCTAAGCATATAAGCTTATGTACACATACATCAGATAGTTTTCTTCATTGGCCTTTGGAGTCAGTTTCTGGGCTAACAGATTTAAGCTTACTACAAGCTCTACGCAGATGCAAGATTCAGAGTGTTGCAGTGTCGTTTTTTCGTCACAAAGGGGCGGCTCCTAGTAACGTGCTCTGGCATTCGACATACTTTTTTACTACCTGAAAATTGCGACACCCTGTATCATTCCTTCCGCAGTTATGGGGGCAGTGTTGTCGCTTGGTTCATTGATCTGATCTATAGGCTATTCATCAAAGTAGACTATTTTGCATTGATAACCAAATATAATCTCAACGACTGTTCAAACAGTAAACCAAACAACAAGAATCCACCCAAAAGGGTATTTGGTTTAGAAGTAATAACTAGTGATTACAGGCTATTGTGAAATGGTAGAACCTGATGTAGCCAAATAGCTAGCCATGTGCTTTTTTCTGCCGGACCAAAACATGATGAGGTTCTATTCTTAGCTGATATGGGAATTAATACACAAGCAGCATGAACTGGGATAATGTTTTAGGTTGCACCGGCAAGTATAAGAATATTTGCCAGGGCATATATTTTTATTATAAATCTGATTATTTCACATGGAGATGTGGGAAGCTAAAAAAGGCTAGCTAGCCAGACTAAAGCTAGCTAGCTACTACTAGCAAGGGAAGGCCACTGTTCCTTGCTTTCACAAAATGAAAATAAAAATAAAAATAAAAACTTTGCCATCACCCCCTTGTGAATAAGAGTGGGACCGGCGAGGATAGCATGTTACCAAAAGGTGTCCCCTACTCCAAAAATCCCACTTCACCCATGTAGATCGACAGAGTGAAGCTTGTAGTAGCCTTTAGGTGGGACTCCTCAGATCATTGAACGAAACAAACGCACAAACGTATCCTCTGGTCGAAGCTTTGACTAATCCTATTCCATTGCTATATTTATCTACACATGACAGTCCTAAAGTATGATGATGAGTGAACTAAATGTCAATGAGTCACTGAGTATATCAAACATTAGGAACATCTCCCCATCTTCATCTACACTGATTGAAGTGGATTTATCAAGTGACATCAATAAGGGATCATAGCTTTCACCTGGATTCACCTGGTCAGTCTATGTCATGGAAAAAGCAGATGTTCTTAATGTTTTATATACTCAGTGTATAGTACAGTAAACTACAATGCCTTTTGGCTATAGACAGGTTTTTCTAAAGGCTTGATCTAAACATGTAGCACCTCCCAGACCAGTATTGAAGAGCACTGGTAGGTAGGACAGAGGGGCAGGAAGAGACTGAGGGAAGAGGAAGCTCTACAGACAATGTCCTCCTAACAGATAGATAAAAATAACCCTTACAGCTCTTCATTACAAAATTTAAAAAACTATGATATAGGCCTGTGTTATCAGTCCTTTATGAATTATGACATTACCTGGCCAGAATACCGCCTAGATCAAATATACTTCAAAACAGAAGACACTCTTGGTTTTCTGCCAAGAATGTGCTTATTTCTCTTGTTTAGTGTGCAGGTAAACTACTACAGGGACTAACAGAAGCCAGTCTAATAGAGGTGATAAACAACAACAGTGCCGCCGGACGTAGCCAACCTATAGACCCATGGCTGTTCTGCTTGTCTGATCTCTATTTGGGTCCCAGCAGGCATTAGTCTATTCTACCACCATGCCATGGCCATTAACACCCCTCACTCTAGGAACCCTCCTTGGAATAACCTAAATAAACACAGCATGGAGCTGAATAAATATTGTTTCCGGCCTTTATTCTTATCATAGGAAATAAGCAAACATGAGATGGGGAGAGGAAAAACAAGCAACGGCAGTAAAAGAACACACATGCACACACACTCTGACACCACAGGGCCATTGTGCAAGTCAGCCAGTGCCCTTTGACCAGAGAAATTATAAAGAAGTATAATTGCCAAGTGAATAACAAATGTTTGGAGCAAGACCGACTGGGCCACTGCTAGGGGTAACTCCCAGTCACACTGACTGGCACCACAACTCACAGACAAGAGGGGATCATTTCTGCTACTTCAACTAGTTTCCCCACAGAAATAAACCAGTCTGGGGAATGTGACAGGGGAAACAAAACCATGCTTTACATAAGTGAAAGTGCTGAGCCCTTAAAGGTCTCAGTTCTTTTTCCCCCCATTCAACCCAGGGAAGCGCTTTGAACACACCAACTGCGTCTTTGCGCAAAATAGTATGCAGCATCATCTAGATATGTGTGCAACAAAAGTTCAACATTCACCTTCTGCTACCATTTATGTCAACCCGTTTACGCATACAGTTTGACGCATATGTTCGATAAATCCAATGTATGCACCACACAGAACGCACTGCAACTGCCTCTGCAACGCAATGCTGCAAGGCAAACGCAGCGTTCCATTGGAAATGAATGTACTTCTGGTGTACCAAAACGCAATGACTCAGTCGGTGTGTTCAAAGCGGAAGAGCATGGGTCAGGGCTCTCAGTTTATTATCCTCTTCTTTTCCCTTTGAGGAATCCCTTTTCTCCCCAGGCTGCCTGCTAGGCTAATTCTATTATTCTAAATTGTCATCACAAGCTTGATCTATTTGTACAATCCATCACAGGCCAAAATCAGTAAGTGTCTATAATATCAACATGATAAATAAGACTAGGCCCCACAAGTTAATATATATATATAGTATACCCAACAAATCCTTCAGAGCTATCAAAAACAAGACTGATAGTGTCCTAAGCATTAAGGGTGACTACCAACAGATGTGGCAGTCTACAGTTATAAGAGAGGAACAGATAACCCCAGACGTTGTCAAGATGAAACAGCTGCTAAGGAGATCTCCGTTGAGGCAGGGAGCAGATAGCCTGGTCCCAGATCTGCCTGTTTGTGCCATCTTGCCAACTCAACAACCATAGGAGCGGGCGAGACTGCACAAACAGAGCTGGGAACGGGCTAGTGAACAAAGTCAGTGCTAGAGCCACTCCTAGGGATGGAAACATAAGGCCAGGACATTGGTTCTGTCACATTCACAGAGTCAAAGACTCTGTCTAGCCTGGTGACTTGTAGTGGCGTGGCATAGTATAATAGGCTAATCATTCAGTTTGTAATAAAGCAATATCTGCAGGATGTGCTTAATGAATTGAATCTACCTCTCTGCGAAATTAACGATTGAACGGAGTTTGCAGAGTCACAGAAGGTAACCTGAGTAGGCTTATTAGAGATACTTAGTTCTAAAAGCAGGTCAGAACATTCTCCACTTACAAGCTACATGACATAGTCTGTTCATATTTTCTTATTTAGTAATAGCCTACACTGAGTATACAAAACATTAAGAACACCTGCTCTTTCCATGACAGACTGACCAGGTGAAAGCTATGATCACTTAATGATGTCACCTGTTAAATCCACTTCAAATCAGTGTAGATGAAGGGGAGGATACAGGTTAAATAAGGAATTTTAAGCCTTGAGACATGGATTGTGTATGTGTGTCATTCAGAGGGTGAATGGGCATGACAAAATATTTAAGTGCCTTTGAATGGGTTATGGTAGCAGGTGCCAGGCTCACTGATTTGAGTGTGTCAAGAACGGCAATGCTGCTGGGTTTCTCACGCTATGGGTGGAGTCATAAACAGGTTAAAGCCACATGTAAATGTCTGTATTCGGGTCCCAACTCAACAAATTCCTCAACATTCAATGGATGTTCTAAGATTCTGTCTTCTCATATTTGCTGAGACATCATACCACTTTAGCCTACATTATGTAATACATGGAAGTGAACAAAAAGGAAGAAGAATCTCACAAAAGACAACAGGAAATTGCTGTCCCGTTTTCATCTTTGGGCTTTCTCGATTTAAAAGCATTTACGGTTCAGACGAAGGGAAGAATTTCAAATTTAAAATGTAATATCAGGACGATCCTCTTTTCCAGGTGACATCCTGCTAGTGCCGGAGGCCCAGAGTGTACAGTCACTGACAGACAGACCAGGCAGAGCTGGTCTAGGTCTTCTCTGTTCACTTCCTAACCTCTCTCTCCATTGTGCTCTGAGACTGTGGATGGTGAACCCAGTCACCCCAGCAGCAGCCAGACCTACCTCACCCCACGCCATGAAACAACCCCCTCACACTCAGAGGGAGATGCAGGCCCAGGGTAACTAAGACCTCACTGGGAAGATATGCAACTAAGGGTCAATGAACACTCTTGCTGTAAGACATTTATAGCTCTAGTTAGCGTTTCATAATTTCTACATGTGAGTATTACACAATTCATTTTGCGAGTAGCGGTTCGAACAGCAGAAAAAAAGAAAATAGATTTAGCTGGCATGGCAGTTATTATGCTTACGCAAGTGCTGTCAGAAGGGCAATCAGTCTGTCTCACTACTTGTTTCCTATTTTTCTGTGATTCAGTGACGGAGCCCAGGATGACCGAGAAAACAGGACGAAATGTTTGTCCTTTTCACATGGTGAGGAAGTCCGTCTGTCTGTCCTGTCCACCCTCTAGGCTCTTCCCTGGCAGTAAGCAGTAACATTAACAACAGTAGCTAGCTGCACACAGTTTCTTAACAGGACGTCTCAGGGTTCTAGTTAATGGAAGATCGTGGCTACCCACTGGGCACAGAAGTCAATTCAACGTTTATTCCACGTTGGTTCAACGTAATTTCATTGAAATGACGTGGAAACAACATTGATTCAACCAGTGTGTGCCCCCAGTGGGTAGAACCTAAACTCAGTAAATACACTAAACACCTCACATTTAGCTCATTAGCTGGGGGTTAGGCTCCTTATTCACCGTAGTCAATGGAAAGTTACTACTAAGGGCAATGCAGAACATCCACTACTACCACTTTTCAATGTTCATCTAACAAAAAGCCACTCATAATGCATTCTAGGAAAGAGGCTTAATAGAAACAGCTTGGACGGCCTAGCAACATGGAAACATGGAAAATTGAAATAGATACACACATTATCAGCACACAGGACAGGCTTCACCTGACACCACAGCCCAGAGCCAGAGAAGAGAACTCCCCCCACACCTCTAGGACTAGGCTCCGCATAAGAACCTCTTCCTTCCTCCCCAGCAGAGCCAAGTGTTAATAAATCAACAGCACACACTGTGCTACCCTAACCCTACCCACACTGAGAGGAACTCTTAGCTCACTTACATACTGTTCTTGTGTCCCCACTGGGCACACCACGTTGAGACATTGATCAATGAGATTTCAACCTTTGTTTGTTGAATTCCCAATGTGTTATCACTAAGCTTTTAACCATCTAAAAGCACAACAAAATTCCAATGGAAAAACAATTTCAGATTTTGGGTTTAGTTGTCATCTAAATGTGCTATCACTGCGCTTTCAAATATTCAAACTTGAAGATTGCTGAGTGGCGCAGCGGTCTAAGGCACAGCATCTCAGTGCTAGAGGCGTCACTACAGACCCTGGTTCGATTCCAGGCTGTATCACAACCCAACCCGGCCGTGATTGGGAGTCCCATAGGGCGGAGCACAATTGGCCCAGCGTCGTCCGGGTTTGGCCGGGGTAAGCCGTCATTGTAAATAATAATTTGTTCTTAACTGACTTGCCTAGTTAAATAAAGGTTAAATAAAAAATAAAAATAAATCTAACTTAACAGAGCTTGAGAAAATCTGCAAGGAAGAAGGGGAGAAAATCCCCAAACCCAGATGTGCAAAGCTGATACAGACATACCCAAGAAGACTCAAAGCTGTAATCACTGCCAAAGGTGTTTTTACAAAGTATTGACTCAGGGGTGTGAATACTTATGTAAATTAGATATTTTTGTATTTCATTTTCAATTAAATTAGCAAAAATGTCTAAAAACTTGTTTTCACTTTGTCATTATGGGGTATTGTATAGGCAAAAACAAAATAATGAATTCAGGCTGTAACACACAAAATGTGGAATAAGTCAAAGCGTATGAATACTTTCTGAAGACACTGTAGTTACAGTAGGCTAACCTCAAAATGTGGCCATGGATGTGTTACTCATTTAAGGTTGAATAAATACTGTTACATTCGTTTGTAGGCTAGCCTTAACTTTACTGTATTACAAAAGTAATATTGAATTGTGTTTGGTTGACAACGCAACCAAATATCAACATTTAAATGATATTTAATGCTTGGATAGTTTTATCTGAGCCACCGGCTTAATCGTATTCTTTAACTTTTATTTTTGGTTTAGTTGGAGATGTGAATCCAACATAATTTGTTAACTTGTCAACAAGTTATTTGGCTATTTACTGTATTGCAAAAGTGATATTGAATTGTGTTTGGTTGTCAACACAACCACATATCAACATTTGATGGAGATGCATCTTTTGTGCCAATGACTTAGTCTGGCTTTAACTACAGTTTGTCTACAAATTAATAATTTATATGTTGGATTCTCGTCTCCATCTAAACCAGGTCTCAGTGTTAAAGAATAGGACTAAATCAAATCAAACTTTGCATTTAAAGTTTGATTTGATTTAGTCCTATTCTTTAACTTTGATATTGGGTTGATAGAGACGTGAATCTAACATATTAATGATTCACTTGAAGATTACATTTGAAATCAACCCAAGCTTGAAACCCTATGCCTATATGTATTGTCTATTTTTAGTTTAACCCTAGGAGTGGGTTGAATTGAAACAATAGCTGTTGATGACTTTGCAAATACTTTATAGGCCAAAATAGTATAATTGATTATATGACTTTAAAGTATGGTTACATTTAATTTGTTCTGTTAAATCTACTCTTTGGAATGACATGCAGATCTTAAGCCGGCAATTCTATAGACAGTGATATGTTTGTGTGCCTGTGTGTTGGAATATTCAGCCTGGTCTCATAGACTAGACGTAACATAGTAAATGTAAATCTGGGACACTCAAATAAGTATGATATGTTTCGTTTGGTATGATTACATAAGACAGATGGTTACGGTGGTTAGTCGGGGTGAATGGGTGTGCGTAAAATGCGAACGTCTAGCAACCCAAAGGTTGCGAGTTTGAATCTCATCACTGACAACTTTAGCATTTTAGCTAATTAGCAACTTTTCAACTACTTACTACTGTTGAGCTACTTTGCAACTACTTAGCATGTTAGCGAGCCCTTCCCCTTACCCTTTTAGCTAACCATTCCCCTAACCTTAACCCTTTCACCTTACTCCTAGCCTTAACCCTAACCCCAAACCTAGCTAACGTTAGCCAGCTAGCTAATGTTAGCCTCCTAGCTAGAATTCATAACATATTATACATTTTGCAATTCGTAACATAGTGTACTTTTTGCAAATTCGTAACATATAATATGAATTATAATTCGTAACACATCATACGAAATGGGTGAAGGACATCCACAAATGAATACATACCATACGAAACGTCACATAACACAATGTTCCGGATTTATGTACAGAATAATACAAAATGCTCTGAGACCAGGTTGGAATATTTAATGACTGAGGTTTCCCCACCATATCCTCGGGCTAGTTAAAAACATGCTCATTTTCTATAAAGACACACCATCCCCAAGACTCCCATGTATGACTTTACACTACCACTCCTCTGATATAAAATGTAACCTAGCGCAGAGTGACCAGTTACTCCCCAATCTAACCACTAACCAGTATGGGCAGGGGTGAGGGGTTAGGGGGTGCATGTGATCTGTCTTCATGTGGAGCTCAGCTCAGTAACTCATTAGAGCCATTTAGCGACTGGAGGCTGCAGGTAGGCATGCTCAGGCCTGCTCCTCAGTCTCAGTCTGGGCCTCCCCTGCCTGTCTGCCTGGGAGAAGATTAATAATACCATGCAGCCTCGCTCGCTGACGAGTCACATCACTTCACACAGAATACACTGGACTAGGTAATGACCAACATATGCTTTAAATGCACTATTAAGAGCAGGCAAATCACACCCTGACATCACACCCTGTTGATCAGAGTAGATATTTCCTTGAAATCTTAAAATGTATTTTACTCATCAAATGAATTTCTGAAACTTCACTACTACTGGTAGAAGTGGGTCACAATAAATGACGTAACATTTACAGAAAGAAAATGAGCCATCATTACCCCTCCCTCCTCCCTCTCTGTGAATGACTTCGTCAACCATTTTGAAAAGAAGGTTGACGACATCCGATCCTCATTTATTAAGTCAAATGACACCGCTGGTCCTGCTCACACTGCCCTACCCTATGCTTTGACTTCTTTCTCCCCTCTCTCTCCAGATGAAATCTTGCGACTTGTGACGGCCGGCCGCCCAACAACCTGCCCGCTTGACCCTATCCCCTCCTCTCTTCTCCAGACCATTTCCGGAGACCTTCTCCCTTACCTCACCTCGCTCATTACATTTACATTTTAGTCATTTAGCAGACGCTCTTATCCAGAGCGACTTACAGTTAGTGATTACATGTTTTTTTTATACTGGCCCCCCGTGGGAATCGAACCCACAACCCTGGCGTTGCAAACGCCATGCTCTATCAACTGAGCTACATCCCTGCCGGCCATTCCCTCCCCTACCCTGGACGACGCTGGGCCAATTGTGCGCCGCCCATGAGTCTCCCGCTGGCCATGTCCCTTCCGTCTTCAAGAGAGCGAGAGTTGCACCCCTCCTCAAAAAACCTACACTCGATCCCTCCGATGTCAACAACTACAGACCAGTATCCCTTCTTTCTTTTCTCTCCAAAACTCTTGAGCATGCAGTCTCTAGCCAACTCTCCTGCCATCTCTCTCAGAATGACCTTCTTGATCCAAACCAGTCAGGTTTCAAGACTGGTCATTCAACTGAGACTGCTCTTCTCTGTGTCACGGAGGCTCGCCGCACTGCTAAAGCTACCTATCTCTCCTCTGCTCTTATCCTTCTAGTCCTATCTGCTGCCTTTGATACTGTGAACCATCAGATCCTCCTCTCCACCCTCTCTGAATTGGGCATCTCCGGCGCTGCGCACTCTTGGATTGCATCCTACCTGACAGGTCGCTCCTACCAGGTGGCGTGGCGAAAATCTGTCTCCGCACCACGTGCTCTCACCACTGGTGTCCCCCAGGGCTCAGTTCTAGGCCCTCTCCTATTCTCTCTATACACCAAGTCACTTGGCTCTGTCATATCCTCACATGGTCTCTCCTATCATTGCTACGCAGACAACACACAATTAATTTTCTCCTTTCCCCCTTCTGATAACCAGGTGGCGAATCGCATCTCTCCATGTCTGGCAGACATATCAGTGTGGATGTCAGATCACCACCTCAAGCTGAACATCGGCAAGACGGAGCTGCTCTTCCTCCCGGGGAAGGACTGCCCGCTCCATGATCTCGCCATCACGGTTGACAACTCCATTGTGTCCTCCTCCCAGAGTGCAAAGAACCTTGGCGTGACCCTGGACAACACCCTGTCGTTCTCCGCTAACATCAAAGCGGTGACCCGATCCTGCAGGTTCATGCTCTAAAACATTTGCAGAGTACGACCCTACCTTACACAGAAAGCGGCACAGGTCCTAATCCAGGCACTTGTCATCTCCCGTCTGGATTACTGCAACTCGCTGTTGGCTGGGCTCCCTGCCTGTGCCATTAAACCCCTACAACTTATCCAGAACGCTGCAGCCCGTCTGGTGTTCAACCTTCCCAAGTTCTCTCATGTCACCCCGCTCCTCCGCACACTCCACTGGCTTCCAGTTGAGGCTCGCATCTACTACAAGACCATGGTGCTTGCCTACGGAGCTGTGAGGGGAACGGCACCTCCTTACCTTCAGGCTCTGATCAGACCCTACACCCAAACGAGGGCACTACGTTCATCCACCTCTGGCCTGCTAGCCCCCCTACCTCTACGGAAGCACAGTTCCCGCTCAGCCCAGTCAAAGCTATTCGCTGCTCTGGCACCCCAATGGTGGAACAAGCTCCCCCACGACGCCAGGAGAGCGGAGTCACTGACCACCTTCCGGAGACACTTGAAACCCTACCTCTTTAAGGAATACCTGGAATAGTATAAAAGTAATCATTCTACACCCCCCCCCCCCCATAAAAAAAAAGTGGTTGTCCCACTGGCTATCATAAGTTGAATGCACCAATTTGTAAGTCGCTCTGGATAAGAGCGTCTGCTAAATGACGTAAATGTAAAAATTACATGGTTTTACTTTCCCTAGAAAGATTACAATAAAGTAGGTTGTGACCTGCTAGCACATAACTGCATATAGCAGCCTCAATTACACTTCAGCTTTGTAGACACTAAAAAGACCCAAATATTTTTGTTCATTATATTATGCTGAACACAAATATAAAACGCAACATGCTACAATTTCAAAGATTTTGCTGAGTTACAGTTCATATAAGGAAATCTGTCAATTGAAATAATTTCATTAGGCCCTAATCTATGGATTTCACGACTGGGCAGGGGCGCAGCCATTGAAGGGCTGGAAGGCCCAGACACTTGAGAGCCAGGTCCACCCACTGGGGAGCCAGGCCCAGCCAATCAGAATGAGTTTTTCCCCCACAAAAGGGCTTTATTACTGACAGAAATACTCCTCAGAACCCTGCCCTCCCCCCTCTGATGATCCCGCAGGTGAAGAAGTCAGATGTGGAGGTCCTGGGCTGGTGTGGTTGCACGTGGTCTGCGGTTGTGAGGCCAGTTGGACGTACTGCCAAATTCTCTAAAACAACGTTGGCCTCCAATGGTAGAGAAATGAACATTCAATTCTCTGGAAACAGCTCTGGTGGACACTCCTGCAGTCAGCATGCCAGTTGCACACTCCCTCAAAACTTGAGACAGCTGTGGCATTGTGTTGCGTTTACATTTTTGTTCAGTGTACATAACTACACACAGGGGTTTCGGAGCATGGTCGGTGATATAGGCTAACAACTAGAAAGAGAAAAGTAGGCTAGTCCTTATGAGGAGCTGCTTGGCTTGGCTGGCCCAGTAACTCTGCAGCCAACCCGAGCAGTCGGTCCTGACCATGGGGCCTCGGACTCTGTCGCTGCTCCTGGGTTTGATCTGGGATAGGCTAAGCTGCTCCATGTTGACAAACTGGCCCAAATCCAGACCCCTCCTGCAGGGCGAACACATCCCCAGCCTGGCCTGTGCTACATGGAGCTGGAGAGCCATGGCTGCAGCCCAGTCATCTCAGGACAGGCCCAGCTCAGGGCTCCATCGGGGGGGAAGTAATGGAGCACAGCGCCGGCCCTGCGCCAGAGCAACGCAGCCTCAACCCCACCAGCCAGCACAGCCAAGTCGCATTATGATCAGCCTGTCTAACTCATTTTAGACCCAGTCACCTTTGACACTGAGGAAGACTGACTCAGATATTGTACTGTACTGTAACTGTATAACAGATAAAGCCTCTATGGTGTCACAGAGAGACAGAGTAGGATATAGGGTGTGAGGCTAAGTGCACTTGAGAAGAGATGCATCCAACACAGGAGAAGGATAGTAGACTATAGTAGGGTTAATGGGTTTAACACACAAGGCTCCATATGTTAAGCATGCTTTGAACATAGCAGGCCAGAACCTGATGTTAAATGTGCACCAAGGGGGGTTGGGGTGTAATGGCCACAATCCTGAAACAACTACATCAGGTGTTAAACACTCTCTGTTTACGTTCAGCCCACACAAGAGCATTGAATGCTCTAAGATACAGAAGTCATGGGAAGACATGTCGCACTGGGCACACCATGTCATTTCAACGTGGATAATTGGGTCATATTTGGTTGAGACATTGATCAATGAGATTACAAACTATATTCACCCACTCAAAAAGACAGCCAAAAGCTTGTTGAATTTCCAATGTGTTATCTCTATGCTTTCACTCATCTAAAAGCACAACCAAAAAAGTAAGATTTTTGGTTTAGTTGTCACCCAAATGTATATCACTGTGCGTTCAACTATTTAAAAGCACAGCAAAGTTCAAATGGGAATACAATGTCAGATGTTTTGTTAATTTAAATCAAATCAAATCAAATTTTATTGGTCACATGCGCCGAATACAACAGGTGCAGACATTACAGTGAAATGCTTACTTACAGCCCTTAACCAACAGTGCATTTATTTTAAACAAAAAAGTAAGAATAAAACAACAACAAAAGAGTGTTGAGAAAAAAAGAGCAGAAGTAAAATAAAGTGACAGTAGGGAGGCTATATATACAGTAAAATAAAGTGACAGTAGGGAGGCTATATATACAGGGGGGTACCGTTGCATAGTCAATGTGCGGGGGCACCGGCTAGTTGAGGTAGTTGAGGTAATATGTACATGTGGGTAGAGTTAAAGTGACTATGCATAAATACTTAACAGAGTAGCAGCAGCGTAAAAAGGATGGGGTGGGGGGGCAGTGCAAATATTCCGGGTAGCCATGATTAGCTGTTCAGGAGTCTTATGGCTTGGGGGTAGAAGCTGTTGAGAAGTCTTTTGGACCTAGACTTGGCACTCCGGTACCGCTTGCCGTGCGGTAGCAGAGAGAACAGTCTATGACTAGGGTGGCTGGAGTCTTTGACAATTTTGAGGGCCTTCCTCTGACACCGCCTGGTATAGAGGTCGTGGATGGCAGGGAGCTTTGCCCCAGTGATGTACTGGGCCGTACGCACTACCCTCTGTAGTGCCTTGCGGTCAGAGGCCAAGCAGTTGCCATACCAGGCGGTGATGCAACCAGTCAGGATGCTCTCGATGGTGCAGCTGTAGAATTTTTTGAGGATCTGAGGACCCATGCCAAATCTTTTTAGTCTCCTGAGGGGGAATAGGCTTTGTCGTGCCCTCTTCACGACTGTCTTGGTGTGTTTGGACCATGATAGTTCGTTGGTGATGTGGACACCAAGGAACTTGAAGCTCTCAACCTGTTCCACTACAGCCCCGTCGATGAGAATGGGGGCGTGCTCAGTCCTCTTTTTTTTCCTGTAGTCCACAATCATCTCCTTTGTCTTGGTCACGTTGAGGGAGAGGTTGTTGTCCTGGCACCACACGGCCAGATCTCTGACCTCCTCCCTATAGGCTGTCTCATCGTTGTCGGTGATCAGGCCTACCACTGTTGTGTCGTCGGCAAACTTAATGATGGTGTTGGAGTCGTGCCTGGCCATGCAGTCATGGGTGAACAGAGAGTACAGGAGGGGACTGAGCACGCACCCCTGAGGGGCCCCCGTGTTGAGGATCAGTGTGGCAGATGTGTTGTTACCTACCCTTACCACCTGGGGGCGGCCCGTCAGGAAGTACCGCAGATTAAGGTGTTATCACTGTGTGTCATCTAATAGCTGAACCAAATGACCTGGATTGCAGTTGAGATTACATTAAAAGTACATGCAAGTGATCAATGCCGTTCGAGATTCTGCTCAGATTACAGCAATTGTGAAGATCTCTACTGACCTGCGAGGACCTATCCATGCTATCTTGAACATGCACGCTTTATATGTTTACATAACAAGACATTTATAGTTACAATAACCTCAAAATGTGGCCATGGATGTGTTACTCATTTTAAAGTTGAATGTTACATTAGCTTGTAAAATAGCCTTAACTTTAGGCTATTTACTGTATTTAAAAAGTGATATTGAATTGTGTTTGATTGTCAACGCAACCAAATATCAACATTTCAAGGAGATGTACTGTATCTTCTGCTTGGATAGTTCCATCTGTGCCATTGACTTTTAGTCTGGCTTTAATTCCAGTTTGTCTACAAATTAATAATTCATGTGTTAGATTCACATCTCCATCTCAACCAAAAAGTTAAAGAATAGGACTAAATCAAATCAAACTTTAAGCAGGGCTTGGTTAAAACACTGAATGGGAGACCAAAGGGTAGCTGTAGACTGATCAATTCTTCAATAGGATGTGCTGCCCAGCCTATTGGTTTTTTTCTGATAGTGGATATAATATCGAAGATCTGACGTTGTTTTAAAAAGGTACAAATTCAACATATTTTATACAAGATTTGTCTATGTTGAAATTTGGTTACCATGATGACATAATCCTGTGGTTGAAATTTCACCCTCAAAACAACTACCGGTACTTCAAATAGAAATGTATTTTCCACGTAGATTCCACATCACAACACGTTGACAAATTACGTTGAAACAACGTTGATTCAACTAGTTTGTGCCCAGTGCGGTGGGTCTTCAAAACCTGTCAGAATCGGAATAAATAATCTCAATGATTCAGCCTGTTAAAAAACAATTATCTCAGATTCATTCTCATGATGACCACTGACCAATAGTACCACAGCAGTCCAAATCTGTGCAGTTGTTGCCAAGGAACCAGTAGGCTCTTAGGGTTTGACAATGACCAGAGACTAGTCTTTCCCAGTCCCCACAAACGGCCACTGACAGAGAGAACTATCTGAAAGACATTACAGAACTAAACTGATCAGCCCTTTTCAGCCCACCAGTATCCATTTGTAGTAGGGCTAATATTGTCCAGTTCTACCTGAGCACTTTGGTGTTTCACCAGTTATGACACTCGGCTCAGGCTGCCAGCTGCTCCATTCTCTCCTGCTCAGTGCTTAGTTGGCACTACCCCCTACCATCACCCCCATCCCCACGCCAGTCCAGCTTCTCTGTGATGTCAAGCAGTAATGAGAAAAGCCCCAGTCATGTCATTACCAGAGCTCCTAGCCGGCAATTACACCAATAATTCGAGCGGTTGGTTGGTTAATCCTCCGGACCCCATGGAGGGCCACAGTCCACTACTCCAGTCCACCTCTGGGACTCACTGTACACTTCACAACCTCAGACCTGGGTTCAAATACGATTTGAATTTATTTTTAATATTTTATCTGGTCTTGATTGAGCTTGCCTGGTGCAATGGAACCAATAGTATAGTTGCAAAAGTGAAAACCCAGTCAATCTGGCACTCCAGGAAGACTAAAGCAAATGCACAAATTATTTGAACAATTTCAAATAATTATTTGAACCCAGGTTTGCTCTACACACTTCACTACACAAGCACTAGCCTCACTCCCTCTCCTCTCACTCCCTCCCAGCTGGAAGGCATTACACTTGCCTGCTCTATAGAGGGGTTTGGCTTTGCTCTGCACACGGTCGAGATTTAGGTCTTTAATTCCTGAATATGAAAAACCCACGCACGTGCTTCATGACCAGGGGAAGTGGAGAAGAAAAAAAAAAAACGATGAATGTTGACATGCCAAAAAAGTGCAAACGACCGCAAATTATTTATGACTTGGAGCATATGAATTAAAAACATCAGAACTTGTTTGGGAAGACATTCCTCTATGTAGTTTATGCCGTTATGGGAGTTGCAGAGGAGGAAAGGGGTGGTGTACTCTGAGTGAATGGTGATTGGGGCGTTTCTCTCCCACCTCCATATACTGTACCATGGAGCCTGGCCAGTCTACGCATGGTTTTCATTAGGGATTTTCTTTCTCACCATCTTTTTGTTCAACATGGGTTTCACAGAACGTTATATTTCAAAATATTCACAAAGCTTTTTACCTCTACTGATACACTGGTTATCATCGACTGCAAAGCCTTTTTCTCTCAGTAAGTTGTATTCGTTTAGGCTTACTGCAAAACCTTTAGTCTTTCATTTACTGCAAAACCTTGTTCCCTTGAAGATTTTTTAGAAGGGGAGTCAATTCCATTTCAAACCATCAGGAAATCAAAGGCTGTTTGTACAGTATCTTCTGTTGTAGTAAGACAGCAGCTGCCCTTCTCTAAGTGCAGTTTCAAATCAAATCAAAGTGAGAGATAAACCAACCAACTGATGAAATATTACAAACTGTGTAACTTTAGGACGCACGTCCAGATGGTCGCCTGGGCCAGATTAATGTTTATTTAGAGGGTTACTAAACAGGAATCATTTGAATCCAAAACAGAGCTGTTTGCTTTCACCCTGAGGCGTCAGAGACATCAATGTCAGGCCAGCCTCCACACCACAGAACGCCTCTTATTCAGATGAGGTTGTTTGATGTTTTAACATAACGTTTAGTGATGAGATGTTGCGGTCAGCTCTTCTGAGTAAATGCATTCCCAAGAAATCGAGCCTCTGGATGTTTTAAAATCAGCAGAGCCACTGACTTACTGACTCCCGCTCTACCTGTTTCCAAAGCACTAGGCCTACTGTTGCTGCTCTGTCACTAACAGCCATTCGCTGTTGTCCTTTTTCCAGC